AAGGGTCCGAGGTGCATTATGATGGGATCTCCTGGGATGTCATGCACAGCCGTTTCCGCGGCGAGGTCATCTACCAAGCCGAAAACGAAGTTCACTTCCCTCAGCTGACTGTCGGTGATACACTACTGTTTGCCGCTCACGCCCGAGCGCCGGAGACCCGTCTTCCCGGTGTTACACGCAACCAGTATGCGATCCATATGCGTGATGTGGTAATGGCGATGCTTGGCTTGACTCATACCATGAATACCAAGGTGGGCAATGAGTTCATTCGAGGTGTATCCGGTGGGAAAAGAAAGCGTGTCAGCATCGCCGAAACCACTCTGTGTCGTTGTCCTTTGCAGTGTTGGGACAACAGCACTCGCGGACTCGACAGCTCGACGGCCCTGGAATTCGTGAAGAGCATCCGCCTCTCCACTGACTACAGTGGATCCACCGCGATAATCGCAATCTATCAAGCCAGTCAGTCCATCTATGACCAGTTTGACAAAGCGATTGTGCTCTACGAAGGCCGTCAGATCTACTTCGGTCGTGCCGGCGATGCACGACGCTTCTTTGTCGAAATGGGATTCCACTGCCCAGATAGACAAACCACTCCGGACTTCCTCACCTCCCTTACCAGCCCTTCGGAACGCCTTGTTCGCCCGGGATTTGAAGACTCGGTTCCACGCACGCCCGATGAGTTCGCAGCACGCTGGAAAGAGAGCCCGGAACGTAAGCAGGTTCTTGCTGAGATTGAAGCCAATGCAGCCGGAGATGGAAAAGCAAAGCTTCAGGAATTCGATCGTTCTCGTGCAGCAGACAAATCCAAGCTTAGTCGTGCAGCCTCCGAATACACACTCTCATATCCGATGCAAATCCGTCTGTGTCTTTGGCGAGGGTTCTTGCGGCTCAAGGCAGACTCGGCTATGACGGTTGCTACGCTCGTTGGAAATACCTCCACGTCCCTGATCATTTCCAGTGTCTTCTACGACTTAGCGTACATGACCGACAGCTTCTACAAGCGTGGAGCCCTACTTTTCTTTTCCATCATGATCAGTGCCTTCTCAAGCTCACTGGAAATCATGCTCATGTGGCAGCAGCGGCCGATTGTGGAAAAACACTACAAGTACGCACTATACCATCCCTCGGCGGAAGCTATCAGTGCGTACGTTGTCGAACTTCCATCAAAGTTCTTACTAGGAGTTACGTTCGGTTTAATTATCTATTTCCTACCTCATCTTCAGCGAACTGCGACCCATTTCTTCATCTTTTTCCTCTTTTCGACGACGACAACCCTTGTGATGTCCAATATCTTCCGTTTTATCGGTGCGATTTCGCGGTCCGTGGCCCAAGCCATGCCTCCTGCTTCAGTCTTCATGCTTATCTTGGTCATTTACACTGGGTTCACCATTCCGGTCCGAGATATGCACCCTTGGTTCCGGTGGCTCAACTACGTGAATCCTATTGCTGTAATCATAACTTAGCTTTTGCTCGATCCCACCAGAACATGCTAACACGCAATAGTATGCCTTTGAGGCGTTGATGATTAATGAGTTCAGCGGACGGTCCTTCCCTTGCTCGAATTTTGTCCCAGGTGGCTCGAAGATCTACGAGGATGCGCCTCTCAGCTCCAAGATTTGTTCACAAAAGGGTGCTGTGGCAGGCCAGGATTTTATTGACGGAGAGACATACATCAACACAACTTACGAATACTACAGTCCACATTTGTGGCGAAACTTCGGAATTCTCTGCGCTTTCTTCGTCGTCTTCTTCGTGCTGTACATCTTCTGCAGTGAGCTTATCCGGGCTAAACCATCCAAAGGTGAGGTTCTGGTTTTCCCGCGCGGTAAGATGCCTGCGTTTGTCAAGAATGTTCGCAAAGAGGATCCAGAGGAGGTCATTGCATCAGAGAAAGGTGCAGTTGCTAGCGAACCTCGGGATTCAACTGCAGCAATTGTTCGCCAAACTTCTGTCTTCCACTGGGAGAACGTGTGTTATGATATTAAGATCAAGGGAACTGAGCGACGCATCCTGGACAGTGTGGATGGTTGGGTCAAGCCCGGCACCTTGACCGCGTTGATGGGTGTCACTGGTGCAGGGAAGACCTCCTTGCTCGATGTACTGGCCGATCGTGTCACTATTGGCGTGGTCTCCGGGGAGATGCTCATCGATGGCCGGCTACGCGATGATTCCTTCCAGCGGAAGACGGGGTACGTGCAGCAACAGGATCTGCATCTGGAGACCAGTACTGTTCGTGAAGCTCTGGTTTTTAGCGCTCTCCTACGCCAGCCTGCCACCATTTCTCGCCAGGAAAAAGTTGCATACGTTGAAGAAATCATCCACATGCTCGGTATGGAAGAATACGCGAATGCCGTGGTCGGAGTTGTCGGCGAGGGCCTCAACGTGGAGCAGCGTAAGCGGTTGACTATCGGTGTGGAACTGGCAGCCAAGCCTGACCTGCTACTGTTCTTCGATGAACCCACGTCCGGTCTAGATAGTCAGACTGCTTGGTCAATCTGTATCCTGATGCGCAACTTGGCCGACCACGGCCAGGCTGTACTGTGTACCATTCATCAGCCTTCGGCAATGCTGATGCAGCAGTTTGACCGCCTATTGTTTCTCGCTAAAGGAGGACGCACAGTGTACTTTGGTGACCTTGGCCCAAACATGGAAACCTTGATCAAATACTTCGAAGACAAAGGGTCGCCCAAGTGTCCACCAAATGCAAACCCGGCCGAATGGATGCTCGAGGTCATTGGTGCTGCGCCAGGCTCTCATGCGGATAGAGACTGGGCTGAACAATGGACTAACACTGCCGAGCGCGCAGAGGTTTGCAGAGAATTGGCTGAGATGAAAAAGGAATTGTCCAAGAAGCCTGCGCCCGTCCGCGCTGCAGGGTATAGTGAATTCGCCATGCCAGTCTGGTATCAGTGCCTCATTTGTTCCCAACGCATGTTCCAGCAGTACTGGAGATCTCCCTCGTATCTATACGCCAAAGTCCTCACCTGCACCGCCTCGGTAAGTTATCTTTCTCGCTTTTATTTGATCCTACTAACGGGTATAGCCATTGTTCCTCGGATTCACCTTCTGGCGCATGTCTACCAGCCTCCAGGGGCTGCAGAATCAGATGTTTGCAATCTTCATGCTTCTTGTCCTTTTCCCCGGGCTGGTCCAGCAAATGATGCCATCCTTCGTCACGCAGCGTGCTTTGTATGAGGTACGCGAACGGCCTTCCAAGGCCTATTCATGGAAAGCGTTCATGCTGGCCAGTATCCTTGTGGAGCTGGTATGGAATATCTTGATGTCGGTGCCAGCCTTCTTCTGCTGGTACTACCCAATCGGGTTTTATCACAATGCAGAGCGCACGAACACAGTTATCAAACGAAGCGGCATCATGTACCTGCTCATTCTACAGTTCATGATGTTCACGTCAACTTTCAGCTCCATGGTAATTGCTGGAATTGAAGAGCCCGATACCGGCAGCAACATTGCTCAATTCATGTTCTCGCTTTGCTTGGTCTTCAACGGGTAAGTTGTCCGCGGGTGTTTGGTGGTTAATTTTTAATAGTGCTAACTGGGCTTGTAGCGTCCTCGCAAGCTCCTCTGATATGCCTCGGTTCTGGATCTTCATGAACCGTATATCGCCATTTACCTACTTTGTGTCGTCCGTGCTCTCCACTGGTCTGACTGGGACTACGGTGGAATGTTCTAGTATCGAGTGGCTCACTGTCTCGCCTCCAGATGGAGAGACCTGCGGCAGTTATCTGGACGCTTACATCGAGGCTATGCATGGCACATTACTCAATCCTGAGGCGACGGTGGATTGTATGATCTGCCCAATGTCGAGCACAGATCAATTCCTCGCAAGTCTCAACATGTCGTACTCGGATGTTCCGCGCAATATCGGGTTGATGTTTGCCTATATGGGGTTCAACATTGTTGCCGCGCTTGTCTTGTACTGGCTCTTCCGCGTCCCCAAGCACTGGTCGCGCAAGGTCAAGGAGACCTAAAAGGGCCTTTTTTTTTTTTTCTTTTTCTTTCTTTCTGCGGGTTGTTGGGGGGTGGTTCATTGCAGTCAGTGCTGTTCCCGAGGCATTCCTTGCGTTTCTCCTCGGTGCTCATCGGAAATGTTCTCTTGCTTTATCTATCCTGGCACAGAGTCATATCTTGTATGTATCTCATACACGTAGCTTATGTTAATCAAAGTTGTATGTTGTGGCTTTCACTATTTTTTGGCACTGGGCCATATCAGAACCTGATATCGTGAATGGTGAATTGGGGGGGGCGAGGGATGTGACGACCACAAGAGTCAGACTGACTGGTCATCAGATCTGATGGCATCCGTATTTTAGGGTATCTTGTCAGGAATACACGAGGTTGGGAGGGAATCATAGAGAGAAGAGGGACTATAGAGAGGAGTGAATGCAAAGAAGTAGTCGATTTAGTCCAGCCTTGAAGGCACACATATATTTTCCTCTGTTGTATATATTCAATGTCAACTTTGTATTAGACTTGGATATTAACAGACAATTTCATACTGTTAACACTTCAATTTTCTCTATTCTACATTTTCCTTCGGTCCTGAGACCCGTCCCTATATGTATGTATTGACCAAATATATATTTCCTGCAAAATGTCTTGAATATATGCCCCGAGGTTCAGCCATCCGGTAAAACTTAGCTATTCAGCTGAATAACACTGTTTTATACCTAGATAGGTACTAGGACTGAGTACCTCCAATGTCTATAAGATCTATAAAACGACCCCGATTTGGGCGGTCCCCGCTTATCCGGAATAAACAACCTCCTCCAATCCCCGTGAACTCCGTGCTAACACCTCAAGGGCTACTTTTGGAAATCTAAACAACCTCAATTCTACAGCTCATTCACACAATTCACCGGAACATCTGGAGGCATACCGGTTGCGCTCTCCGCCCCTTGCTTCTCCGGCCACGCTGTCCGTACCAGCGCCTCACTCACCATGTACGCTCCATCTGCTCATTGAATCGCGCAGCAACTAACATGCCTGACAATACCAGGGGCGTCTTCTCCCTGATTATTATCAACAAGGCCGGTGGACTTATCTACCAGCGAGAGTTCCAGTCTGGCCTGCGCAACCTCTCGACAAATGACTACCTCGTCCTAGCTGGCACCTTTCACGGGTAAGCTGCCAACACCATCTTTCTCCTGGAACACCCATTTGACTAGAATTCTACAGTGTCCACGCAATCACCCGCTCGATCACACCGAAAATCCCCATCTCCCAACCTGCTCCCTCCCCCGCAACCTCTTCAACGGGAATCACCGCCCCTGCTGCGTCCGGTTACTCCTACCCAAACCCCGGTGTACCAGTTTCCGGCCTGGATTACCTCGAGACCGACAAGTTTCGAATGACTTGTTTTCAGACTCTCACCGGGACGAAGTTCTTGTTGTTCACGGATCCCTTGACTGGCAGCGTGGACACAATTATACAGAAGATCTACGAGCTCTATGCGGACTATGTGATGAAGAATCCATTCTATCAGATTGAGATGCCGGTGCGATGCGAGGCATTCGATCGGCATCTGGGGGCGTGGCTGAGGGGGGAGGACATAACCCAAACGGACGATGGGACCACGCAAAAAGGGGGTAGACATCATGACTTTACGAACTAGATACGTTTTGTTCCTGTACTTGTGTCCGGATATCACGCCGTCTCGTATAATACCAAATCACATAATATATTGCCTTGCACCTGTAGAACGTACCCGAAGAAGGTCGACTATCGAGAACACAAGACAAAAGCAGAAGCAAACGCCGGGTATGCATCACAGTCATATTCAAATATCCGGACCTTAGGCGGTGTCCATCTTGTCCTCATCCTTCTTATCTTTGTCACCGCTGGACTCGCCATGGCCCTCCTCGGGGATATTGCCCAGTTGCGTCTTGCCTTCCTGTTCTTCCCGCTCGCGCTTTTCCTTCTCCTGTCGGTTCTTCTCGTCCTCCATCGATAAGCGCAGGGCGAATGCGAGCTCGGGGTCGTTCTCCGCGGCATCATCGAATCCAAATCCACCAGCCTCGCCTTCGCCGCCACCTCCGACCTCGGCATCCTCACCAGCCAGGATCGGGGTCAGCTGCAACTGATCACTGAGAAGATGGGGTCCTGGTGGGATGATGGCGAGGTGGGAACCATCGCCGCTCTTGACATTCTCAACGAAAGCCTCAAGTTTTTTGGTCTGGTCGGATTCCAAATCTCCGAAAGCTACCACATCGATCGACACGTTGTTCTTCTTCATCTTCTTCGCGAGCTTCACGAGGGTCTTCTCATCTTCTTCGATGGGCGAGCAGGAGAATACGATGATGCGTTGACGCTGGGACTTTTCCATGCGGTGCTTGAGTGCCAACTAAGATACCATCAAGGTTAGTTACTGAGAGCTCGGGACCTCGGAGATCGGATGGAAGAACGTACCGCTGCGACCTGGATGGTCGAGCTGAGATGAGATGAGCCGCTGATCTTTGTCCGGTGCAGACCGGCGAGAATTGCGCCAAACTCGCCTGTGAAGGTTGACAACACCTCGGGACCCTTTCCGCCCATGCTCATTAGGCCGACAGCTGACTGGGCGTTTGCACGCATCTTTGCACTGTGGATGATGCTAACGGCATCGACTTGAGATTGCCACCGGGTGGTTCTGCGCCTATTAGATTCCATTCACAGATACAAATATATTGCCATCGGATGCACTCACGTGTAGTCTCCATTGCGACTGCTTTCGCTGTTGTCGACACTGTAGCTTGTTGTCAGTAGAGTACGCTAATATGGAGGATGGTCAATGACGGACATGATCATAGTAGCTTCTAGCGTCATGATGAAATCTAAGAGAATTAACGATGTAAAGGAGAGCAGAACAGCAAATGAATAGGAGATCGGCGTATGGGAGATGAAGACGGATGACGAAGGCGAGGTGGAAGCTCTGCATTCTGCCACAGCTCTCCGCCCGAGGCACGCTGTTTGTTGTGGTCCTCCTTGCTCCGCACCTTAACTTTAGCCCTTGTACTTCGACACATCCCAAGTCTATATCCCTTGAATCTCTACACAATGCCTGCCACTAAGCGCAAGTCCGACGCCATGGACGTCACGCCTACGGGCAGTCCTACTAAAAAGATGCGCTTGACACAGCGCCAAAAACAGGCGCTGATGGACAATCTACAACTTGAAAGTGGGTTGAATTCTGGGTTTACGGAGTGAACATGGAACTAATTTTCGCACAGTCACCGAGCGGGCACGTAAGCTTCGTGCTCAATATGCTCTTCAAGCAAATGACCTCCGGGCGCGCATTGAGCGACGCGTCAATCGGATCCCAGTCTCGCTACGCAAGGCCAACATCGGCGAGCTGCTCGAAAAACACAATGCCGCCGCAAACAAACAGCACGTTGCATCGCCTTCCCGGAAATACTCGCCCGTCAAGGTATCGCGTAACATCGCAAGCATCTCCGTGGACCCAGAAACCTCTACCACACGCGACGGTAGAGCTCGGAGGGGAAGGTACGATATACCATAACCCCAATTCGTTTCCTTGACTGACAGAATGTGTAGCCACGATGGCCACTTCTCTGACAAAGAGAATGCCCCTGCCGGTCGCGAGCCCGAACTCAAGAACCCCAAGCGTCGCGTGAAGCCAGCCGGACCAGGCGGAGCCTCGCGCATGGCATCGCAGGAAGTACGGGCAATGAGAACCGGATTCTGTCTCCTAAGTCCAACAATTCCCGAACATACCCTCACTCACCCTTCCGTGCATCTCCCGAAAAGGGTCAACCATCATATCTGGCGCGCCCTACCTCCCCGTTAAAACCGTCCAGTCCGTTGCGATCACGTGGCGCGACTGTGTCTGCAGTTAAGGACCAGCGGCCTCCATCGCAGGCCCAGAGAACTACCACCCGCGCTGCTACAGGGCCCAAGACTATTCGATCACCTTTGGCGCGCCCGGCGACCCGACAGGGCGAGCGCAAGAATAGCACAGGGTCCACGGCGTCTTCGGGTACAACAGTAACCAAGTCCACACGGACTGGTACTGGGGCGAGAAAGGCCACGGCGGCATCTGCTGCGGCTTCCAAGAAGCCGACTGCTCGCGCGCAGGCTGCATCAATGGCTGTCAAGAATACCCCCACTACTGCTTCAATGCGCAAAACCACCGCTCCGGCTGCGACTGAAACTGCGACTCGGACTCGCGCGCTGCGCAAGCGTATTTAGGACTGTTACATGAACGCACAGATTTGTCTTCCTTTCTTGGAGTTAGTTGGGACTGGTTTTTTGAGCGTGGGTGATTGCATACTCTGCAATGAACAATTTGAGCCTGGGTGCTGTCTTTCCTGCTTCTTCGGCGCGATATCATAATAGGTGTTTCCTCGAGTCGAGTATACATTCATGGTTTTTGTTCGGATATCTGAATCAAGTTCTTTCAAATCAATACCGTACAAAGATCATAACCCGTCTTGATCGGTCTATGTGTAACCAGTCCGAAACAACATCCCACAGCGAATACGGGACCCCTGTCACTCTGCTACCACCCAATTGGACTGCTTTCCCCCAATCACACCGCTCTTCCAGCGAGTCCATGTCAACTCCTGCCCACCATCGTAGCAGTGGCTTCGCCTCATACCGGGAGCATTTGTCTCCGTGCTTCCAGAATGGAAATCATCCGAGAGAGTAATACGTTCAAAACTGTCGATGGCAAACTCAAGTTCTGTTGGAAGAGTCTCTACGTGCGTCAAGACGGCATCGTATACTACGGGTCATGGAACGATCGATCATCGAACCCTACCGATATCAGTCAATTCAAGAAGTTGACGATCATCAAGACGAACGAAAGAGGCCCCAAAATCCACTATACATGGGCTGTGGCATCAGGGCAAGACTGTTACATAAAAGCGCCGTACATAACCGATTTCATCCGTCCAGACCTGGAGGATGATATCCAACGCGAGCTTGAAGTGTGTGAAGTCCTACGCCGACATCCACACCCGAATATTGCTACTTACTACGGCTGTCGAGACGAGAATGGTCGGGCTACTGGTCTTTGCTTCAAACGATACAAGGACACCTTGTTCCGGAAGGTCAATCCTGAATGGCTGAACAAGACTATGTTCCGGGCTAGTGGTCGTGAGCATGTCGATGATTCTCTCAAAGAGAACTTCCATGGGATTCTTGATGGAATCAAACACCTTCATTCTCTCGGCCTTGTGCATAATGATATCAAACCGTCTAATATCATGCTTGATGAGCATGGTATCCCGGTGATCATTGATTTTGGGAGTTGTCGGAAGACAGGGGAGTCATTGGAGACCAGCGGAGTTGGACAGACGGATGGATGGCATGATCCAGCAAATGATCTTGTTTTGGAGACAAATGATCTGGATGCCTTTGAAGAGTTGGAGACCTGGCTGTTTGGGTCTGTAGATGATGCATATCTGTTTCACGAGGAGGATTGGTTGGAGGAGTGCTAGATTGAGCATGAGACTTTTCCATAATAATGTTGATGGTAATACTACGATCTCCAGAGCATAGCACCCCTGAGCAGCCGTAGAGCCAACTGAGCCTGAGCATATCACTGAGCATCCTGATCGTAGGCCACCTGGGCAACCTTCCAAGGTTGGAAGGGACTGCACATATTACTAAACTTAGACACTCGCCCAGATGGGCACTTCAACTGATCCCTGCTACACAGGATGGCCCCCTTCACTTCCACATTAAAAATGGTGGGCTGAGTCAGGTGTCGATGAAAGATTCCACTTTTATATGGAGAACACTACCAGTGATACTTCCGTACAGACTGTCAAAACTGGCTACGACTATCTAAACGACCCACTTGGATAGCCTCGTCAATAATAGCGGCATAGAGGTAACAAGATCATCGTTATTAGTGGGACGGGATACATCTTGACTAGAAATTTGGATGTGCGGGAGCTGCAGGGGCTTGGCCTTACGAATACTATACATACTATTGTGAGGAGTGTAGCGAAGACCAGGGAACTAATGGTGGCTCTGCTTCTACCTAGGTACTCCCAAACATCCGGGATAGGAAGTCAATATCGATTCGTACTGCGGCCCGTTACTTCTAGTCACCTGCTTTATGCGCTTGTTTCATGAACTTCCACTGACGAGGCTATAGAGCTGTACCTTCTCAACCAGGTATAGGTTGCGGGTGGCTGATTCACTTGGCAAATCTTAGTGTGGGGGCCACACTACACTCCACATCCAGAGTATGGGGCCAAAGTATGTTGTATGGAGAGTACTAACGACTACTATGTAGGACAACTCGATCCAACAGTACTCGTTTACTCCTATTTGATGTTGAAGGTTGACCGTGCATAAAGTCAAAGCTGATCTACAGTAATTGAGAACCTTGGCTTGGAAATGTTGGTCCACTTACCACGGCCTGGAGTACTATAGTAAGGGTGAGCTTCCTATCCAGATTTCGACCTCGATCTCGGCCCCAGGGACAAGAGGTACAGCCTTGCAGCATTTGCATTGTTACGTAAATATCCTAGTACAAGACTGTCTCGGTGCGAAGAACTAAGGTATATAAGCTCCTATCCCTCTTAACTTCTTCGACTGTAACATCTATCAAACCAGAAGCAATTTCACTTATCTCGCCTTCTCTCCTACTAGACAAAATACGACAAAATGCATATTGTGTCTCTCCTTGCCCTTTCCGCTATAGCGACCACTGCTATAGCCGGCGAGAACAACATCAAGTTCCTCTTCAAAAGCTCGGCCTCCCTCGGTATCAAAGGCTCCGGTAACGGTTACTCCGGTGGCTTTACCCTCTTCGACAACGATGACAATATCCTCTTCGAGAGCGAAGACGATCTCCCTACTTGCACGCGCGATACCAACCACATCGAGATAACTTCGGACTGCTGGGAGGGAATTTGGGACTTTAGTTGCGGGTCCTCCTTTAGCGGCATGCCCGGAGCATGCAGCGCGTACGCCCCTGATACTACAGAGACAAAGGGCGAGGCAAACGACGAATATACACCTAGTCCTTTTGGCAACGGCCAGAAAGGCGAGTGTAGTGGCACCATTACTACTTACAGTGATGGTGAGTGCACGAAGGATAGCCTTGTGACGATTCTGCGAACCTACCAAGGAATGTATACCCATGACGAATAGGAGCCTGTATACTATCGCACTGGTTCAATTTCTGGACCATGAATTGTCGTCAGGTTCTCTCTGTCTATCTATTTATTTCCTGTGTTGAGTTACTGTGTATGGAGGGTTAGTGAGACAAGTGCCCATCTACTTACCTTCCGCGCCTTCGATGTAAATACAGCCCAGTGACATACATACAAGCTGTTACCATATATGACCCTATTCATATACAAACCAGACTGAAATAGGTGCTATCAAGCTAGCTGGTATTACTGTAAGGTAGACTTCCGCAAGACCCAACCGGACCCGGACCCAACCTGGTCTGGGTTGGATTCTGAGTCGAGCCCTTCAACTCAGCACTGGGTTAGGGCCCTAAACTGGGTCGTAAACATTGCAAACATACCAAGATCTCGGATTATATCAGTTATGCGTTTTCCGGCTAACGTATTTCACTACCGAGCCGGCCACCCAAAACGCGTCCCTGAATTAGATCTTACCAATTCAACCACCTACCATCCCACTAATTCGCTCCCGAAGCTCTAGAAATTCAGTAGAGTAAGAGTGCAGGATCTTATTAGCTATTTAGCTATTGAGGAACAGAACTAAGCACTATTTCTCTTGCTACTCGTACGTTTTAACGCACCGTGTTTAACTTTACGCGACCGCCTATCCGGCTATACTTAACGAAGTACTACGGGCGCAAATTCACCTAAATTAATAAAAATCGAAGAGGAGTCGCTTTGAAAATAGTTATTCTCTATAGATCTACGCGGAGTAGCACTGCGGCCTTCTTCTATACGAGAAGAAGCTTCTCGAATTGCTGATTGAGAGATTTTGTTGACAGATCTGCATCATCCTGAATCGCTTTTAGCATGGCAGGGGCTAATTGCCGGTGACTGGCCATTAATTGCTTTGCGATAGTTGAGACGAATCTCCTTGCATTACCATGGTCTAGTTCGCCTTTCTTGAAGAAGAAACTAGCCCCTAGTATCCCTTTCCTTTTTAACGACTCTATAAACGTCCGGGAGATAGTAGACTTCCCGATTCCTACTATACCATTTAACCAAAATATGTATTTGTCGGATGTCTCGGCCTAGTTTATAATTTAGTGAAGGAGATCGGTTCTAGTGCCCGAAAGATACATTTCTCTATACTCGTTCTTATATAAGTCATATAATACTCCTTTCGTAATAGGTAGGCTAAACCTTTCTATAAAAGCTTAAAGAAACTCTAATACCTCGTTATCAATTTTAGCTAGTCGGGACTCTACTTCCTTCATATTTTATAAAATAGTATCTAATATGTCGAAATAAGTCTAGTAGTATAGCTTCTACTATTCTTCCTTAATAGACGATCGAAGTTCTATAATACGTTAATTAGTTATCGGTATAACACTAAGGGGCTGCACATATTACTAAGCTTAGACACTCCCGAGGTCACTTTAACTGATCCCTGCTCGCACACAGGATGCCCCCCTTCACTTGCACGTCAAGGTCTCGATGCTCGATGTGAATATTGCGACCAATCGGGCAATACCCTACTCGGTATATACGGAACTGCAATGCAGCTATCCTGGAAGCCAGGATATTCTCTCTCCAATAGGCCCGTGAGAAGGACAACCCGTAGGACCAATAGGAGGTTGGGAAATGCGGATGGACCTCAGCGCTTTGTGTTCATTGCAGAGAACCCTATGAGAGATCGTAAGACTATGGACATTCTACCATTTATCCACCCTCCTAGACGCCTGTTGAACCTATCACTAATTACGAGGCAAAAGACTCAGATCCCGATGGTATTGACCTGTCCTTTGTCTGGCTAAAGACTACTGGTAATCTACGGTGGGCTAACATGAAACACTTTCACAAGTCAACGTTGCCGAGGAAGCCAGTCCGTCCGTAGAGACGCCATTTGGGGTCTCAGGTGATGCATCGACCAGGGCTGCTGATTCCCCCGACCTTGAGGGCGATTCTAGGACAGCCGAATTCCAACTGCACTACTGCAACAGCGAAGACCAAGGCCCATCTCCATGTTCATCCAAATCAACAGAGGACGGGCAGCTACGATTAGCTGAGGAAGAAGACATCGACCTTGGCACTTTCTGTGAAAGGTCGAGTCAACTAGCTACTATAGAGTCAAGTCCCGTGGCAGCTTCAGACCTCCCCAACACTACTACATCTATACCACCGAGCGTACTATATAATAATATTTGCCAGCGGTTTGGGCCTATCCTTGAGAGATGTTCGCTTATTCTGCTCCCACTCCTGTGAATGACCACTGACAAGCCATAGACAACATGGAATTCTGCAAGATCCCTTTAACGTCCGACCTACAGATGAATCCGTTTCGATACCACAGAACCGTCGTCCCGGAACCTATATTTCTGGTGCATGCCGTGATGGCTTTAGCCGGGCATCATGTTGAGAGTCCATCAGCCGATAATCATCGCCATACAGCACTAAAACGCCTCCGTGAGAGCCTCAACTCGTCCGGTAATATGGAAGATGGCTCGTCCATGCTTGATGCAATTATGATTTTGTTTTCCTTCGACGTCAGTTTGCACCTTCATGATGCTCGGATGTAATCCAAGTTGATAATGAAAGTTAGGAAACTCAATCCACCCTTGGATACTGGAGTACACATCTTAAGGGAGCATATGGACTCATCGAATCGTCCGGTGGAATCAAAGCATGGACGACGGCCGCTCGGGCAGAAGCTCAAATAGGATTGCTGTTGTGGTATATCAACCCCCCCATCCATGTTGCACAACATAGTCCCGGCCCTTCCAGCTAAACTATTTAGGTGGGATGCCATAACCAGTCTCTTGTCCCGGGAAGACTGCGTGTTCCCGTACGCATACGTCGAAGCGGTCCTGTCGAACCCCGACGATCGGAAGTGGAATTTCTTTGACCTCTGTGGGTGCCCGCACAGTGTGGTCACGCTGGTCATGCAAGTGGCACGTCTGAGCGCCGAAAAACGTCAATCGTCGTCCATGCGGTACGTGACCTTTGACGCAACGGTGATTGCCCAAATCGAGCAAGCCCTCGAGTCCTGGCATCACATTCCCCTGCCGCACTTGCCTTCGGTAGCGAAGAGGACATCCAACAAGATCAGGATTGTATGCACTGCTCGGAGGCATGGAGATACGGGCTGCTGCTCTACATCTACCGCGTTTTCCGATGGGAGCCGGGAAGCCCAATTCCAATGCACGTTGTCCGTTGGGCCCGGGTCATCGTGGATCATGTGGTCGCGTGTCGCGACGAGAAGATGGTCTCCCGGCAGGCGTTGCTGCCACTCTTCTTCGCGGGCTGCGAACAACGCGATCGATCGGTACGGCAGAAGATCGTCCAGTTCTGCTCGGTGTGGAATGACCGGACGCGGTATCAGATGTTTGGCTGCACCATCCCGTTGCTTGAAGAAGTATGGGCGGAGCAGGAGGCGAAGGGCTTTGAAAACGTATGGTGGGGCCACGTCGTGGATCGACAACACACCTCCGAGTCTTCTTATCCGTTGCAAATGCGGCTTTGCTTTGGATGAGCCAAATAAAAAAAAGTCAACGGATTTCGTTGTGTAGCGATTGCTCTAGCATATATAGCATAGAACGAATGGTGTGCAGCCAAATAAATTTCGAGGCAGTTATGTGGCCGTGCCTATAGCAAGCCGTTGTAGCAGGAGAGGAAGGAGGGTCCATGACTTTCATTTACTTGTAAGGCTTTTTTTCCCTAATGAAGTAGTGTCTGCATTCGGAAATTAGCCAATTTAGGTAATGGGTAATGATACGATGAAGGAAAACTTCGTCTCAATTCAGTCAAGATACGTTGCGAAGATCTCCCTTCGCGAAAAAGACAATTAGTTAAGGATCAATTTAGGGAATTTCCCAATCCTTGTTTCTCAGATCGGGTTCACGCACAAGCCGATTTCCCAAAGGCGCATACCCGAAAGGCGATATGATGGCATCAGGACGCTGGAGTCCCCATGTGGTCCTAGATAGCCACAGCTACAGTAAGGTGTACCAACAGCAGCCTGTTGTACACAATCAATCCACCTTCCCGTCTTTGTCGATGGGCTCATTGCTGGGTTGATCGACCATGTCACAGGAGAATATTTATGTGGAAGACTCGCAACTTGTGAACGGTATTTCTGTATGAACTGCGTGCCCAACCTCGGGCCGGTGAATACGTGCCGTTGCCAGAGGTACCAAGCCAAGCCCATATAGGCAGTAGTGATGAATATAACGACACTGAAGGGCGCAGGTATCAGATTTCTGAGCTCAACAGGTCCAATTCGGCTTTGAGAAAACGTCTTACCTAACCCAATTCATGTTGGTAGCAGTGATTGGCCGAATAATTGGAAAGCAAGCCACAATGTCCAGAAAACAAACCCACACGCAGCTAGTGATGTTGACGAATGATCCCCATCTTCCAAGATTGAAATGTCGTCTGGGAAGAACGCTAGAACGCCCCCTCCACACAGCGATTCCTTGTGGAATGACATACGAGGTCATCATAAAAACTATATTGGCACTGACCATCGACGCAAAAGCAGTAGTTGATCGCAGAAAGATTAATCCGTAGAGCTAATAAAGTTAGCCTCAAGCTTTGACATACTTTGGATAACTTTACCGTAGCGAAAACGGCCGTTAGACAGGCAGCGTTCATAGGCATTTGGTGCTTTGGGTGGATCTCTGCCAGCCATGTTGATAAAGGATAGCAGTTGTCCCGGGACGCAGCCCAAATTTGCCGACTCGAACCTGTGATATTGGCGACGGCGCATCCAAACAAGCATATCGCAAAAGCTGCCAAGAGTAAAATGGTCGCGAAGTCGCTTCCCGTAGCTTGGAGATAAACCTCAACTAGGCCGATCCCGCTTGGAGGGTCGACAACTCTTTCTATGTCGGTTATGACATACATACATGCAACCGCAAAGGGCCAGGCTGTAGATGTTAGAGTCATATATATCAAAAGCCGCTGTTACGATATGGGTATTTTACCAGTGACCAGTCCAATAATTACTGGATATATCTTTTTCACTGTTAGTACAGATATACAGGCAATTATACAGGGAATGTGGAAACCTTACCATGACCTTGGGTGCATTAATAGACGGAGAAGGGATTTCTTCGGCCAAATGAGCACCAGCGTCCGTACCCATAAAGCCGTAAGTGTTATTCAACAAGCACAGGACGAAGAGAAAGCTTTTGTCATATGACCGATTCAGATTTGTTGTATCTGTAAAAACCCATACACTAGACTGGTAGTTCGGAGCGGCGCATACAAGAATGACCAGGATAGTGACGAGGAGAGTTGATACCGAAAAGTAAACTTGAATACAGGTTAGCAAGGAGTTGATATGGTTTGGGATCCTTCTACCCACGAAGATATTGATTAAGTGCTGGGAGGGACCGTGCGGCATATATGTTGAGTAGGACAGCTAGCCAGAGGACTGCAACATAGCCAAACCATTGATGCGAAGAGTTGGGAGTGTACCCTTTCACGCAAATCTGTAATATAGCCAACATTGTGGCCGCAACAAAATTGCATACGCTTGCGAGGCCTAGCCACCAGCCACATGTACTGACACAGGCCGACCTATCCACGTTAGGCACAATGATTGAGTAGAATACGCCATAGCAATTGATCGCGCTTACATGTATGACGCAAAAGGTGCCCATTCCGGACTCGCAACTTTGAACGACCAATAATATTGTGCTCCAGAGTTTGGGAAAGCCGAAACGAGCTCCGCCATGCCGAGCGAAACGACGAGATTCATCAAGGCAGCAATGACCAGAGTCCATATAGTTCCCGATGACGAGGATTCGGCCAGACTGGTTCCGATAGCGCTCCCGAAGCCGTTCCACGTAGCCGTCAGCGCGAAGCCTAGGGAGAAAAGTGACAATAGTGAAAACCGCCTGGGCATTGCCGGTGTATACCCCTGGGCCTCGAGTTCACGATCGTCGGTGTCAATATGTTCATACATTGGGATCGAGCCGGGAATAACTGACAGGGTGCAGTCGTAGTGAAGAGCCAAAACATGGGATGGAGGTCCGATCCGCTACTGCGTGACCAAGTTCCAGGAGGTTTTGTACTATTGCGAAGCCCCACGATTCATAGGCGGTGTGATAAAAAAAAATCTAATATTTATCACCTCGGTGACAAGGGGGATATTACCTGAAACAATACATTTTTGAGGTGGCGTACTCAGGAAATGGAGCTTCCAAGGAAGATTGTGAGACTTCCAGGGCTACCTAGGTAGGAAGGAGGTGGAGTCAGGGTCCAGATACACGCTAAGCCAAAAAGAGCCATTGCCTGATTGGGATTGGATTCCCGAAATGGTTAGGATTATCCATTTCCGTTCCGAGGGATTACCTAAATAGGTACCTACCTAGATAAGTACCTCCAGGGCTACTAGTAGGTATTAGTCGACATGATGTGTAAACACGTGAGAGAACGGCGTCGCCCACTGCACGAAAATGTTTACAGATTTCTCAAGCGGGATAAGACATAGTCACATATCATGTCTAATCAAGTACTCGTTTTAAACCGTGCAAGTACATCTGTTGACGTCTAGTTAGCGAATTGATAGATACTTCTCCCAGCTGGGTCTACGGGTGCGGTTTACCAGGTTTAGCAAAAGAACTGAAATGAGCCAAATCCGCCAATACCTAGAGCCATATGCGTATGTTGCTAGAATAATATGTAGCCCAGCACAACTCCAAGTGATTACCATCATGTCACAGTTTGCACCGCTTATTTCTACCAACTTCGATTCACTGGTAGATTTTGAATAAGGAAAATGGTCAGACGAATATGCGGAGAGCATTGTATGGCAGCCGAATCCATAAACCAGTTTATTTCCAGTGTTCAGTATACAAAAGCAAGAGAGTAAACGCTAGGAATATTGCCGTGAATCCACGACAAGGTGATCACGTCCTGCTCCTGGCCCTGGCCAAACAATTCCATCTTTTCCCCACTCAGGCCCCAAATTCCTCGTCATAACCCACCAGACAAGATCGGTACCGGACATTGCTAGTTTCTAGCTGGTTGATCGCTGTTTGAATGCCTTCTTTTGATATGGGGACCTCCTTTACCCAATTTAATACCCTTGCTGGCTGCCAAGTCCAGCATTTCCAGAACCTCGCGCCGACCCCCGAGGTTTGAAGCGCCGATGGAGCAGCCGTTCCCGATGAAGTCGAAGGTAGAGACCTTTAGGCCATCGCCGCCGGGCACGCCCACCAAGTGGAAGCGTCCGTGCACGCCCAGAAGGCTGAGGTACTGTGTTAGCGGAAAGTCTTGGAAGGAGCTTGCCGTGCTAATGATCAGATCAAACGTCATTTCATGCGGCTGGTTCCAGCCCTCCTCGTTCGTGGCGAGGAAGCCGTCGGCCCCCATTTGTCTCGCGTCGGCCTCCTTGTCGCGTGATCGGGAAATAGCCCACACCTCCGCATCAAGTGCCTTTCCAAACATGATGGCGTAATGGCCGAGGCCCCCGATACCCACCACGCCAACCTTCATGCCAGGCCCTGCGCCGAAGCGTCTGAGCGGACTATACACGGTGACGCCTGCACACATCATGGGGGCAGCATCACTGCTAGCCAAGCTATCCGGAATTGGAAATACCCTTGACAGAAAGCGGGAACAGCCACGAGTCAGCGACCAGGGACACCCCGTGCGGTCTCGTCCGGTTATGGGAAACTCACCAGTATTCATGGATCCGCGTGTGGGATGAGTATCCGCCCTGGGTCGTGCAATCCGTCCCTGGATACGGTGCCCCATAGGCATTGACCTGTTCTTTGCAGTAGGTTTCATTGTTGTTCTTGCAGTGGCGGCAGTCCAAGCAGGAGTAAACCTGGGCCCCGACGCCGACTCGCTGATCCACCTGTGCGAGTGTCACCTTCGGGCCCACGCGGAGAACCCTCCCAATGACCTCGTGGCCGACAGCAAAAGGGTAGGGCATCTCGCCCCAATCGCCGCGAGCGGTGTGCACGTCACTTGCGCACACCCGCAGCATTCTATCTTGATATCGACATCGTAATCTCCAAAAGGTCGCGGCTCCCAAGTACGTTTCTCAAGATCGAGCCATTTTTCAGCGCTCGGGACCTGGAACCCAGTAAATTCCTTGGGATAAGACATGGAGGAGATAGGAGCGAGATGTCTTTCTGCACCGAGGCAATTAAGCTTGAAGTTCAATGAAGATCGGAAAGGTCCAATATGATGAGAATGAGTATAGACAATTCATACGGAGCACGACTTCAGCTAGTGCAAGAGGGAGGTCCAGGGCTTTATATCCTATCCGCTGACCTATGTACTTCTGCCACTGCATCACATGAAATCGCACATGCCCCAATTTCAGCGATCTCGACTCTTTCCGACAACCAAAACAACTTGACATGGGTTGAGACCTTAATGACGTCGGCGCCCTGGCTGGCTAGACTCCGGGACGCGTATTAATCTGCACGCCATCAATTTAAGAAGAGGGGTCGATGGAAGTAAGTCAGCATTAGATTCATGTTACATTTGGCCTGGTACTCGGGGTTACTGCGTATCAAAGCTGTCTGATTTGCAAAGCTTGACTCAGAGGCCCCATAGCGGCTCGATGAAAAACCCCTCAATATAGCCCTAGAGTGGTGGAGGGGTTATGGTTTATCAACATTGAAACAGAACATCCGGTCCAGATCTTGACGTTCGACTTCTCCACTCATCAGCGGAACTAGCTATTGGCCGAACATCAAGACGGGCTACATTGATGTATGTACGTATGTATCCTACATGTCTAAGAAACAGGAAGTGGTCAACGGAAGTGTCAAATAGATGCTGATGATGATCTAAGTACTGCCATGAAGCTCTCTACGTAGCTTCCTGGGGATAAAGGGACAATGGGCCAAAAGCCACAAAGGACCACAAATGGGACAAAAAGAGGTCTATCAACTTGCATGTAGGCATCAACTACTAGTATTTCACTGATATTACCCAGGGCATTCACAATTGGTAGACCCACTACGATCTGTCCCTACTCAGTCATCTTCTGTATTTAGTTATCCAACCTAATCAGGAATGTATCAACTTCCTCTTTATGCAAACGAAATCCTTCCAAGGTTCTTCCGGACAGAAAATCCTAATGGTGCCACCTCGTATATGACCTTGGAAATCCATGCATGGCATACCGGCCCGTACCGCCTTGTCGGGATCGACGGACGGGATCGGTGGGTCCCATCTAAGAGGATCCAACCTTGGAAGGACCTCGGGATAGCGCTGATTACTGTGGTAGGCCGAGATATCTAGATAGATAGCACTGTATGTTACCTAGGTATACTGTCCAATATCCCGAGGGAAAAGAGTCGTATGATTTGAGCGGGGAACGATAGACTCCCCCGCTGATAGCAAGAAGCGAAGCATGGGGATGCATTCCAAAGTACCCGATTAACCTGAATCCGTTGGTAAGTAGTGAATTGGTGCCCATACTCTCGTCCCAGAAAAGGTACATGTGCTAGCTTTGTAACCCCGGTATATGAATTTCCCTAGGTGGCCACTGTTCCCTTTGTACTTGTGACGTCCCAATCAATATCTCCTCTATACCTGGAGTGAGGCATTCTTCCACAGGGCGGATTAAAATCGGCATCCGTATGCGGGATATTTTGCTTCCACTAGGCTCTTCCTCCTCCCTGCAATGCAACATACAAGGATATCTCTAGCACTTTGTAAGCCGGTATAGAATGAGATTCTCCCTATCCCCTGTCGGGGGAACGGCTTGGAGCGAAGACGCGACGACAAGCTTTAGGAAAGGAATCCAAGTCAATTCACATGTGACTAGACATGGACCTGGCGATGCTATTAAAGACGACTTTTGCATCCTCTATCAATTCAACCAACACCAACAGATACTCTTCGTTAACAGATTTCGAGAGCGATTGAATCACTGTAGTTATTCTCTTTCCCTCAGCAAATACACGGGATATGGATTCCATAATCTCAGACGAGGACCGTTTCACTCTTGTTGAGCAATTCAACGCCACCGAAGACGCCACGACTTTAGGGTTTTGCCTCCCCGAGCTCTTTGAAAAAGTAGCTGAGCAATATTCCAACAACATTGCCGTCATCTATGCCGATACTCAACTGGACTATGGAACACTCAATCAACTTGCGAATCGGCTGGCTCGCATCTTAGTGGATAAGCGAGGGGTCGGCCGTGGAGATGTGGTCGGTGTGGCCCTTGATCGGTCCATTGACCTGATTGTCGCAGTGTTGGCGGTGGTCAAGGCTGGGGCCGCTTACGTGCCCATTGACCCGGCCTTCCCTGCTGAGCGGGTGACGCACATGGTGAATGATGCGGGTCCGAAGCTCGTCGTTGTTAGTGATAGCACCCTCACGGCTCTGTCGCCGTGGCGAGATGTCTGCCTCAGTATTGATGCGGTACGGGGTAACATGAAGCAGGTTGACAGAAGCAACTTAAGCACCCAGAATGTGCGGCCAGAAGACCTCGCATACGTCATCTATACCTCCGGGTCGACGGGACGCCCTAAAGGGGTGGAGGCGAACCACGGAGCACTGTGCAATCTCCTGCTCTCGATGCAGAGGGAACCGGGATGCGCCCCCGGGGATCGACTGTTGGCAGTAGCCACCATCTCATTTGACATGTCCATCCTGGACCTCCTCCTACCGCTGGCGAGTGGTGCGACGACGGTAATCGCCCCTACAGGGGCTCTTCGAGACCCGGGGCACTACTCGAGTTGATAGAGCGACATTCAGTAACCATGATCCAGGCGACCCCTTCCTTTTGGCAGATGCTGCTGGATGGCGGCTGGCAGGGTCAACCTCGGCTGGTCAAGATTCTGACGGCCGGCGAGCCCATCTCGCGTCGACTGCTCGACCGTTTGCTCGGCTACGCAGACATGGTGTGGAACGGGTATGGCCCAACCGAAGCGACCGTGTACGCGAGCGTGGGGAGGGTGAGCCGAGACGAACAAGATATAATTATCGGACATCCTATCACAAATTTTCAGCTGTACGTCCTGAATCCGGAGGACCTAACACCCATGCCGGTCGGTGGGCTGGGTGAGGTATACATCGGCGGTTGCGGTGTGAACTGCGGGTACCGTAACAATCCGGACATGACCAAGGAGCGATTCCTCGAAAACAATCCATTTCATCAGGGCCGGTTGTACCGTACTGGCGACCTGGCCCGGTTCCTCGCCCCAGGCAAGCTCAATCTCGTGGGCCGTGTCGACAGCCAGGTTAAAGTTCGGGGATACCGCATCGAGCTGGGAGACATCTCAGCGGCCATCACGGAGCATGAGGAGGTCTCGGCGGCTGTGGTGGTCACCAGGGACGATCAGCTTGTCGCCTACTTTATGCGCAAGGATACCAATCGCCAGGGACCTCTAGACCATGCCTTACGCGCGTGGCTAGCCCAGCGCCGGCCGGCTTACATGATGCCCGCCTGGTTCGTTGAAATGAATAGCTTTCCGATGACATTGAATGGTAAGATCGACCGAAAGGCGCTCCCAGATCCTACTAAAGGAGCTCGAGCCATCACCGCACAACCCCAAACAGAGCTGGAGCGTCGCGTGCTGGCTGTTTGGTCGCAAGTCTTGGGCCATGCCGGCATCGGGATTAACGACAATTTCTTTGAGGTGGGGGGGCAACTCCCTTCGTCTTCCACGTGTCAAGGCAGAGTTGGAGGAAGTCCTGGGCCGACCAGTGCAGATAGCAAAACTCTTCGAGTACTACACCATCAAGTCTCTAGCAGCGTACCTCGAGTGCAGCCAAAACGAGGAGCATACCACCACAAACGGGAGGCCTCCATCTGGTCCTACTTTCCCGCAACAGGCACAGCAACAAAACCCAAGCAACCCTCCCAGTTCTAGCTGGAACAATGAAGACATCGCGATCATTTCAATGGCATGCCGGCTCCCCGGGGGGAATCACCAGCCCAGAGCAGTACTGGGAGCTGCTTGAGAGAGGGAACGATGTGATAACGGAGGTACCTCGGGACCGCTGGGATGCTGATGCGCTGTATGACGCCGACCCGGCTGCGCCGGGCAAGTCATACTGCCGACGAGGGGGGGTTCATCCTGGACGGCGTGGACTCGTTTGACGCCCCCTTTTTTGGAATTTCTCCACGAGAAGCCCGCACACTAGATCCGACACAACATGTGATGCTGGAAACGTGTTGGGAAGGGTTGGAGCGTGCTGGGTACACCATGGAACAGCTCCGCGGGAGTCTGACGGGGGTGTTCATCGGCCATAGTCAAGTGGCCGCTCACAGCGTCAGTCGAGACCTCGCTGATTTGGATGGATATGCGGTCACCGGCTCCATCGGGGCCACTCTCTCGGGCCGGGCATCATACATTCTGGGATTGGAGGGCCCGTCCCTGACGGTGGATACGGCATGCTCATCGTCCCTAGTTAGTACGCACTTGGCCTGTGCATCATTGCGACAGGGGGAATGCGATATGGCAGTGGCGGGCGGAGTCACTCTGATGCTTTCCCCAGGGCTCCTAGTGGAGTTCAGCCGGTTAGGAGGCATCTCGCCCGATGGCTCCTGCAAGGCGTTTGCGGCCGACTCACAAGGTACCGGCTTCAGTGAAGGCTCCGCCGTTCTCGTCATGAAGCGACTATCCGATGCCCAGCGTGACGGCGACACCATCCAGGCCGTGTTACGCGGGAGCGCTATCAATCATGGCGGACGCCGTGCTGCAAGCCTCACAACGCCGAGTGGCGGTGCCCAGGTACGCCTCATCCGTACCGCCCTCAGGGCATCCGGGCTGACACCGAGTGACATTGACTATGTTGAAGCCCATGGCACGGCCACTAAGCTAGGCGACCCTATAGAAGGCACTGCGCTAGCGGAAGTATTCTCCAATCGCCCCCTATCCCTGAGACCCATTATGGGTTGGGTCAGCGAAGTCGAATATCGGCCATACCCAGGCATCCGCCGGCCTAATGAGCGTGTTGAAGGTCGTGTTGGCCATGCAACACCAGATGCTTCCAAAGAGCTTACATGTCAGGGAGCCAACTCCATTGGTGGACTGGCGCAAAGCTAATATGGCACTGGTGCTGGAGAATCGGCCATGGCCGTCTACCCACACGCGACGCGCGGGCGTAAGCTCGTTCGGAATTGGCGGTACTAACGCTCACGTCGTCGTCGAGGAAGCACCACCCTCATCATCCATAATTACCGAACACAGAAATCGTCGATCATTGCTACCTACGGTACCGTTTGTAGTGTCGGGGCAAACCGACGCGGCCCTACGTCAACAAGTTAAGAGGCTTCGCCGACACCTTGAGAATACCATTCCTACGAATGGCAGCGACTACCTAGGTGACGTGGCTTACTCGCTGGCGGTCAAGCGCACCCATTTCCGCCAACGCTTGGCATTTATTGCCAACGACAAGGTGGACCTGCTGAAAAAGCTGGCCTCTTACGCAGACGCCCGGATGAGCGAGTTGCAGCCTCCGGCCGGCGTTATCCGCAGTATCAAGATGGGATACACTGATGGGGAGTCGGACCTAGCCATGTTGTTTACCGGCCAAGGGAGTCAGCGGCTAGGTATGGGCAAAGGACTGTATGAAGTCTATCCCACCTTCCGCAAAGCCCTAGACGAAGTCGCAGCATACTTCCCAAACCTTGAAACGCCTCTCTTGGAAGTCATGTGGGCCGAACCCCAGAGCGAGGCCGCCAAATTACTCAACCGTACCGACTATGCGCAGCCCGCCATATTTTCCGTGGAGGTGGCACTGTGGCGGCTATGGCAGAGCTGGGGAATCCGTCCGCAAGTTGTGCTAGGCCATAGCGTTGGAGAGCTGGCGGCGATCCACGTTGCGGGGGTTTTAGATCTTTCCGATACATGTCGACTTGTGGCTGCCCGTGGCCATTTAATGCAAGCCTTGGCCGGGACCCGAAGCGGGAGCATGGTGTCGCTGGAGGCTACCGGAGCGGAAACAACAGCGGCAATGTCCCTTCTCGACGTACAGGACAAGGTCGACATCGCGGGCTATAATACGCCGACGCAAACGGTGGTATCTGGGGACAAACAAGCCGTCGAGGTCGTGGCGGCCCATTTCGCTAGGCAGCTCGGCCGTAAGGTAAAGACGCTCGACGTATCGCACGCATTTCACTCGTCGCACATGGACGATATGCTGCCAATTTTCCTGGCCGTGGTGAAGACGCTGCACTTCAGCCCGCCCAAGGTGCCCGTAATCAGCAGTCTGACCGGCCTACTGGCTGAAGAAGGACAACTGGAACAGCCCGAATATTGGGTCCAGCAGGCAAGGCAGGCGGTTCGCTTCAGTGACGGCATTCAGACAATTTACTACCAGCAGGGGGTCAAGATATTCCTGGAGCTCGGTCCGCATCCCGTGCTGTTGGGCCTCACAGCGGCGTGTCTTGCGAGCTATGAATCTCATGATGATGATGATGATGATGATGATGATGATGATGATACGTGGCCTGTGCTCCTAGCCTCGCTCACAACGGGCAAACAGGACGACATCTCGGTCATGCGACGCAGTCTTGCCGAGCTGCACATGAGACATGTGCCCATTAACTGGCTCGCATACTTCAAACCATGGTGTTGCCAATCAGTAACGTTGCCAACCTATGCCTTTCAGCGTGACCGCTGGTTCAGACAGCCACGAGCGTATGTTTGCCTCAATGGCAACGCCCTGGCAGACAGCGACCGGACTGACGGGCCTCCCTCCGGCGGGGACAGTGATCTTTTCCAATTCGAGGTCACCTGGCGCCGATTGGACAAGGAGAAGGTACAGCTGAGGGGTAGTGGCCGCTCGTGGGGTTTCATTTGCCCGGCGGGTAAAGGGGAGTGGGCATCAAAGGTCACGAGGGCCTTGTCCCGGGCCGGGATACGGTTGACTCACGTCCAGCGACTCGAGGAGGCCCGGCAGCTAGACGGGCTGCTATGTCTATGGGATATATTGTCCTGCACAGATGTTCCACGCCAGGCATCTCAACACACCACACAGGCGCTCACCCAGCTCCAGATGGCGGCGAGAACCAGCTTCCCGCTGCCAATCGTTTGGGTCACTTGCCAAGCAGTAGGAATTGGCGGCCACGAGGGTGATTCTGGTCAGGTGAATGGACTGGCTGCCGGGCCTCTGTGGGGTTTGATGCGCGCCGCTCGCAATGAGCATCCAGACATTCGCATGCGTCTCATCGACCTGGGTGAGGAAAAAGGGGCACAAGAGGCCCTCCTCCTCGCGCTAACACTGGCAGAAGAGCCCGAATGCGCCGTAAGACAAGGACGGGTATTAATGCCGCGGCTACAGCAGGTGAAGGGGTTGAAGCCGGTTGTCGAGCAGCAGCGACCCCTTCTGCGCCAGGATGGTGCTGTGTTGATCACTGGCGGCCTTGGGGGCATCGGCAAGCGCGTGGCTAGGTGGCTGGCGAGCACGCACCACGTTCACGACTTGGTGCTAATATCGCGCCGCGGCATGGAAGACTCCAGTGCTGAAGCATTCGTGGCCGAGCTATCACAATTCGGCAGTAGAGCTACAGTGGTTGCCTGTAACGTCGCAGATTTCGAGAGTATCAAGTTAGTCATGACCATGTTTAGTGTACAGAGACCATTACGCGGGGTGGTTCATGCGGCCGGCGTGGTGGATAACGGCGTTCTCTCGGCCATGACACCGCAGCGATGTGCCACAACATCTGCGCCGAAGGTGGATGGCGCTTGGAATCTTCATCGGCTGACTCAAGGCATGGATCTGGATGTGTTCATGATGTTCTCGTCGATTGCGGGGGTTCTGGGCATGCCTGGTCTAGGGAACTACGCGGCTGCAAACACCTTCCTCGATGCACTAGCTCACCAACGTCGCGCCCAGAACCTACCGGCCACCTCAGTGGCATATGGGGTCTGGGAAGGAGAGGGTATGGCGGCTGGGCTGACGGGTAGGACGACATTGACTCACCTTTCCAAATTCGGTCTAGATCCGTTGAAGCCCGAAGAAGGCCTGAAGTTGTTGGAACAGGCCATTCGCGGTGGCCGGGCGCTCACCGTGGCCGCGGCCCTTGACCCAAGACGACTCCGGATCTACCTCGAGAATGAGCTTGCGGAGAGGGACGGCATACCATCGTTCTATAGCAAGCTGTTACGTGAACCGGAAAGCAACGGGGGCAGCAACAACGAGCCGAGAAACGGCGGCCGAAGTGGGAAGCTGCGCACGGCGTTGAGCAAAGCGCCTGCAGAGCAGCACGATGCCATTGTTCTGGCCATGGTTCGAGAAACAGTAGCCGAGGCATTGGGATTCCCGTCAGCTAACCAGGTGGATGTAAATATACCTTTACAGGATATCGGGTTCGATTCATTAACGGCCATTCTGCTGCGCAACCGGTTGGCCGCCCTGACTAGCCTCAAAACGCTGTCGGCTGGGAACATCACATGGCAATATCCAAACCTTAGATCCCTTAGCCACTTCTTGCTGTCTCAGCTACAGTCAGAGACACCAGCACGGAGCAAGCAAAGCTGCTTGGCGTCGGATTCTACTTGTAATCAGCCGCTGAGCAGCACGCATACCATGGAAGCAGTTGGGAAAGGTTACCTCGACCCTGACATTACCTTCGACAATATAGACGAAGTTCCACGTCCCAGGTCTGTTTTTGTCACAGGGGCTACAGGCTTTGTCGGTGCCTTCATTCTACGCGAGCTTCTCGAGTTGGGTATCGCCGCCCACTGTTTGGTACGTGCTGAGGGCGTCAAACACGGCAAGCAGCGGTTGGTAGAGTCGCTCGCCAGCTACGACCTCTGGAAGCCCGACTATGAGTCACTACTCAACCCGGTTGTTGGCGATGCAGCAAAGCCTCTGTTCGGTCTAGCCAACGCGGCTTTCGACGACTTGGCCAACTGTGTCGATGCCATTTGCCACTCAGGCGCCCTAGTCGACTGGATGCGGCCGCTGCACGATTATATTGGCCCGAACGTCATTAGCACGCATGAGGTCTTACGCCTAGCCTCGTGTGGCCGCGGGAAGGCAGTCCATGTTATCTCTACCCTTTCAACCTTACCTATACATCTGGGCTATCAGGTTCCCGAGTCCGATCGAGAATACGGCTACTCCACCTCCAAATATATCGCAGAGCGCATGGTGGCCGCAGCGCGATGGCGCGGAGCCAAGGCCTCTGTGTACCGTGTGCCCTTTGTCGCTGCCTCTGCCGCGACCGGTCACTTCCGAGTCGACCGGGGCGATTTCTTACACAACTTGATTGCTGGAAGCATCCAGATGAGAAGTTTCCCCTGCTTAGACGCCGATCTTTCCGTCGTGCAACCCGTCGATTACCTGAGTGAAACCGTTGTTGCCATCATGGTCCACAACAGGTCTCGGATTGGACACGACTTCGACTTTGTCAACAAGTATGCAGTGAGCTGCAATTATTTCTTCAAGCTCATGGGTGGCGATGACGCGGGTACGCTTTTGCCCTTCCATGAATGGCAGCTGAGAGCATTGGCCTACGCTGCCGCGCATCCGAAGAGCGCATTGGCGCGTATTGGGACCATAATCGACGGCCTCGCCGACGAAAATGCCGCAGCTGCGATGCTTAAGGGCCTACCGACCGGCGAGCACGTACTGGGCGGCGATGTCTATCCCGCGCCACTGGTTGACGAACAAGTTGCCCGTCATTATCGGAGCCGCATTGATATGTACAATGTTGATAGGTCAATTTCAAGCTTGAAGCCAGGAAATCTGGAGTGAACCTAACCCTCCGTGTACAATACTGTCAAAGGAATTGAGGATTACCCGGTCCTGATACCGGAGAATGAAAAGTCCACGGGTCCACAGGCCGGGGTTAATTGTTTGCTTAGTAATCTGTAAGGTTGGAACCTTGGAACCTTGAAAGGTTGTCAAATTCGGAAACATCTATTCATAGCATTCAACAAACTGATCTGATAGTGCATCTTCAATGGCACTTCATTCTCTCAATAAAGGCAGTTTTCAAACAAGCTTCCTCAATTATGTAGGATGATTAATGGCGGACACCCCGACAACCGACCTCGGGAAGGGGCGCGACGGCCCGAGTACGGTCTTATACACCTGCCACTGCGGCACTGCCTCGCCGGCGCTCTACAGTGGCCTCTTGCATGAATGGGCTGTAAGATCTGATCTCTTTACCCCATTGGAGGACCACAAAAGGAGTCGCCACCAGGGCCAAAGACACAAATGCAAGTAGCGAGCTGGCCCACTGAAATCCAAGATTCGTGTACATGGCTGTTGCAGCCAGAGGGAGAAAGGCGATGGAGATGTTCTCGACGAAACCCACTGCCCCGAGGGCGCTCGCAGCATACTTACTGTACGCGTCGATGAGATAGTTAGCATTGCCAACGATCACCGCTGTCGTCCCGAACCCAACCATCGCCAGGCCGACGGTGGGTGCCATCCAATGTATGGAAGTGTATGATGCCCACCCATACACGAACATGCCGCCCGTTACACCAAAGAATCCACCAATGATCGATGCATGTAGCCGAGCCTCTGGGATCGGCGTGCCCGGTGCCTCGGTATTGCGGGCAGCAGATGCATAGTACCAGGGATTAGTTAAGATGCAAAATGCACCGCCCAGCAGTTCCCCGACCACAATCGCAATTTGGATATACCCGCACTGGATTGGATCCCACCCATAGAGCTCGCTGTATACCTGCTCCACCGACTGCGTGAACAGATAGATCGTTCCCAAGCTGAAGGCAGCCCACACCGTTGCAACGAACACGACCCCTTCCGTACATAGCATGTACAGAGGCCGTTGAACGCTCTGCAGAATAAGCCGAGGCAATGCTACCCGATCCATCTTCTCGGTTGTGTGCGCGTTCTTCCCCTCGCGGCGCAGTCGTTTGGCCCTGGCGAGCAGGATTGCCGGCCCGCGGCTCTCTGGCAGACCGAAGATCAGGATCGGAAATAGGGCAGCGGTCCAGACTAGTTCGATGTAACCAATCCAGCGCCATGACAGGAATTGCAGGATGGAAGAGCCAACAACCGGGCCCAGGCTTGTCGCCGCCAGGTAGATGGTCACGTACAGACAGATTGGGACACTCCGGGCTCGATCGCCGTGGAAAGTATTCGATGTAATACCGGCAACGGCGTCGCTTATCAGCGGAACACATCCTCCGCTGAAGAATCGAACCGCAATCAGGGTGGCGAAGTTTGTTGCCAACCCTACAGGAATCAAAAAACCAACAAAACAAAAATAGGTGGTGAGAAGGACAGGTCGAACGCCAAAGTCCTCCATCACAGGAAACAGAAGAAGCGGACACAGCGCTGCGCCAATGGCCCAGGATGTGGTTAGCCAGTAAGAATTGGGGAACGTCGCATCGGAAATGTTAAACTCTTCGCCAATGGCCGTATGAGCCACTGTTAGGATTGTCCCATTCATTGAGCAGATAAAGCTCGCCAGCAAACCAATGCCTGTGGCCTGCCATTTCTTCCAGAGAGGCCAATTGTATGGATCTTTGGGATCATCCTCCCCATCCCATGCGACGACGATCACGTCCTCTTGAGCGAAGCATGGGCCTATTTTCCGTGATCAGTGGATTGATCTCAGTTCGCAAGTTTAAGGCATGTGCATACTAACCTTTGTTAGGAGAGCTCGATACAGGGTACAAATCGATTTCGAGCTCGTCTAGCGTGACGGGCACGTTTCCAGGGTCGGCTGTAATGCCATCTGCTTTCGATGCGATCTGTCGCCGTGGGCAATCCGGCCGTGGCATCATGGCAGGGGTAGCGCGCGACAAACTCTCCTGGTGCGAGAAGGAGGTCCCCCAAAGATGTCTATCCGCGTATAGTAGTTTTATATTTGTCGTGATATTAACCAGAGGCGTTCATTCAACAATGTTAGAGGTAGTCATGGGTGGTCGTGAGGAATATATATTAGAGCATGTCTTGGACCCATTTCAAGAAAGATCTTTCACATCATTTTCTTATTCTATGATTATTTTAGATTAACTAAGATTAGTCAATTACGTACGTACCTGCATACCTACTAGTACGTAGGTACCTCTAAGTAGGCATAGGTAGTTCCTCAGTTGCACAGTTTAGGAATTTCACTAGTCCTAAAGAGGCAACTATATCAATTAGGTAGGAAGCCCAAAGTAGTAAGTCAGCGTATACAGAAGTAAACTGTTAAGTCTTCTACAAGCAATGGGGTCAGCCTCTAGTTAAAACACATTATATACAGTCATACTTCGATCTATACCTATACAAGTTCAATTTGTAAAATTTGACGTTGTGTTACCTCTTTATCTTACTAGATCACCATTATATTTCTATAAAGTATCAAGTAAACATAAGTTGTACGGATCATATAGAGCTAGAACGTAAAAATGCAAAGTGATTATTTCATCCATGTTTTGTCCACGAATACATGTATGCAAGGTTCTACAATGTAAGTATCTCTCTTAGGCAACTACACAGCACATATATATCATGGCAATCGTGTTGATTGAACAAATAAGAAAGGAAATAAAGGTACCCTGGCTCTTGTTAAGCAAAAGACCCGAGGGAGAAGAATCAGAAGAGAAGAAAGGGGAAAAAAAAAGGGTCTAGGTATAGCCGTAGCCTGGCCCACAAAAAAAAAAGAACGAGCATGCTCAGAATCAAAAGCGAGAGAGAATGGAAAAACAGGACATTTATGCCCAGAGGGACAGGTATGGGTATGGCTGATCCCTCGAATCAGATGCAAATGAACAAGGAAAAGACAATGGGCATCCCAGCCACTATAGAGATAGAGTGAAAACAAAAACTAATCAATAGCGACCAAGCAGCTTGTTGATCACTTTTGGGGAATTTTCATGGAAAAAGAAAAGGGAAAACTCCGTCAACCAGCCCTATCACTCGACAAAAAAGAAAAGGAAAAGAACGCTAAGAAGGTCCTAAGAAACGAGGAACGAAAACGATCCATTGAAAACAAATCAGACGGATGGATGCAAGTCGAGGTCGGATGGTGATGTATCACAGTATTGCAGTTGTGTAGGAGAGTATAAGGAGATCCAGTCTACCCAGTAACACCCATGGCGCCTGCACTCGGACGCGGCCTATATGCCACATTTGATGGTTGGCCATCAGGTGCCCCTGCAACAGGTTGGCTACCGTTGCTAGTGCTACGGTCACGGTGATACGCTGCTGGGGGAGGACCGAAATCAAGTCCAGTCTGGGCGTTGGTGCTTGCCGAGTGTGAGTGTCCGCCGGGGCCGGGCACATGGCGAACAGAGCTTTGCATCTGCCAGGCAGCATCCTGAGAAGGATCAGTCTCAATACGTGCCGAGGTGGGAGTGCTATTAGTTCGGTTCGGGGTGGTGATCGTGAAGGTCTCGCCACCGTTCTCCGGTTTCTGTGCAAAGCTGCCTCGAGCAATATCGCCGTATCGTTTGAGGATTTCCTTGGTAGTCACTTCGGCATTCTCCCTGAACAGATTTTGATCACCCAAGACCGATTGTAGGTCTTCCGGAATCTATTGATAGAGTCAGCATAATTATAGCAAGACCTCAACCTGGGCAACTTACTTCGCAGAATACATCGTTATACGCGATCAGGGCGTTGACAGCCTCGATGGACAGGAAGCTCTCCTCCACTGTGCTGTTTTTGGCATTCGGATAGAGGATATTGGGCGTGATGACAGTTGCAAGATTGTGAATGTCCATCTTGCTTCCAGACTCTTCATCCACATGCGAGAAGGATGACGTCCAATTTAAGAAGGCAAACAGGACTTCCATCGTATCACGATGGGCTTTGGGGAGCAGACAGCATGTCAAGTGGAGTAGTCGCCTTTGTTTCTCCGGGTCCTCCATTTCTGCGACATACGTTAGCATTGCGCGAGCAGGCCGGTTACCATAGCGTCAACAACTTACTTTGTGAGATGACAAAGAGTCTATGTAGCTTGAAAGTCAAGAGCGGATCGGGCATCTCGCGGAGGAACTTTTTCAAGAGAGCTGCGATCTGCACGGGCGTTTCCTTTGTCAGATCAACTTGCTCATACTTAGTGTCGATTAGCTCCGCGGTATCCTTCAATCGGCGGATATTGCCGTTCTTTCGGAAGACACCCTCCACAGACATGTCCATCTGTCGCATGGCGCAAACAGAATCATCAACCAACGTCGGGATGCGGAGAGCACCAGGACCAACACCGTGACTTGACTCTGTGCCCTCCTTCTCGACCAAATAATCCAGACCGACACCGAATACACCCTTCTTCTTATTGCCCTTCTTGTTGTCCTTGAATGCACGGCCGAAGATGTTCCATATGGTAGGTTTGCGCGACTCAATCAGAGATAGTAGTTCCTCCATGTTGAAATAGCCCTCTACCAAGGGTTCCATCTGTAGCACAGCAACGTGGCGAACGATGAAATATTCCAAAGCAGTTAGTTCCGAGAAGTACCGCTTGGTCCGGGTTGGCTCCATGAGGGCCTCCAGATTTCCACTAGATACTCCACGCTGGTGACCCTGGTTGTACTTGGGCATCGGCTCTGTTCCCCCAATGAGCTTGGTACCGGCATGTCTGTAAGCATTGGGACGCTGCTCCTTGGCTTGCTCAGCAGCAACAATGCGAGGGATGTCATCTAGTGTTAGAGCATCCTGGGCGCCAAAAGTCAGATCGGTAACGGTTTCGCCGTTGGCATCCCGTTCTTCAACAATCTGGAAACCGTGGCCCCGAGGATCACTGCCATCATTGCCAGATGACCCCGGTCGGGCACTTCTGCCCTCTGGCCCATCAATGATTCTGGATGCGCGGGCGCGTTTGTATGTTGTGGATAAGGTTCGCTCGTTGCGAATAGAGCGCAGCCGACGCATCTCGCCAACAGTCTGCTCAAAGGATGTTTCTTCAAAGCCATCTCGCGAGGCACCGCCATATGACTGTCGTGTGTTTGCCCGGCGAACCTGGGGTGTGACTCGATGGCCGTCTTTGTTGTCATAATCGTTAAGGTTGGGGTCGTCTGGGGCGAATCAAGTTAGACAAACTGCCGGCGGCATGGGGGTAATATAAAAATGTCCTACCTGAGGTTTGAGGCAAGGTCCCCCCCAGATCGCAGTACAGCAAGGAGCCGCGCAAGTGCCACTTTCAGTAAGAAAACAAATTGCTGCAATTTTGAAACTGGAGTGAAACCACCCTTCACAGTGGGGCCCAGTTTCATCCGGTGGGCGCAGGCGCCGCAGCAGACTTGCTCCTCGCTGCCGCTCCACAATGCGTCTTGCAGATCAGCGGTCAAGTCCTTCTCACATGATTTGCATGAGAGATGAGGCGGTTTGATGTGCCAACGACTCTGTCCCCACTGAACACATTCGTCGTCAATGGGTTCTTTGCAGGCGATGCAGCAATCTGAGAGTTGATCGGCCAAACCTTCTACGCCAGCCATCAGGTCGACTGGTGTATCGTCATTTTCGCGCCCTGCTAATGATTCCAAATCACGGAGGCGGTCCAGGAAATTCTGTAACCCGTCTGGTGCAGACTTCTCGCGTTCAAGTTTGAGTGCACCTTGTAGACCGATGCGGATAAGGAGTTTGAGGTAATGAGCGAGACCAGTAACAAGAGACAGAAGTTCCTGGGTGACGCCAAGTTTGCGTACCCCGGTTTCTTGGGTTTTCGATAGAAGGGCGAAGAAAGCGACAATTTTTTTGCAGAGAAGTTTGGCTTCGCGGCCATAGGAAAGTTCTGGTTCGAAAGAATCAGCCATCGCCGCCGACGACATGGAATCAGCTGCGCCAGACTTACCTTTTAACTCGTGGGATTTGATATAATCCGCTAACTGATCGACTGCACCGAAGAGGATTTCCACATGTTCAATGAAGCGCTTGGCTACAAGAACACCATCGATGTAAGCGCCGTTGCTCACGTGAAGCAGCATGTCTGAGATGCAAGCGGCCGATGATTCTTCAAAGGTCGAAAGAGTGTTCCAAATATTAAAGACCTTCTCTTCCATAATATCTTCCTCGTCGCGAATACGCTTGCGCTCATCTTCACTGGCATCCTCATCCACCGGCGGAGGCTCCCATGTTTGACCAGCAGGGGATAACCGGACATTCCAGAACTTGTGGATCATATAACATTCGGGGTGCCAGTGTTGATTTTGACCGTTGCGGAAAATCTCGACAAACTGTTTCAGGATCGCAGTGTGGCACCCATGGCACCGCTGGGCAAACTGGGTTGAGTAGTGAAAGTGGCAGTAAACTTTGCTCTCGTGCTCATAGTAAGAGTCCTGAGCACCAAAGACGGTCGGACAGACGGAACAGGTAAAGTGCTCAATATGATACTTCCGGTCTAAGGCTGTAATGTATGATCCACGTAGTGCGCCGCCGCACTCGTGGCAGAGGAGGCTCAGTCGTCTAAAGTAATCGGTTTCACAAAGCGGAAATTGGCAGCTTGAATCTTCTGAATCGACGGGGAAAAACTTGGAAGCAACGATCTCGCCACAGTCCTGAGAGGAGTGCAGAGGTTAGAAAAGATCCCCAAAAGGCCCAGAAGAAGCAACTTACTTCGCACTTGAAACACTCCAGATGAAAAGTACCGCCCAACGCTCGAACAAACTGACCAGTGAGAGATTCACCGCACTTTTGACACAGGCGCGATGAGCCGCCGGGAGACTTATTTTGACGCCCATTCACTCGCGAGCGATCTCGGGGTGTTGAGCGGTCGCGGAAGCCGGCCTGGTCAGGACCCAGGCCACGACTCGTGCGTCCACCATCCTCCTGGTTCACCGGAGTGATTGGGCTTGGACCTCCCGTTCGTGTTGATGGTGAGTCGAACGGAATTAAACTGTCCTCAGGAGATGTGGGTGTGTTTTTCGTATAGCTAGCCCCGTAGCCAGAGGTATCGACGGTGGGACGGCCGCTGGGGTTGCCTGCGACCAGGCTGGCTGGGAGTCCACCGGGGGGGCATATTGGTCCCCCGTCAGCAGAAATATGGCGGGGTTTGTTGGGTTGAATCACGCCGAACGCTGCATGCAAATAATGGAAGTGTAGGGAACGGGCGAGGTAACGTGGTAAACAGGATTTACGGAAGTTGTTGAATCGAAGATGCAACGCGGTTACAGATTGGCGGGAAATTGAAGGTAGGCTGGGCGCGTACGGTCGAGAGTCTGATTCTTAAATTAGAATCCCATGCTTTGGCTGGTTTAACCGGGGTCACTGTTGTTCCCCAGAGTGTACTCACCCTCACGCCATGTAATGACACGCGGGGGTGGCCGATGTAGTAGTGACGGGAATAGGGCGCGCGCAAAATCACGGAAATCGAATTGGGGAGGCGGTATAGAGGAAGGTAGCTGTGAACGAAGGGTCTGAAAGCGCGCGGGCTAGAGGACGCGGGGGCCGATTTTCGAGGGGATTGGGGAGCTTTCAAGGTGAGACCAACAGAGGGCGCGGATTATCGGGCGACAATCATCCCAAACTGAACCGGCAAATTCCAGGACTCCAAGAACAAGATACAAGATAGGGGGAAAAAAAGAAAGAATAAGGTGCAAGGGCGAGGGGAAAAGAAGTGGGCTGGGGAGGAATGGAGATGGAGATGGCTTGGGCATTTGTTGCCCCCCCCTAATTAGTTTGGGACCCCGGGTCACGTGGTCTATATACAATTTCCATTTCTACTGGCATATTAGGGGATTACTGGGAGATTTCACATTACTGGAGTATACTTAAATTCATTCAGATCGAACCAAGTTAAAAGTATCTGACAATTATCAATATTGCACTGTGTATTGTGTGCATGTATGGAGTAGACCCAGCTTATTGTGTACTCCGTATCGCCCCCTATGTGGTATCAGTGTGCTTTTTATAGAACATTCTGCTTGAATTTTTAATTATTTTCGTATTAATTTACTATAAGAATTGATGTCTCGTAGTTTGTTTGGAAGTGTCTTTCCCCCCCTTCTCTCCCTCTCTCTCGTGGTTTGTTTGGAAGTGTCTTTCCCCCCCTCTCTCCCTCTCTCTCGTGTTGTAGTCGTAATACATATGTCGATACAACCTTAAATAGCATCAGAGATCTAATGTAGGGCTACATATGTATTTCTGTTGGTAACCGTTGATGTTATTTGTTAAGTCTAGATGTTTCAAATGTTGATATCTTTTTAAGGAGATCTGGATCTCAAAGACATGGAATACTGAGAATATTTAGTACAGGAAGATTCAATACAGGTACATACTACGTAGACAATATGTACATAGTACATGTACCCAAGTGTGCTTTGTGAAATTGAGATTCATGGAATAATAATCTCATCAGACTGATCATTACATTCTAGCTAATATGTGTTGATGTGATGACTCGTACAGTGGAAAGTGGGAGGCTGGAAAATGACGTGGGTAAACAAAAAGAAAAAAAGAAAGGAGAACATATATTGTATGCACATTTGTTGAATGTAAGAAAAAAGCATTGAAGTCATAGAAGAAAGAAAAAACATAGAACATTGAAAATATCGGAATACGAAAGAACAAAAAAAAGAACATTTGAAAAGATGAAGGTTGAGGGACAAACTGTCCAAAGTTGCCTTGAATTTCAAACTTGTTTTGCCTTCTTTACCTCTCCATCCTTCTTTAAGGACATCATTTTTTTTGATGTTGATACACCTTTGTTTTCTGACCTCCTACATATGTACCTAGCTACCTAGGTAGGTACTCTTCGCCCTCTATAATACACGGACACGACCAGATCACCCCAGACGTTGCAAGATGGGTGACCAGTGTACCCTGCGCCTCGTTCGTGTACGTTCTTTTCCATCCATTTGGCCAAATTACCCCGGATCACTAATCTTCACATTGCAGGAATTGAGACAGGTCGAGCGGAGCGAGCAGCTTGGTATGAGATCCCCTTACCTTGGCTCTTTGACACTTCAAGCCATTATGGAGACCCACATGCTGACCTCGGTACAGCTTTCACTGTCCGTTATGAAGAAAGCAACATTCGTGATATCCAGGCTCTCATCATTGGACCTCCAGGCACCCCATACGAACTGGGATTTTATGAGGTACGATCTACTTATCCAAGGCCTGCCCTGAGCACGCTTATGGAAGTATGGCTAACCAATTGTAATCATCAGTTCTCCATCAAAATCCCGTCTGGTAAGACGGTCTTCTCTTTCGTAGAAGGCACCTGCTAAATCACAGCGGCATAGATTACCCAGCAAATCCCCCGGTAGTGAAGATCCGGACAACCAACAAAGGCCGAACTCGATTTGGTCCTAATCTGTATGCCAATGGGAAGGTCTGCTTGTGAGTGCGCCCCGGGGAACTATTGGATTTCTGCAGAGCCCGATACTGACATTGTCTAGGTCAATCTTGGGGTAAGATTGTCCAACAACATGGATGGATTTTATGGAGCTTAGCTAATATTACAACAGAACTTGGCATGGTTCCCGGGGTGAGCAATGGTCGCCTGCACAGGGACTCGAATCCGTTATGCTGTCAATTCAGAGCCTGTTATCATCAAACCCGTATACCCTGGAACCGGGGTTTGAGGACAACGAAAGGGCGAACGACACGGAAAATATGGAGGTCTACAAATCCAAGGTAAAGATCGCGATCTTGCTAGAATAAACTTGACAACATTGGCTCACATTTATACTAGATCCGTCATGAGAACCTACGACTAGCAGTCATCACACCTCTTGAACAAGCCTTCCAAAATTCGTCCCCTCCCGCCGAACGGCGCCAAGGGTGGGTCAGGAATCCAGTGCGGAAGAAGATAGTGATGAGGAACTCGAACCCGAACCCGGATTGCTTACTCAAAGCAAGTTCCACGACTTTTGCAAGCGGCGGTTCCTGTGGTACTTTGAGTTCTACCAGAATGCTATCGAGAAAGGTATCGCGGACGAGTCACGCAGGCAAGGAACGCCCTTCATTCAAATGCCATTTGAAGGGTATGGGAATATCATGGATGGAGAATGGAACTACATCGACCTGCAAGCCCGTCTGTTGGCCCTTCGAGACCGATTGATGGAAGAGACACACAGCTGGCCTGTCGAGGGTCTTGCTCTGGTCAAGCAGGATGCTGGGATTGCAGTTAAATTGAGGGGCCAGCATGAACAGATTGCGGCGGAATTGAAGGCTTATCCTCAAGTGATCGATTTGTCACTGGTGGATGGCAACCCCTTCATCTGGAGACTCACTTACGTTGGCCGCAACGAGTCCAAGCTGGAAGGTGGCATCATCAAGATTAAGATTTACATCAGTCCACGACACCCAGAGGAACAACCTCGGGTCTTTGTCGAATCACCTCTCTACCACATTCGTGTTTCCAAGCTCGGTGTGTTGATGTATCTTCCTTCGCATGCTGAAGAGATCGGCCAACACATCGAGGGTATCATCAACACGCTGGAAGATGACAATCCCCCGTACACCCCCTAATGACAGTGAACCCAGAGGCGGCCGCTCTGTGCTGGGGTTCGGAACTAGACCGGAGGATCTACAGGCGCAAGCTTCGATCATCTCTGGAGGAGTCCTGAGATGAGCTAGTTCATTTTCCCGGAATGTGCAATCTTCACTGAGAAATGTGTCATAATCAGGCTACATGACAGTATTCGGCTATCATTATCAACTTTACCTCGCTTCAACTGTATCATTTTCCTGCCATCACTATGTCTTACCTTGCTTGAGTGATATCCTTCAATGGCAGAGAGACTGGGGATTGTGAGACGCGTGGCGTCGAGTGCCATCTAACACAAGAAAATTGATATTGATATCAAACATAATTCATAGATACACAAAAAGAACGTTTGTAACCTCTTGTAATAAAATGTAGTTCATGTCTAAGTACATATAAACATGCGGATGAGAGAATCACGGAAGACAACATGACCTCAGGCACAGCTCCATAGCGAGAATGAATGAAATGAATAGGTGGCCATATTTGACTGTAACCATGTCTCGCGCGGAATCCATGCAGTCCGGTGTGGTTGAGGAATTTGGATACTCCAAGGACCGTCTTATGAAAGGAATTGACTGTGGAAGGTTAGCTAAAGTACACAGTTAGAGCGGAAATAACCATACCGACAAGCTCGTTCACTGCATCATGAATTGTATAATGCCCACAGTTGACGTGAGGCCTCAGACGGAACAGAAATTAAGGGATCATGGCGCCAGAGGTCAATCCAATAATCACAAATCTTCTGAATTTGTCGACATCGGGGGCGATTCTTGTGCATCCGCCACTTGGCAAGTGTGCGCACATTTGCCCGGATATTGAAAATGTCGAGCATGCCAGCTTCAACCCTTGCCAATCCATACTGCACTTGGCATTCATCCCAAGGCAAAGAATAATGGTCTCTGAAAATGCCTTTCCACCGCCGAATTTTCTTCCGGTCATCCCGACTGTCGGCGATTACCTTTATATCTGCCAAGATGTTTGCCCCTTGGGCCACTCGATTCTGTGCTTGTGTCAGAAGGCCGCTGTGGTTTGACCTTTTGTTTGGGACTTTGAAAGTGTCATCTCTCGAAGGCAGTGATTCCGTTTCTAGATCATCTAGTCTGAGCTCGTGGTTCTCAAGCTGCTCTGTTAGAGCATCGAGCCGTTTTTGGACAAGAGACATGGAAGTATTTCCAGTAGGAACCCTTTCGTCCGTCGCATAGACATTGGGGGGGAGCGAGAGAGTCGGCGTGGGTAGTGCTACGGTTACCACCCCAGACAAATCGTCGATCCCAAGGCTCAGTCGGAACTGTTTCGTCCATCTTATAGACATCTGGCGGAGCGAGAGGGGCGGCGTGGATAGTGCCAGCAGTGTCATCCCATGCAAATTGTCCATTCCAGAGGCCATTCATGTTGCAGGAGTCGTGATTGAATCTTGGAGTGATGATGATTCCGATGAACTTGAACAGAGAAGATTGAAGTGAAAGGGGCAAGTAAAGAAGGTAAAGGTTAAGTGAGAACTCGGAGGTCCAGCGTATAGAAGCCAGACCTGGAGACGTTCCTTCCTCCCATAGTCAACCTGAGATGTGACCTCGGGAAAGAGCCATCACACATGTATAGACATCTGGAGGAATCCCATCCTCTTCCAGTGCCTCTCAACATTCCATAATGGGTCTGTTGGAGAGAATTTGAATATAAAAAAGAATAGTCAACCCCTTATGTGGCCATAATCTTATTGGCCTTCTCAGGCGGTCTTTTTTTGGTGGTCAGATATCCTCATGTAGCTAGTCTTTTTATCACCCTTCTCAATTTGTTGGTGGACAGCAGAAAAGGGACAAAAATGTTTAATTTGTGGAAAGGATTCAAGTATTATAGCGTCTGAACATCGATCGTTGTTGATTTTTTGTACCGGTAGCTTCTTTTGGCCAATGCTTTATTGTCCCAGTGCGTAGCGAAGACGATCCCTCGTTCGATTACATCACAGGCCTAGGCTCATTCTAAGACAGAAGACAAATAAAACATCTTAGTATGAAGTAGAAGAAAGTGAGAGAAGGAGAAGAGTGCCAAGTTCGAGATAGCCCGCACGGATCACCTGATTATCTCCGCCAATTTCCCCGGCCCCTTTTCACTCAACAACCATCCCCCATCTCCCTACAGGAAAAAAAATCACATCATGTCGGCAAAAAGGCGCACGTTAGAGTTAGGCAATGTCCTGGTGGTTGGAGGCTGCGGCTTCCTGGGGTGGCACATTGTCGATCACCTGCTGAATTTCCCCTCCGAGACCGACCCCAGCTACGCTCTGCCGAAGCCCGTCGGCGATGCACGCTTCGAGTACCCAACTCTGGGATCACGCTACCCGGATTACCACTCGACTGTCTCTGTTGTTGACTTGCGCACCACCAACAACCGTCTTCCCGGCGCTAAGTATTACGATGGTGACATCACCTCCGTCGACTCCATGTTGGAGGTTTTCCGCGCCGTCAAGCCTGATCTTGTTATTCACACTGCGTCACCCTCCATGATTGAGGGTAACAAGCCCTTGTTGCACAAGGTTAATGTGGAGGGAACACGGACACTCCTTGAGGTCGCTGGTGGCGAGCATGGCGATTGGGGTGGTAAGTGCAAGGCGTTTGTCTACACTAGCTCCAGCTCTGTGGTTCACGACACCCAAAGTGATCTGAAGAATGTCAATGAGGAATGGCCATACATCCGGGGGCCTGCGCAGAAGGAGTATTACTCCGAGACTAAGGTGAGTTTCTATGATCTTTTCTTAATCGGTGTTTAATCGGGACCAATCACTAACCAGACCCCTTGCGTCTATCAAGGCCGATGCCGAGGAACTCGTTCTGAAGTACAACAAGAAGTCCCCCAACGAGATGTTGACAGCCGCTATCCGCCCGGCCGGAATCCATGGAGAGAAGGATACGACAGTCACACACAAGATCCTGGAGCACGGATCCCAGGCCTCTGACAGAGTGCTACGGATGCAGCTCGGTGAGAACGACAACCTGTTCGATTTCACCTACGTCGGCAATGTGGCTTATGGCCACCTGCTTGCTGCGCACAGGCTTCTCGCGAGCTATGACCTTGTTGCGGCTGGCAAGGGCGGGCCCTTGACTACGAGCGCGTGGACGGCGAGGCTTTCAACATCACCAATGATTCCCCCGTCTATTTCTGGGATGTTACTCGTGCTATGTGGGCGCTGATCAACCGTGTCGTTGAGCCGGAACAAGTCTGGGCTCTGCCTGAGGGTCTCCTCGAGACCGTTGGTGGTATTGCTGAGACTGTCATGGGATTGTTTGGCAAGACTCCGCGTCTCACTGCCCGGACAGTGCGATACTCATGCATGACTCGCTACTACTCGACTGAGAAGGCCAAGCGCCGCCTGGCTTACTTGCCTGTTGTGCCCTTGGATGAAGGAATTGCCCGTGCTGTTGGATACATTGTTGCCCGAAAGCAAACGGACGCAGGAAAAGAGGAATTGTAATTTGAAATTAGCTCATGATTGAAGAAGGTGGATATCCGATGCTGTATTAATACCTAGGTAGATATATTACATCTTACACAACATTTGAATACACGTGACTTCATTGTCTAATGTGAAAGTGGGGCCATTCCAACGTTGGTCCACCCGTGGGTGAGCCTGGACGCTTTCCATGGTTCTGTCCAAAATGTGGTTAAACGGTCACGTGGAAGTGGATCAGGCTTGTATGTGCGCCGTACTAGTGCTGCAACCCGACAAAGACATTTCGCAAAATTTCATTTCTAACAATCGATCCTTATATCTCCCCTATATCTCATCTGAGATCAAATTTCAAATCATTGTGACAATGTCTGATTCTGGGAAACAGTGTTTTGGCACTGATTGCAACAATGAAGCTGGGTCGCTGCAATGCCCGACATGTTTGAAGTTGGGTGTCAAAGGTAGCTACTTCTGCAATCAAGACTGCTTCAAGAGGAGTTGGGTGGGTTGCAATCAACAGACATCCTTTTAACTGAAAATCTAACATTGATCGTATCCAGACCACACACAAGGTGGTGCACAAGACACAAAAAGGTAGCCACATCATCTAGGTGGAATGCACTAGTGATTCATTCTCTAATTGCGATATAGCTAGCCAAGTTTATGACCCCTTTCCAGCATACCCATACACTGGTTCTGTCAGAGCTGTATATCCACTCTCTCCGCGACGACCTGTCCCCCAAACAATCAATCATCCCGACTGGGCCGTGACTGGCATCCCAAAGCGTGAGATGCGCTTGAGCAGGTCAAAATGGGACCTCTTGGATGCAAAGGGCCAGGAAGCCATGCGCAAGGTGTGCAGGCTGGCTCGTGAAGTACTCGACATAACTGCTGCGGCTATAAAGCCTGGCGTGACCACAGATTATCTGGATGAGATCTGCCACAATGCTTGCGTCGAGCGAAAAGTGAGTCAGGTCAAAATTGCACACGTGTGTTAATCACCGCCAAGTTATTCGCTAATCTTTGAGACAGTCATATCCTTCTCCGCTGAACTACAACCACTTTCCCAAGTCGTTGTGTACATCTCCGAATGAGGTTGTATGTCATGGAATCCCAGACCAACGTGTCCTTCTTGATGGGGACATTCTTAACCTTGATATTTCTCTGTACCATGGTGGATATCATGCCGATGTGAATGAGACTTACTATGTCGGTGACAAGGCTAAAGCGGATCCGGACTCGGTCAGACTTATCGAAACAACGCGGGAGGCTTTGGACATGGCTATCGAGATAATCAAACCAGGTGTCCCGATTCGAGAGTTTGGTAAGATTATTGAGAAGCACGCAGCCTCTAGGGGCCTTGTCGTCATCAAGACTTGGGGCGGCCACGGTATCAACTCCGAATTTCACCCTCCTCCTTGGATCCCCCACTACGCGAAGAACAAGGCTGTAGGAACATGTAAGCCTGGCATGACATTTACGATTGAGCCCATCCTGGCTTTGGGCGGCAACCGAGAGGTGTATTGGCCAGACGATTGGACAAACGTTACAGTGGATGGCAAACGGACGGCACAGTTCGGTGCGTATAGACCTTTCAGAGACCTATTGCTGGCTCCAGAACGGTGGCTCGCTCAAGATACTAACCTAAAAACCGATAGAACATACTATGCTTGTTACAGAAACAGGTGTCGAGGTTTTAACGGCGAGAATGGAGAACTCTCCAGGAGGGCCGATCCCTATCCCGGAGGATGCAAACGGAGATACGAATGGAAAAGTAAATGGGTAATGCCGTATGCGTGTTGAAGCCGGACATTAAGGGGCTACCGAGTTGAAAAACGCCAAACCCAGTGTATCAGCACAGACCAGTGCCTCCACCTAGTCCTTTGCGCTGTCTCCGATGTTCACCTCACCCCTTGAGAACAGAAATGGATAGAAATTTACATGTACACTCCCATATCCGCCATATTTCATGGTGCATTTACTATCTTTCACATTTACTATGAAAAGATAGTAATGTACCATCAAAGATACCGGCACGGCTATATTTTATCCTCACTTTATAACAAAGTACAATGATGTGTACTATACTTCTTCTACCTTCTACCTTCTTACTACGTATAGAATATCGGACTTAAATCTGCAGCACCGTCCCCTCTCTTTCTACGGTAAGAACGGGGTTCGCCGTAAAGCCTAACATCCTATTTAACCTAAGAAACATTATTAACCAGCACAACAGGAGTTTCATACTCTACCCTAAAAGGTTTAGGTGAGCTTTCCGCATGCGCTGAAAAAGAGGGGTATCCGACCAACATTCAATCCGGAGTATATTATACATACAAACAGAGTCCGCGATATTCGACTTATGTGTCATCCACCAAGTCCTGCTATTCGAAGAGGAACCTTAAGCTTGACCGATGGGAACTTCAAAGCCTTCCCTATTGAGCCAAACAAAAGAGTAACACCCAGTACATACGACCGTGATAGCAAACACGATTCAAAAGTAGGAACAAATGTCTTCGATGTTGGAAGAGATATCGGAACGACGACCGAAGCCCTGTAAAGGCGCTTAGGCGTATGGGTGTGAACTTCAGACCGTTCTTCGTTGGAAATGTTCGCGAAGTAATCCGTTAGCGGGCATTCCTTCCATCGCACTGAGGAGAAGTCCAGGTCGCCTAGTTGAACGACTGAGGAATGGGCGACTTCTTCACTCTGGCAAACTGGGGCTGATGGCGAAGGACGAAAAAGGAACACTCCGTGCAGTGGTATGAGCCACCACTTTCTTTGAGACGGAGCGAAGTGGTGGCGGCTCGCTATTCACTGACACAAACCATAATGCTATTTCAAGGACAGTAGTCGAGCATTTGATTTCATCGTGATGAACTGCGTTGAGATGAATTGGTTGAGGCTCTAAGGCTCCAACATACAATGTTCCTTTGGTATCATGATTGCATATTGTTTTGGAAGTCTGTAATTCCTTGGTATAGGGTGGCGGATCATCGAAAGTGTTGACCCGTGACCTTTCCTTCACACCCGGGAGGATTCGTATGGCCAATTCTGCAGATTTTCCGGGCTGGCAGGGTTCCTTATCCTCCTCGGTCTTTTTCGAAAGTCTTGCCTGGATAGAATAGCCTATTCCAAATCTGGTAGTCGACAGATCTTCCAACTTGGAATGATTCTCCTTAAGTGTCGAAGCATATCCTAGAGATGGCGGAGGCAGTAGATGAGACTGAAGGGCTTCCCAATCTTCTCCATGCCGGCAGATGCTTATAGGGAGCTCAGTCGGTATGACAAAAAAGAACGGGATTTTGTACAAGTACCCGGTCTTCAAATTCTGGCACGTCGAGAATGCGCCATCCTCGATAGGTTGGGTTAACTCCAAAAAAGTCTTTTTTCTGTATGTCTTAACGGGCAACATGACACCATCGCTCTCGATCCGTGATTGACCTAGGGCACTTTATTAGTCTCAGGAGTGAATCAGGACAAGGTACGAATCTACTGACCTCTGAATAGGATTTCCACCATGCTCGGTTGAATGACATCCTTCGTTTTGATCCATACGTATCCCTCTAGATGCTCACCTGTGGAATAAAAGCGACGCCCGGTACCATATCCACACAACTCTATGCGAATGCTTTCGCGGAATGGTCTCGTGAGCCTTGCCATAGATTCGTGTCGCGCAGGTTTAGAATGACAAGGGAAACACTCGATAAAGAGTCGAAGAATTATACAACCGACTAGATTTCCCTTCGGTCCCACTTTTTGTTCACCATCAGACATATGCTTGTGAGCTTACTTCCGGTTCCACCTTGCATCTTAGTTAACCCATACCCGGGCCTTCAAACTCCAAGAGGGTGATCAGTTAATACCAGGATGCTCTGTTGCAGTAGTGTTGGGATTCAAGATCAACGCATCTTTACAGTCGACAGCTCACCCATTTAATAAATCGCTTCTTTCAGTCTTCGTAAATGCCAGAGTAAGAACTAACTGTTCCCCCTTGGGTTATTGAAGCGTGTAATTTTTTGGGTAGGTTCACCCGGGTACCTGTACCCGGACAACCCGCGGATCAAGTGGACCTCAACGGATGGTCATTCCGAAATCTTCTTTCACGGGCCCGTTATCTAGTGATAGTCTAACGAGGTAGCACATGAGTAGATATCATGGCTAAGAGGTCCCACCTCGTATTTTGCGGTGTAAGTCAACAGGGCGAGATAGGATACATAATATATCCATCCCAAGACCTTATCATCAATTGATGTTGGATTACAAGAATTCGCAGATTGTGCAATCTTGGTAGAAGTCTATCAACGTGGATGTTGGGTGCCAAAACAAGCTGTCAGCGTGATTTTATTGCGTGAGCTTTTGATGTACATATAGGTCTGTAACTCTGGTCTTCTCCAAGTGCAAGTAGTCCCTTGCCGCCGTAGCGCTAGTTATTCTAGCAAACGTCCCCTATCGGATATAGGAATACCCTCGAAAAATAATTGTACACTGTATTCACACCGTTCATTACGCCACCGGCGATAGCTCAGTCCGCATTGTTTGCACAAGTCCAGGTGGCGCTCTTGCCGCTGTCGGATATGGACTGACCAGAAGTCCAAAGTCCCAGTACACACTAGGAGAGATTAGCTTTCCAATAGGGTATTGCGGTCAGGCTCAATCATAGATAACTTACAATCGCGCAGGCTATGCCAAAGATGATGACGTTTAGGACAGTGAGTAAGACTTTCTTCGGGGTAGAAAACAGTTGTTTCTTGTTCATCGTAAGCCAGAAGACAGCAGGTAGCCCGTCTGTTATATTCGTCAGCACGTCACCTGTCACGGGCTCTCATTTGGCAATTCGTCTGCACAACACTTACAGCTAAACCAGCTTCCGAAAAGAGCACTCTGAAGCAGTCAATATCCGCAGTAGACGGAAGCTCGGAACGATGAACTTACAATCAGACTCAAGAGGTCGTTAAAGACGGGAATTGACTCCGCAATTACAAACGCTATAGCCCATAAGATTGCTCCAATTGCCACCCAAGCTCCAATGGAGGCAAAGCTGCGCTGGTGCATGACGTTCGAGCCGCGGAAGAGTCGGACATAAATATATTTGCCAGCGACATGGCCCAGAACAACACCGGAGAAAACTACCTGGAGGCCAGGTAATCAGTAACTGAGAATGAAGGTGGGATAGGAGCCCTACCGTCGGGATTGCGAGCCCATAGGTGACCTTCTTCATAATCGGTCCGGCAGAGCTTAAAGCAGGGGACGCCACATCAGGTCCGGCGTATCGATAGATCACAACTGCCGTTACAACGTACATGCAGGTATCAACTACCTGCAATAGGGCAAGTGATTTGGGAAAGTCACGGGGTTCGTCCATCTCAGACATATATCCAAAGAATGCCACATGAGCGACTAGTCCGGAGTTAGTGACCTGGAAGCTCCTTGGTCGTGAGAACCAAGTAGTGGGACATGGGAACATACTATAAGCAAACACTATATTTGTGACAGCAAGGAAAGCCTTCTGGAAGCTGACCTCTGTCGTTGCTTCTGTAAGATCAGGTCCCTTAGCCTGAACACCAATAGCCACCATTGTCACCACTGTTGCAGCGAGAATGCTCGCGAAAGCTGTTTTTATGGTTAGCTCCGTAAGAACCTTGAGGTATGGTAAACAAACATGCAACTGAAATCCAATACACCTTGTCCATCGTTCGAGGCAGGGCGCCAACGAAGCTCACCAGCGTGCCAACCACGGCGAAGACGATGGTGCAAGTTCCATGGTTGGTGAGTGTATTCATCAGCACCGAGAAAGTGAGAATATGACTAGCCATAATAAAAATCAAAAGCAAAAGCTGTCCAGTTCCGAGTAACTCCCGTCCGATGCGGCCCATAAGAAGTTCGCCAGCGTCGGCCATGCTGTGAATCTGGGGATACCGTAGTTTGAACTGCCCGATAACGAACGCGGTGTACCAAGAAATAGCAGACAGACCTAAGAGAATGATGATGGCACTATTTCGGTTAGTCTGGGGTTGATATCTGTGTGGGAACACTTACGGCGCAATTCCTAGGGTTGCAACTGCCGAAGGGAGAGATAGAATTCCTAGCGAAATATTCTGTGCTATCATAACTGTTTCGGTCAGTGAGTTGCACCTTTATAGAATGAGTACTGCCATTTCCTTACTCATCCCACATTGCCTGTTCTCATGGTCAGTCTAAGTCCAACTCCTTAAGAGTATTGGACAGGCACTCACCACCACGACATCACTCGATATTTGATCTGCCCATGTTCTTCACTTCCAAAAGGATCTTCAGCCTCATTTAATGCCATGGTTGATTTGGAGTTTTCCTCTTCTGTGATTAAATCCGAGGACTTTTGGCCGACGTCGTTCTCAATGTCAGTTGCAGCTGTCATTTTGATAGCAGTAAAGAAGTTGGTTGCAGGGAAATTTCTTAGAGATTCGAGAGAGTATAAATTGAAAGGAAAGCTATAACTAGGCAGAGTTGAGATACTTATGAATTCCGGTTTGAGAGTGGCACACCAATGGGACATCAATGGCTACCAACACACGCGAATGGAAAGTAGCGTGGGAATGGGGTATGGGTAGATGCTCATGGTGGGGGCAACTTGAACTATAATCTCGGACGCTTGACCCGTTACCTAGGCCGGAGTAATTGAATAATTGGGTAGATCTAGAAGTTTGAAGCTGAGCCCTTCAATTTACATAGGGGCTCATTTGTGACGCACTGTATTGTGTATAGTGTAATGTATGATGCCAATAAGACTCGGACGATTACGAAGCGGTGATATTCTTTGCTATTCAAAAAGAGACAGCCAAACAGTCTAAGAAGAGTTAGCATGTGCGTCAATGCTAGCTCGCAGGTATACATGTATCCATATCAAATGCTGAAGGAGAAGGATACGGCGTTTCGGGGGATCGTCCCGTTACAAGTCTCCGTACCGGTAACTTACGGGTGCATGTACCCGTGCACGTAGGGGGGACGGGATGATCAATACAAATTTCAAATGTTTTTTGAGAGAGATGCCACGATAAGCGAAGAAAGAAGCAATGTCATAAACGCACCTAGGCACTATACTATATGTGCATGCAAATTATATGCCTCGTAGCAGTAAAGAGTAGGAAAGAGCCCTGGAGGAGCACCTGGGCAGCTAATGTATTATGTAATCATGCACATGCCCCCCGGCCGGAGGTGGGCGCGTCCATCGATGTAGACGTCAACGCAGCTTATCTTCAACTTGCAACGAAACGAGGGGGAATATATTGCTCGGACCTGGTCTCCGAAGCAGTATTGGGTTCAATCACTCTTACATTTGATGAAGCATTTGAATCCATGAGACATAATGACTCCCCGGCAGCCTGTCAGCCGAGTACCTAATGCGTAATATCATCCGGGAGCCAAATTGCTGCACAACGCTGATCCCTAGCCAGATGCGATGAATGCAAAAGAAGAAAGGTGAAGTGCTCGGGGAAAATCCCATGTGAATCATGTGTGGCACGACGTATCCCCTGTGTGTTGAAGGCAACACCAAAGAAGGTCACGGTTTCTCAAAGGTATGTACCCATCGTCGTGCCTGGAGACACACGTTGATCAAATGACTAGTTATCTGCTGGCACTTGAGAAACGAAGTCTAGATCGGTCTGAAAGTACATCTACGCCTGTGTTAGATCACGATGCCTTATCCTCGGCACTCTCTCCACCTCCAACATCACATTGTATGTGATCAAGATCAGCTTGGTGTCATCTGCATCACTAATCATTTTAGCCAATCCTCCCGAAACTCCTATGCCAGAGGCCCCCGTAGTGGAACCAATCACGAACCCACTTGTGTCACCTCAGTCATTCTACCTGCAGGACGGCACTGGTCGCTATCGTAAGGCCAACTCAAAGATATCGCAACAACGGCTAAGCTGATTGTACAGGATTTTGTGGACCGTCTTCCACTTGGGCATTCTCCCAGCGAGTGTTTCTGCTGTTTAAGACTGTGATGCCGGACTACCCATCTCCAAACCTTCCATTTCACGTCGATGGCAGCACATGGGCACTAAGCTGGAACCGAACCACCCCGAGCGATGCATCACTGTTGGACGGCCTTCCTTCTCACGATGACTTTCTATATCTACTAAGCACGATCAAGTTCCATTCCCATCGGATGCTTGTCCTTCTGGATGAAGATGAATTCTTCCCTCGTTTGTCTGCATTCTATCGGAAGGGGATGGATGAGGTGAAAGAATCCCCCCTTTGGTTTATTCAATACTTGCTGCTCATTGCCTTGGCCAAGTCCTGTCTGGGGACATCAAGCCATTCAAGCTCGCCTCCAGGGTCAGTATTCTTTGAGCGCGCCATGTCCTTAATGCCTGACTTTGTGGGGTTGCATCGACAGCCGAATCTTGCAATGCAGATCCTGTATCTCACGGCACTGTTTCTGGTGACTGTCGACATGAAGGATGCTGCATACGCGTATGTGAGTATTTTTTCTTAACACCCTATAAGCTCGCACTCTGACCTTCTTTCTTCTATCTCTGCTGACACCTCGCCAGATTAGCCAATCTATTCGAATGTGCATCATCGAAGGTTTGCACAGGGAGCCACCAAGCGAGCTCTTTGGTCACAGATTTGCACGTCAATGCCGGGATATTTGGTGGTCTGCCTATACCTTAGATCGCCATTTAGCTGCTGTGATTGGATGCCCAACTTCCATACAGGATTCACAAATTACATGTGCCCTTCCGACAGCATACGATGAGTCGGAGAATGTTCAGTATATGACCATGCATATCAAACTAGCGAGGATCGTGGGCCATATCCTGGATTGTAAGTCACTATAATGCCCTGCCTAGCCAGAGGGAACTATCATCGGGCCGCTTTTACAAACGATACTGACTGCATTTAGCCGTATACACTACCGAGGACACTAGAAAGCGCACATTCATTGCAACAGTCCAATCTGTTCTTAGAGAGTTGGCGCAAGTCTTGCAGGAGATAGAGCAGCTCACATCCCACGGCCAATCTGTCCCTTTCGTCGCAGTTTCGACAATGAATTGCCATTTGTATCTGACCTACCATCAAGTGAGAAATATCCAGCCCATGATGCATCAAAAGCGCCAACTAATGAAATCGAAGTGCATCATCTTAGCGACACGTCCGCTCTTTCTATACTTTCTCCTTCGCAGGCTCGATGGCTATCATATTCCAGCCGAACAGAGAGACGATCCAACACCACTTCAACTGAGACCGCTTCTTGAAGTTTCTTTGCAATCTGCAAAATCTATATTGCGTACACTTTCAATGTTACATGAACAACCCCATTCAGGTAAGGCCAACTTTATCTTCATGGATTTGAAAAAGAATCGACTAATCTTTCTCAGAACCACTATTTCCTTTTGGACTAGATTACCTTTTTTCATCAACATTCATTGTTGTTATAGCGCATTTTATAGATCCATCGTTGGTGATGGATATGCAACATTATGTGACAAATGTCACTCGTATGCTAAGTGACATGGCTGCAAAGGGGAACGCAATGGCCCGCTTGCGGCAAAAGGAGCTCGCGCTCCTACAACAAATGAAAGAAGCAGTCATCGGAAGAGAAACCGGGCGCCCAGGAGGACCTGACTTCACACCGGATGCCTCCAGTACTATACACGCCTTTTCCCCATTCCAATCGACGGGTGAATGGGTTGGAGCCGCGGAGGATATTAGTGTAAACCATGCGCAGATACTGAGTTTGGCTCAGCAGCTGGATGTTTTGAGCGGCAGTGACTGGGACATCAATTTTGGCATTGGGGGTGACTCATGGATCTAATGCGATTGGTGCGTCCAGTATTTTCTGTTTTATGTACAAGCGCCCAAGACAAAACCACTCTCACTCGTACAATCACCTTGTTCGACAATGAAAGACATCGTTCCTGTATAGTATGCGTTTCCCTCGACCAGAACAACGACGCCGCTCCTAGCCGTCTGGGTATTGGGACCCTCAATCTTCACATCCTCGTCGACGATGTTTGCAACAAAGGCACCGGTGTTGAAATGGTTCGAGACAAGTGAGTTGTATGCCCATGTCTGACCCTGCTTTCTGGTTCCCTTGGCATGCGCTAGGGCCATACGAGCAGCCACGCATGACCCAGTCGGCGATCGGTCAATTTGGTCTTCTGCGAAGAAGCAAAGACCGGTCTCCGCTCCGTCGACACCATCAGGCTTGGAACCAATTTCATGATCAACGACCATGACCGAGTAAAGGAATGACAATCGCTGGTCCTCTGGGTGCTGCAATGCCTCAATGACGTGTGGCAAAGTGACCAGGTGCCTCTTCAACCTCTTCACAGCAAACGTGACAGCTTCAAGGCTGAAATTATGCAGTCCGGTGTGCAAACCAAGCTCACGAATATCCACAAGTGCATAGAAGGCACCTCCATACGAGACATCGAGCCGAATCGAGGTCTTCTCACCGAGTTCTGGCCAGGCGACCTCTGGCGGGATTGACACTTCCAAGTCTTTCGCTGCGCAGTATGCCGGAGTAGACAAAAACCGGACCGGGCGGGAGGAATCTGATTTCTGGCCGTCGGCGGAGGTAGGAACCACAACCCGAACCAGGCCACAGGGCGCGTGGATATTGACTTCGACCTCACGCGCCGTCATATCAGGCTTTAATTCATTCCGCTGCGGGAACACAGTCAAGTCGTGGGTGTCAACTAGGAAGCGCCCGAGAGCGATCGTTGCATGACCACACATTGTCGAGAATCCACCGTTGTGAGTGAACAGAGTGCCGATGTGCGCCTCGCCTGATTGGACAAGCTCCGTCTCTGGAATAATGATCGCACCGTACATGTCGTAGTGACCGCGCGGCTCCAACATGATTCGTTTGCGAATGTGGTCATATTGGCTCTTGGCTTGGTCTCGTTGCTCTAGAAGAGTGCCGTTCAGCGTGGGGAATCCAGAGTAGATGATGCGGGTGGGTTCTCCAGTGGTGTGCATGTCAATGCACTTGATGACCTCCCCGGAGGGGGTCTGTTCGAGTTGGCGAGCAACATCCATGTTTCTGTGCGGAAATATCAAAGTCCACGGGTCGAGCAGGTTTTGGACAAAAGGTGTATCTTATTCACTTCGACGAGAGCGAGGTCCCGAGTTCGGATGCTGCCTCCGCGGACCAGACATCCGAACACCCCACTTGGACGAACGGGGCCGACCTCTGAGGCGATAACTTGTGATATACAATGTAAGAACGGATTTGCGGACTGAACTTCATAATGCCCCTCATTGCACCCTGTCGCATCACTTTTCGAATTTGGTTTTCGGAGCCCGCTTCAAATCACAATGCTCATCCTCACCAACCATGATGTGTCCAACATCCTCCTCGACCTTTCATCGGAACAAGTTCGCCAGCTTTTGAACTCCCTCGGCGAGACTTTGAGCGTTTATTCCAGAGAGCAACTATTAGATGACCCCAAATGCCTACATCAACCACACCGAAGCAGTGTTGTGACAAAACACAATGATACGACCTTAGTGATGCCTTCATCGGACACCACCAATACGGGAGTTAAAATCGTCACACTGCCTCACAATGGATCAGCTACGGGTGCCATTTTGATTATGGAGCCCACGGGCCAGGTCGTGGGAATGTTGAATGCTGCCGAAGTCACCGCATTCCGGACGGCGTTAACCATCATGACTCTCTTTGTACGGGTGACACATATCCCCAAGGAGAACATCGTTTGTTTCGGATCTGGGCGACAAGTCGAGTGGCATATCCGCCTCGCACTCCTTCTGGCACCCACCGAGATTCGAAATATCACGATCTACAATAGAGGCCGGTCTCGCTTGGATCAGCTAGAGAAAGAGGCAATTGCTTGTCTACGCACCCGCTATCCCCAGGTCAACTTCCGGCTTGTTTCTAAAGAGGCAACTCCGGACTTTGATACTCTGGTTCAGCTAAGCCTCAGCTTAGCAGATGTGGTCTTCTGCTGCACCCCATCCACTGAACCGCTTTTCGCATTCCGAGACCTGGCTTCCACGTCCAAGCCCAGGTTCATCTCGGCCATCGGTTCCTATCAGCCCCATATGCACGAGATTGATACCGAAACACTGCTTTCCGGCGGGCAGATCTTTGTTGACTCTAAAGATGCATGCCTACAGGAGTCCGGGGAGCTCATCACTGCAAATGTGAAACCTGACCAATTGGCAGAAATCGGCCAGTTCCTGGCCTCGGATGATAGTCCTGGCATACCATCTACAGGAAACATAATCTTCAAATGCGTTGGAATGGGTATCATGGATCTTGTGATTAGCAGGGGTCTGCTTGGCATTGCAGACAAGGCGGCCATTGGACAAACCGTGGCTAAATTCTGAAAGAACCGAGCTAGCTAACTATGGTATTCTAATTATGTATGTAGATTAAGTACAAGTGGACGTAATTCCCCATCGTTAAATAAAATTTCCCTGTAGGGGTGATGTTTGCGCAGTATTATGAGTTTCGCATAGCCCCTCTGATCTCGACCAGGTCTGTCTTCAATGTCTTTCCGCAGTTCTATTCTGTCCAGATACGGGCCTTCCACAGTATTTCCTTTTTTCCATGTATGACAGATGTCGGTCTGGTGGCCGAAATGTGGAAATTGGCCAGGTCGGATGTGCCGAGCAGATGTCGGTCTGATCCGACAATCCAGATGAAATTGTTGGCGTGATTATTGCTCCAGCTGATGCCATCCCGATAGGTATTTCTACCTTATCATCACCGGAAACTTGATGGAAGACCCAAAGCACACCCGTGTACGTGTCGGTGCCCGTATTCTTGGCAATTGGCACTTAAAAGTGAGGACCAAGGTCAAGTCGACATCGCATGAGTCCGGCCATTGCACACCCATTTTTGAAATCGAGTTTTCATTATGCAAACTAGTGACGTTGAGAAGATAAAGAATGATCATATGGGGGGGTATTACAAACACTCTATCATGCGAGCAAGGCGAAGCAGTCCAATTCGAGCCAAATTCGCCAGCATGCAAGACAGTGCGCTTCAGGACAGATTTGGTTATCATGCCTTTGATCACTCTAACGATGACCTTGGCACTGCTCGACAAGGTACGTCGCTCACCTTTCTCCAGTTTTGGCCTTGCTCGGGATGAATATAACAGATTGACCCTTTGGATCCCCAGAACGGACTTGCCTATGCTGCTCTGTACGGCATGAAGGACGAAACGAACTTGCGGAACCAAGAATATAGCTGGCTCGGCAGCATCTTCTATTTCGGCTACCTTGTCATGGAAATACCCAATATGTGGTTTATCTCCCGTCTTCCCCTGGGAAAGTATATGGGCGGGTGTCTCTTCGCCTGGGGAGGATGCTTGGCCTGTATGGCTGCTTGTCATAATTTTGCGGGCCTCGCTGCAATCCGCTTCCTCCTGGGTGCCTTCGAGGCCAGTATCCTCCCATGCCTGATCCTTGTTAATTCAAAATGGTATCGCCGGGAGGAACAGCCATTGCGCACTGCACTATGGGCCAATACATTTGCAGGCGTCTTTGGCGGAATCCTGAGTTATGCGATCGGCAGGATTAACGGCTCGTTGTCTACATGGATGGTGTGTATATCTCTCTCACTTCGCTGAGTCACCTTTACTGACAGAACTAGTACATATTCATCATCTACGGAAGCTTCACGGCTCTGATGGGCTTTGTGGTCATTGTTGCTCTGCCCGACTCACCTTCCGATGCCTGGTTCCTCAGCCCTGAACTTCGAAAAGTCGCAACCCTTCGATTGACATCCAATCAGACAAGCACAATCAGGACGGTAAGCAAAAATGTTTGCGCTCCGACGGTTGCTAATTATCACTAGGAAATTAAATGGAAGCACATTCAAGAGGCTGTGCTTGATATCAGATATTGGTGTCTAGCGATATTTTTGACCGCGCAGGCCATCACAAATGCCGGTATCACCAACTTCAACCCTCTAGTCATAGCCCAGTTCGGCTATTCCACGTCGAAGACGGTTTTGATGGCGACTCCACAAGCAGCCATTGCCATGGTAGCCCAGGCTTCAATGACGGCTGTTACGCTTTTTGTGCCTAATCTCCGATGCTTTTTCTGGGTCCTGTCAAGCTGTATAGCTTTAGCGGGTGCAGTAATTGTCGGGACCGTTGACCCTGTCACCCAGCCCCAAGTTTCGCTTGCTGGTGTCTATCTTATGGGATTCTACAATGTCTCCTGGGTCATGGTCTTGAGCCTTCAGTCCTCCAATGTGGCAGGCATGACGAAAAAGAGTTTCGTCTCCGTTTCTGTTGGAGTGTTTTATGGTAGGCTGTCAGAGTACCTTCTGCATTCATCCTCTTCTTGCTAACCATGTTTGCACACAGCACTCGGTAACATCGTGGGACCTCAATTCTTTCTGGATAGCCAGGCCCCGAGATATTCTCTTGGCATCGGGGCCATGAGGTGCGCTTTTGCTGTGATGGCGGCCACTGGGATTATATACTATTTACTTTGTGTTTTTGAGAACAAGCGCCGGGATAAGCACGACTCGGTTGCTTCGGGGCTTAATGAAGTGGGAGCCAGTCAGATGGCGATCCAGGATGATCGTACCGACCAAGAGAATCGTCATTTCCGTTACACATACTGAGTATCTGTTGGAACAATATCCTGAATCTGCACACATTGCTAGTATACCGCCAGTGTCGGCTGTTTACGCCTGCGTGGTTACAAACAAACCAGTTTACTATATTCAGATATGCAAATACTACTACGAACGAACAAACTAAACTGATGCATTGCCAAATACAGGTTGAGCTAGCAGTATTGAAGTAGTTCGTCCCAAAGAAACCCCTTCCCGCCCAGCAAGTCATGTGCTTCATACAAAAGGGTACTACACCCTGTGTAATGCGCCTTGCCCTCAATCTGAACCCTTACTGGATCCCCAGCTCTTTGGGACCCAGTTCTCTCAGTCCCAAGTACGGTGGCAACCAGCCCTTCTAACCCAAATACATGAGTCGGTACAGAGTGATATGTCCACGAGTCCCCTAGCTGAAGATTCCCCCGTGAAACATCCAGAGCAGCACGAGCCGCTGCCGCACTGCCTGTTGGCGACCGATCAATATGGCCTCCCCCGAAGAAATAGACACCCAACTCAGCTCCTTTTGTGTCTGGCCTCGCCGTCCCGGTGTTTTTGTCTGTTACCATAACTCCAAAGACGGTTCCATAACCTTCTTGGTTGGGATACCTGAGATATCTTTGCAACTCAGGACTTGTGTTGAGGATATTCTTCACCTGCTCGATCGCATATCTGAGTCTTGAGAAATCTGATATTGCCTCTTCAAAATTTGAAGAGGTCCCCAGGTCTTGGAGGAGAACCTGTGCGATGAATGTACCACAGTACGCCAGCGAAAGGGTCACAGTCTCTCGTGTGCCAAGCTCGACCCACCGATTTTCGGGGGAATAAATACTTTGATTTCGGTGGCTATCGCATAGGCAGGCAGCGCAATAAACTTGATTGGGCGAGTCGGATCTGACCGATTGCCGTTGTCGGTTGTGGGTATAGTTGCGTTGATGAGTCCCCCGGGGGTATGAAGGATCAAACTCGCTGTTTGTGTGTTTGTATCGTAGTCGATGTCATTCCTGCGCGGGAAAATACTCAAGTCGCAGGTGTCGATGAGGAATCGACATATAGCAATGGTGGCATGACCGCACATGTTGCTATAGCCATTGCCGTGGATATAAAGTACGCCCATGTGCGCTTCGCCGGTTTTGGTGAACTCGGTTTCAGGGCGAAGGATGGCGCCAAACATATCGGCATGGCCTCGAGGCTCATGAAGAACTGACCGTCGAATATTGTCGTGGCAGTGTTCAGCCTCGGCCTTTTGCTCAAGCAGAGTGCCACGTAGATCTAGATAACCTGAGATCACAAGACGTGTTGGCATGCCACATGTGTGCATCTCAACACACGCCATCTTTCTAACGCCAAGTGACAAACGCATGCTTTGAACGGGGTCCATCTTATAACATGCAATCAGTAGCTGGTCGATGATAAATCAGAATGTTGAAACGAAAACTCCGAATACCATCCCAAGCATGATCCGTACCTTGTAACTCGATGGACTGCCAGACAAGCAAGTCAACGCAATGCAGAATTATCTCAAAATTCATATAGTTAAGTACGGTCAATTATTAAATCGTCATTGTCAAGGGTAGCAGTCGGCTTCTCATTCCGTACAATCGTCGGATATACCGACCTTTTCCCCACTCTCGACTGTCGCAAGCGTGGAGTTCCTTTTTCGCCATCGGCAGATCCGAACTTCCACTTGGGATAGGTAAATAATAAGTCATCATAATCCTTGTAGGTATAATAACATAAAATTTAATGGCAATTATATAGGCAAGGAGAGTGGGACGTATAGCAACCTTGGAAGCGATTCTACTTGACATTGAAGTTAAAGTCTACCATTCCGTCAAGACCGTTCATTCAGTCTTAGTCCTGTACCAGAAATTCGTCTGCTTCTAAACCATCAGCCAAGTTCAAAAGATCATCCGCCGACAAAGTGAAATCACTATGATGTTCTAAAGGGCCCCATGATGCAAAGCTTTCTAACCACCCTGCAGCTTCGCCATCAGATCTCAAGTCTGTTTCTTGAAGTCCAGAATCTCTCCGCGAGCTCGATGATGTCCTTTCTTGGGATGGTTTCCTCATATACGAGTCCATCTTTTGTTGCAGGTGTTGAAACTCTCGACTCCGGAGAGGTGCGGCTAGGCTACCCTTCGAGACCATAATGTCGAATATCTCATGGGCCGCCTGGAGCCACGAGTTGTCGGTAAGGAACCCAGGAAGAAGTTTATCAATAACATAGAGGACAACTGCAGAGGAGAATGCTGTCTCTAGTTGCAAGGAGAGCAAATGATCTAGAAGATCTTTAGTTGATTGCCATACAAGGAACACGTTGCATCAATTTAAGTGCAAACGTACCAACCATGTTATTGTCGCCCAGAGCCTTCAATATTCTCAAAATATTCAAGGCGGAATCGGTGCAGGACTGCAACAAAGATCTCACCGAGCCATCTTGTATCTGTACACTGCAGTCAACCCTGGCGAGGGACTTATGGAGGGCGCACACGACTAGCGGACGAGTTGCCAATACAACACACTGTAGAAATTAGCCGGCGGACTCAATAAAAATGACATAACGCACATGATGATAGGACAAAGTGAGGTTTGTTGCTATCTTTGATGTTCGAATATCCGTTGCTTTGAACCTTGTGTCGAGATACGAACCAAGCTCTTTCTTCACCAGCGCAATCCCGTGTAAAGCTGATTGGATATCCACGAGCAAAGTTCCTCTCGCACTTCTATCCACGCCATAAATGCCTGTTGATTATTTAGTCTTTGCTTAAGGAGCTCATGAAGGGACTATGACAAACCAGTAAGTATCTTGGCAGTTAAACGAGCCATTTGCACCTGTAGAGCCAATGCTTCCGTCTTGCCAGGGTTCGATTGTGATGGATCGCAAAGGTCCACGGTGATATCTTCGTCTCTAATGGAGCAAGGTGCGCCAATCAGGGTTCCGAATTCGCGGTCGATCATATATGCAGTCCAGAATATGGTAGTGCACCGCTTGGCATGCGAAGATGTAACTTGCAGCGCAGACATATGTCTATGCCAGCCCTCAATAACACATATCCGTAGGGCTTGTCCAATCTGGAAGAAAGACTCAGAGTCGGAGTAGTTTTTGTGTAAGATAACGGGCAGAGCTTACCAACTGGAATGATATTAACCGGGAGTCCAGCGCTTGGACATATAATGCGGCCAGACAAAGTGCCTCTACGGCCGCCAATGAATTCTTTTGGAGGGGACTAAAACATGGGAGCAGGGATAACCCGCGTACCGCGTAATTTAGCCCCGCAATGGGTTGTGTAGAGCCGACTGAGATGAAGGCTTCGCCAAAGGCGAGAACAAGGAGAAATTGCGCGTACCAAAATCGTGACTCCTGCGCTTCTTTAGCAGGATCTCTGTAGAACATCTCCATGTGCATGCAGAAATACTCATGATTTATGATCCCGTACAATGACCCAAGGTGGTAATTCACGGTCGAAAGTAAAAGAGTAGCATATTCAAAGGACGGCAGACTGCCGACTTCCGGCGGTTCATCCAAGCCAATTGGGTTCCATTTCAAAGGAATTGATTCCAAGGCCCAGGGATTGACTACCGGCTCTTCTTCTGAAATATGCGCACCTATCATTCCCAGGATACGCTGACAGAAGCTCCAAGAAGACGTGGGGCCCATGTACCCTAGAGGGAAATTAGCCTTGAGGGTCTTCTGGTCTAGTCCGCTGCAAAGCGTAACGGCAGAACCATACAATATTTTCCTTGCGGATCAGTTGCAAATGATCGATTGCTCCCCACCAGAGGATTCCGGTTAAAATATGTCGGAGCGGCAGCTACAGAATGATCTCGAGGGTCATCCTCAGGCATTGTTGGCGGAGCGCTTCCTAGCAGCGAACAAGCATAATTAGCCTTTCCTCTTCTTCGGTACATAACTGGGGTCTGTACCGGGCCCGTGGCCTCCGAGATTCGGTGTTAGACCACTTGTATTCCTGGTGTCAGCGGTGGACCGAGCGGACTCGATGATTGACCGCGGAGTGACCACTGAGGGCGGCATATTTTCCACCGACTCTGACCGCACCGCACAATCAGTGGCCACAGCATCCATTGCTGCAACGCGTCGCTCCAATGACTCGAGATAACTCCAGCGATCATTAGCATGGTACAGGGGTCTTGCCTTGTCGAATGAGATCCAATCGCACCTTTGCAAAACAGTCACTCGGCCACCGTCAGATTTATAAGCACAGGCTTCTCGCTTCCTTGAGCATCGTGCACAAGGGAAGGTTCCAGAGCAGCGCACTTTCATTTCCCGACACCTTAAGCATCTACAGGAAGGTCAGTGTCTTCTGCGAAGCGGAGTATTTCCCAATTTTTGGAATACATCTACTCACGCTCGTAGACATCTCTTAGACACCCCTGGACCGTTTATCTGTGACATGACCAACGTACTTGGGGTTTCCAAGGTTGAAAGTATCAAAAGGGGAAGACCTAAGCATATGGTCCGTGCACACCCCCTCATCTGGTCGACAGCCCGGCCCCGGGGACATGCCTGGCTTAAGGGTAGGAGATCATAAGACGATTCCTTACGAAGCTGGCTGTCAGAGGAACAATAGTCATGATGGCTCAAGTGACTCCTTTTCCCCAGAGCGGACATGTTTAAACAGGGGTAGAGGCTAGATATATATTCAATATGGACATATAACTCTTAGTGTGACCCACAATATATATACAGATGGCACTCGAGAGTTTGCTCTCGACCCATAACCCGTTGCAATCCAGAGAGATTATTGATTATTCGGTTACTCTTCATGAACTACAAGAGAACATATACTAGGTGAGGTGCACGTTGTCCTTTTCCTTTTTTCCCATCCACGAACACAATAATATTGGCCATGATTTGAAGGATCGTGGCCAAGAGCCGCACACGAAACATTCGAGCCATGCTCGGACTACCAAAATGCGTCAGTTCCGCCGCGGCATTGGAGCTCGTTTGTCGAAATAGGAATGTGGCGGTATAGCGGTCTACAGATCATGATACATTGTCTTCTTCAAGTTCGTGGTCAACGTGTTTCCTGGCCGAGTTTTTGTCGAGCTAAGAAGCTTCTGTCAGCAGAGTACACTGTAAGAAGCAGACGTTGCATACCTTATAGACGAGCCAAATATAGCCAAACATAACGACAGAACAGACAATTAGTGCTATGGAGCCCTTTTTCCAATACGGAGTGTCAGTGGCGGAGTAAAACACGATACCCCAAAAGGTCCACAGCACCATGGAGCCAATGTTCATTGCGAAAAGGGTCACACTGCGCACGGCATCATCCCCGCTCCGCTGCAATATGACATTCGCCCAGCCAAAAATGAGTGGGTTGACCATATATGCGGTGCCAGCGAGATAAAAAGCGAAAAATGTACCCGTGAATGACAAGCTCGGTACGAGAAGCATGCTACCAACGACGATTTGGAGAAGGCAGGCCAAGATCGCCATTGGGACTCGCTTGCCAGTAGCGTCCATATGCCAAGCCGCGACCATATTAGCCATGATGCCTACAGCTTGAATCCCGAGAGGATAGGTATTGATGTTGGTTTGCGTGAAATGGTTCTGGTAATGCTTCAGCCAGAGCAGGAAGTTATTCTGCAAGGGAAACGCCTCAAGGGTCGCACAGACGGGTGACCAGAAGAACAATATCCAACTTGATTAAAGATCAGCGTGGATTGATTTCGAGGGAAAAAGGCATGACTGACAAGGTTGGGGTTAAAAAGACGCGCTTAAACAGCGACAACGGCATGATGTTATGGCCGTCCTTTTTGATACGAGGAAGTCTTGCGATAGCAAGCCGCTTCTCATCTGCAGTGAGATATTTTGCCTTGGTGGTTTCGGGGATGTCGGGAAAGTAGAGGAAACCAAAGATCGCAATCGGCAGAGTAATGATGCCATCTGTGGCCCTTGGTCAGCAGCTTATCCCAGATTTAAAGGGGGTTAATAGATAGACCCTACCGATGAGGAAAACCCATTGCCAGCCTCCAAGGTTGGCCATGCCAACCATGCCTTTATGAATGGCAGCCATCATGATGCCGGCAAACATTGTACCCACCTGACCAGATGCCGTGAATAGTGCAGTGCGCTTCGCAATCTCGTCAGATTTATACCACGCTCCAATGATGTACATTGTCCCTGGGTAGGTGCTGCCCTCGGTTATGCCCAAAAAAAACCTGATCACGCATAGCTGCGGTACGGTCTTCACCGCTGCACTGGCCATCTATAATATGCTGTTAGAGACGGCCACCGAAGGGTGATCATCGAGCTTACTGTCAAACCAGCCCAAATGACAACCATCAAGGGGAACCAAATGCGAGGCGGCACTCGTTGAATAATAATCCCATGGGGCAGCTGCCCAACAGCCATTCTACAGACACAAAATAACAGTCAGTAATTGAACTTGCATCATTAGGATTCGCAATTAGCCATACCCCGCAATAGTGACGGAGAGAACGGTGTTGTAGTCATGACCACTCATATTGAGAGCCTCCCGAAGCCCGGCAACCTGCAAGGTGAATACTTTATTAGCTAGCCACGACCCACGTGCAGTGTTCTCATCCCAAACCCGCATCATTGAAGGAAATAGAGGTGCTCACATAGGCGTTGGCGAAAGCCGCGCGATCTGTGAAGGCGAAATTGTAAGCTAACCAGATCGCCTGGTATTCGAATGATCATACCGAGGAAATTAAAAAAGTAACTTAAGCAGCAGCAGGTCTGTCGCAATTAGGAGTTTTCTTCCCAAAGATTCAATGCTGTTTAAACTCACGAGAATGTAGAAATCTAATCAAAATGGTAACCTTTGAGCCCCTCTTCAACTCTTCAACTTGTAAGCAGACCTCGGGAATCATACCGAGTTTTTGAACAAGCCGTCGCTCCTCTTCCGTCTCCGCAGTAGCGCCTAGGAAAAACCCTTAGAATAGACAAGTCAGTTGGATTCCACAAATGAGTAGCCAAATATGACGCACTCCTGATTCGGAGTGATATCTTCTGATCCTGCATGATAAAAATGAAGTGGAATCGAGGGATGTTGAGCCCCTGTGAGGAACAGAGGGTAAAAGTCTGAATATAAGAACATGATGTCTCAGAGAAGCCCTGGGGAGTTGATTTGATTTGATCAGATAAAGTTCCGCTTAGGCCTTGGCAGAAAAGTTTGATCGAGGGAGAGATTAGATTGATAATTTTTATATGACTTCAATATTATGTCCATAATAAGGGAGATCGTTATATCATGTTCCTCTCTGTAAGTGGTAAATGGGATGCTTAAGCAATAGCACCACTACGCTCCGTTGTACACAGTAGAACAGAGTAGACCTGTGCCGAGTTGCTTGTGGGGAGGGATATTCGTTGTGCGGGGATCGAGATAAACACGAGAAAAAGCAAATAACTGAGTATTTAGACCTAATAAGGTACCGGGAAACACGTTTTAAGGCCGAAAAGTGTAGATCTGTAGATCTCTACAACATAGGGGCCAAAAGCCACCAAGCTGTTGGTCTCGAGAGTCGATTCCTTTGCAGCTTTTTCAGAGAGCCTCGATCCCTTGACCTCTATCACAATCCTCTTCTTCCTAATCCATGTGAACCGCCTCCTATGTCTGTTCTGAGGGAGATGTCTTCCATGCGACAGCCATGTCACTTATGGCTTGGGACCCAATCCGCTGGTACTGCCAAGAAGTCTGGGTAGTGATCCTCCCTGCTTGTACTTGTGAGAAATGGATTTATCTTGCACCGCTTTGGTCTCCCAGGTTCAGATTCTCCTGGGAATCCACGAGATGTCCAATTCAACAGGGTCCACCTGCTGTTGTCCCACCACTCCAGTGTCAAAGCCATTCGTACTCGCACCTGATCGATCCGAGGGGAGGGATTGGCGGATTATCCGACAGTTTGATCAGAAGGCTTAACGTTCAATACGGATTTTTGGATGGCCGCTACCAGATCGAGGAGTTCAAGGGGGACGTATCGGAAATGGCTTGTGGAAACTTGTTTTGAACCTTTAAAAACTGCTTTCCCGCGTCAAGAGAGCATCTGATGCTTTTGGTACTGAAACGGCAGAGGTTTCATTGAGGACGAGATCCCGCGAGATTTGGATGTTTCTTCGAAACACTGTACACCTGGTAGTGACCACGTTGGTCATAGCCGAGAAGACGTCCTTTCGCAGAGTGAGTGAAGATTTTTCTTACGACCCTTTGGGACCATGTACCAACACTGCCAACCTAGCGCACGTAGGTGGGAAACGTCGGGTTGGTACCCGATAAGCTTCTCAAAAGGTGTGCATTCTATCTTAGAATGATAGATCCAGTTCTGGGTATAATTCACACCCTGGATAATAGGTCCCTAGAGACCCTTGAGCTGAGTGAAATATTTAGTCTCATATTGGAACATGGGGACATCAAACTGTAATGCAGGGCCAATTAATAAAGCGACAGTGTATGACCTTAAAAATCCTGGGCATCTTTTCCGATCCAATATAACAACCAGGTCGCACAATGTCCCCAAAGCGGCGTCCGGTTTCCGCTTGTACCATGGGCCTAATTCGATCTGTTCCGTTCCATCGATGTTTTAAGGCATATTCTACCCCAAATGCCATGGCATCGAACGTTCGGAACCCGATCCATTGGCGTGGCCTGGTGCTCTGTGTTGTGAGCTTGCTGGTTAGGATAAACTCGGGTATATGGAAGGAAAAACCGTGGAAGGTGTCGGTGAGGCAGTACTTATATAGGAATTTCCGATATGATACATAGATGGACATGTTTTATATGTCTTTCTCCTTTCAAATATCGTTTCCACGGGGTTTTAATTGAGACCTTCCTCTTTCTCGAGATACCAAAAGCTAGGTCTTCACCACGAATATATATATCTCACTCAGCCCTATAAGTCAATGCAGAAAGGAGTGACGAACAGAAATATCAAATGATAATGAGATAGGTGGTGATGGTATCTAATTCTGCCATGAAACTTATCTGTATAGCTTTAGCTTTAGGGGGACAAAGAGAGAAAAGCACGTAGCTGTAGGAAAGCTGGAAAGAGAGGCATAGCAGGGAGATGAAAGAGCAAACGGAGATCTATCAAAGCTGGATAAGAGCAGCCTCTGCATCAATCAAAGTAATATAACATCCTTATCACTATCACAACCTCTTCTCTGTACAAGAGTTCTTCTCCGAGTACATATGTGCAGGTACATGGAGAGCGTATTCTGTGGCTTTCCGCATTTCCGCCCACGGACTTAGCACCGCGATGCTGATCAATCAGAGAGACGTCCAGGGATATATCCATGCATTCATAGAGAATGAGTCAAACCGAGAGTCACGTCTACATCCAAATTAGTACATTGAACCCGGTCCCTCAAGGTCTACATAATCTACTCAGAATCTTCCCTTCAGTTCATTCCCAGCATCCAAAAGGAATATGAAATATCCTTCTCTGTTATTATCACAACATGTCACTATTACACGCTCTTCACCGTGACATTAGACTCGTCGCTTCTTCTACTGTACCTCCCGAGCTAGACCTGATCCCCGCAAACCCGGCCGAACATGTTCCAGACACGGAGATTTCTGCTGGAGACACCTTGACACCTAGAGACGGCCAACCTGTTTTTGAACGGGCGCTGCCCAGTCGGACGACCAAATCGCGTCGAGTGGCAATTACTGCGCTGCTCGTTCTGGCTAATCTTGTACAGGTATGGCTGGGACCATCCATCTTCCTAGAGCAGAAATCTCTCCAATACTGACAATGGTAGATGACAGTCAATTTTGCAGGGATTGCTGGAGGAAGCACCTTGAGTGAATCATTGGATATTAAAGACACCTACGCCTCGTGGATTGCTGCTAGCTATGCGTAAGGCACAGGGCATCGAGGCCTTCATACTATACTACCTCACTAACACAATACAGTCTAACCCAAGGTACCTTTGTGTTAGTTAGTGGTCGATTGGGAGATGTTTATGGCCACCGAGAACTCGTACTAGCCGGGGGTGCCTGGCTCACCATCTGCACCCTAGCGAATGCCTTCTGTAAGACCTTCTTCGCCTTTGTCACCATGCGGGCTCTAGCTGGCCTTGGAGGGGCTTTAATCATGCCCAACGCGGTGGCTATGATATCCAGCACCAATCCCCCCGGTCGCGTGCGAAATCTCAGTCTTGGTCTCTTTGGTGCGTCGGCACCAGTAGGAGGATATCTCGGGGCCTTGTTCTTGGGTGCCTTTGTGGAGCGGACAGAGTGGAAGTGGTTTTTTATCTTCATGTAAGTGACACGTTCAGTCCATGGGTGGACCTGAACTAGAAGTAAGCGCTAAAGATTCCTTGGTAACACAGTGCCTGCCTTGGTGTCATCACATTCACTCCGCTCTGGGCGTTGAGTCCGCGAGAACCACCTGTCGATCGACACGGGAAAGTCGACTGTCTTGGATCGGCTCTTGGAACAAGCTCGTTGATCCTGTTCAACTTTGTCTGGAAGTAAGTTGTTGGGAGCAAACCGAAAGGTTGCATATTAACATATCCCTAGTCAAGCACCGAGTGTCGGTTGGTCAACCCCCCTATGAGATTGTTCTCCTGATCAGCTCAATGATCTTATTCGGGGGTTTCTTGCTCTGGGAAAGAAACTACGCGGCAGAGCCCATCATGCCACTCGATATCTTCAAAGCTCCATCCTTCCTCATGCTGCTCTTGGTCGTGCTTCTGAATTATATGGCCGTGGGAACCTTGATCTGGTACCAGGTGCTATGGCTCCAAAAGGTCTGGCACTGGTCTCCCCTGCAATTTGCCGTGGGCTGGACCCCATTCGTGATCTGTGCCACGGGCGCAGCCTGTCTCGCAGCGTGGATGATCCCGCGAATGGCAGCACAATGGATCCTGGCTATTGGAACCATCACGATCTTAATATCGAATGTGCTCATGGCGACCGTGCCAATCCATCAATCCTACTGGCCCCAGATCTTTCCTTCTGTGGTCCTTTTCTCATTCTGCCCGGACTTTGTGTACACGGCTGGCCAAATCATTGCCAGTAACTCTGTCCGCCGAAATCAGCAAGGGATTGCTGCGTCCGTCATCGGCACACTGAATCTATACGGAAACAGTCTCGGATTGGGGTTTGCATCCACCATCGAGGTGCAAATTGCCCGCCGGTCGGGTAGCCAAATCATGGGATATCGAGCGGCACTTTTCTTCGGTGTTGCCATCAGTGCTGTAGCACTTCTACTTGATTTGTGCTTTGTTCGACTGGTCAAAGATGATCGGGAAGGCTGGCATGAGGATGATCATATGGAGGAAATTGAACTGACGGAGCAAGCCGAAGCCTCTGGTGTCCATCTACCCAATGTAAACCACTAGGAACTAGGGGAAACCGGGAAAATGTCGGTAGACCGAACGTGGGGTGACGGACAAATGCCGGTTGAGCTTAGACTGTAAAAAGCCTCAGCAAGTGGAGAGAAGGTCGAGAATCTATTTGTCAAAGTTTTTATCGGATGACGTCCACGATACCACCAAGCCGTATGCCCCCGGTTTGACATGGATGCCGTATGTTGTGTATATGCTTCCCCACGTTATGTTAAACTCAGTTCACCATGGCTTCCAAGGTTTGCGGGGATATGATCTCAGCAATGAGTTCGGTGAGAGAAAGGAGGTAGGAAAAGGGAAAAAAACTGCGGAGAGGCGGGGAAATTGTAGGGGATTGGCTATAAGCCGTATGCCGAGCTTGGATTCCGAGTGGGTATCGGCTTTTCTGGCTTTTCTGGTTTCTCTGACTCTGCTGGCGTCGTTTCGTTGGCCGGTTTCTTCCGTTTTTCTTGGTCTTTTGTGGAGATTTCGGTATTTTTCTGGTGTCCCGTGGGAGCCAGTCAAGTCCGAGAGCCCGTGAAGACCGCGATCCCGTGACCTCAGACCCCTAAAAAAGTTCCCGTGCCGACGCGACAACACGGGGTGAACTTTCCCCCCTCACATTCCACTTTTACTCATATATCCAATCAGATACCTCCCTCGGAATGTTTGCTGTTCTCGGATGCCGAGTCGGTGAGCTCCACAGTGCGCCCCCCCGCGTATGTTGTACGCTGGACATACCATGGGGCGTGGGGGTACCGGGGAAAAATACTAGCGTGGGATGAACCATGAGAAAGGTTTTTGGTTCCTCTTAAATGCAAGAATCTGCTCTTTTCTGATCCCCGGATTATCTGGCATTGCTCACCATCACACATACAAACAATGGCAGACGATATCTCACGGGTGAACCGTGACCAGATAGAGGTCGAGGCCGAGAAGGAACGGGTTGAAAATGTCGAACACATTGCCCAACCAAAGCAAGATGGCCTACCTCAGATGGACCCAGCTCGCCGGATAGTTGTCGAGAAACAGCTTAAGCGCAAGCTCGATGCCCGGTGCAGTTTGTTTGTCGCGATCTACAGTGAGTGCCCTCTTCTCCAGTGTTCCATCTGTATATGCATAGACGGCATGTGACTGATCACGTGGATTTCGAAAAGTCATGAACTACCTTGATAGAAACAACATGGCTGCGGCTCGCCTTAAGGGTCTGCAGGAGGATCTGAGCCTGAGCAACACAGAGTACTCGACATGTTTGAGTATCCTCTACGTCGGGTACATCATCATGCAGGTCCCTTCCAACATGTTCATCAACCGCATCAGCCGGCCCTCGCTCTACATTGCCTTGGCTATGTTAGGGTGGGGTCTTGTCTCCACCTTGTCTGGCAACACCAAGAACTTTGGTCACATGGTGGCTGTTCGTTTCCTGCTGGGTTTCATCGAGGCAGCCTTCCTGCCCGGTGCCTTGCTCATCCTTTCCAAGTGGTACACACGCCGCGAATTGACTACCCGGAACGCTATCCTGTTCTGTGGTAATCTCATCTCTAATGCATTCTCTGCACTCGTTGGTGCCGGTGTCCTGTCCAATATGCAAGGCGTCATGGGCCATGCTGCGTGGCGCTGGCTTTTCTGGATTGAAGGCGCGGTGACTATGTTCCTCGCCATCCTTGCCGCTTTCATCTTGCCCGATCTACCGCACAATGCGCGCGGATTCACTGAGGAAGAGCGTCAAGTTGCGCAGCTTCGCATGATCGAGGACGTCGGCGAGGCTGACACCGATAGTGAAGAACTTGGTGCCTTTGGCGGTCTAATTATGGCTCTCAAAGACTCCAAGATCTATGTGATGATGTTCACGTTCGTCGCGTACGTGGTCGGGCTGAGCTTCAATGCTTTCTTCGTATGTGTTCCCTATCAAGCAATCGAATGGGATCTTGTACTGACTTGCTTCATAGCCTACCCTCACTGGTACTCTCGGATTCGGGTATGTCCCGACTCTGCTGATGAGCGCACCTCCCTGGGTCTTCTCCTGCATTGTCTCCGTCATTAATGCATGGCACGCGGACAAAACCCAAGAAAAGGTCTGGCACATCTTGGGCCCTATCGCCATGGGTGCCGTTGGTTTCATCATCTGCATGGCCACCAGCAACGTCGCAGCTCGCTACGTCGCACTATTTCTGCAAGCCGGTTCCTACGCAGGATTCATTGTATTCTACTCTTGGATCAGTTCCTCATTCCCCCGCCCCCCGCCAAGCGAGCTGTTGCCATTGCCATGATCAACGCCTTCAGTCAACTGGGCAATGTCGCTGGTTCATATGTTTGGGACTTGGATGATAATGGGTTCCGCTCCAGCTACGGAATCGTGTTGGCCATGTTCGGTGTCACAGTCGGCGGATGCTGGTATTTCCGCCGGATGCTGCAGGGCTTGAACAAGCAGCTCGAGGAGGGTGAGCTTGCCGATGTTGGTAGAGAGGGGTCGACCGAGAACGATATCCTCGAACACCCAGACGAGTCGCTACGTATGCGCAAGGGTTTCAGGTATCTCGTTTAAGTGTTTCATTATGCGAACGACGTGTTCTCAGAGTCTTTGTCGAGATCCCATAGTCAGCACCAGAACTTAGGTTCCTGAACAATTCCATTGCCCCCAATGCGACCAGTCATGCAATCAATTAGTCCACTCTGTATACCATGGTCGACAAATCATGAGACCTCGAGAGTTCTATCCATTTCATCTTTAACCACGCCAGTGGACCAAGACCTACTCCCTGGTCTTGGCGCGCGAGACTAAACGATAATTTCCCGCTAGGTGAGACTTCTTGAAAATATGCATCTTGTGTATCCAAAGGTATATGAAAGCTAGAGTATGCAATTTTAGCTACTATAATTTCACCGTTCAAACGAGATATAGAAGCGAGTTTTGATATCAGGCCGAGAAAAACAGAAGAACCCCTCTATTCTTTAACTTGTTTTGGTTCAGAATCAAGTTCTATCGGTCCTCCCGCACCAAATTGCGGTACTGGTTATTAGGATCCTGTTCCTCTTCTTCCGCCGATGGAATTGTCTTCTTCACGCGGCAAGGAGTGCCAACGGCAACAGAGAACGGCGGGATATCCTTGGTGACAACAGATCCGGCTCCAATTGTTGAGCCCTGACCGATTCGCACACCGGGAAGAATAATCACATTGCTTCCTATCCAGCAGTCGTCTTCGATAAAGATCGGGTGGCCGAACTCAACGAACTTGCGACGAGAAAGAATGCTGGTATCATGGCCAGCAGTGATGATACTAACTCCGGTGCCAATCTGTACACGGTCCCCGATAACAACCAGGCTGGTGTCTAGTATAGTAACGCTAGGAATTGTTGGTAAATGTCAATGAGACACGGACAGAAAAAGCAGACTCACTTCCAGTTGAAGAAGCAATCCTTCCCGATCATTATGTTGCATCCGTAGTCTGGCAAAAATGGTGGCTCGATAAAAGTTCCATCTCCAACCTTGCCGACGAGATTCCGTAATAACTCAAGACGCTTGTCACCGATCTTGTCATACGTCACGGTCTTTGTGTCCAGATTGTTGAAGTCTGCGGCACGTCCTCGGCACAGATGCCGCGCCTCTAGGAGCTTCGGGACGTTAGGGTTGTACCTAAACAGTTAACAACAAACTTGTAAAGCTGTAAGTATATTGTGAATGATATGTACATACATCATCCCGGATACCATACGCTCATAATCCTCGCAGAAGGGCACTCCTGCTAGTCCCCGAGCTAGCTCGATGATCTCAGGGCGTTTATCAGTGGCTGCCATTTTGAGTAAATTATCTATAAAGACCAGAAAACACCCGTGGACGGGACCGTAGAAACAGACAGGGATACCACGAGATATATGGACCGGAACCCGTGACAGGCGGGGTTGACTTCCCGACAATTCGCCGCCTGTGGAACGCCAAGAAATGGCGGGCCTTCCTATTTGGGTATAACTGCCAACCTGTATAAGCATCCTGTATAAGCATCGATAGTGCCTACCTAGGTACATATGCAGGTACCTAGGTATAATGGACTATTTAAAAATAGTAAATTCGCTATATCATGGAATACTTGGACAGGATCCACAGTGTACTATGTTTCAAACTTACGAATGCGGTTATCTGCTAGAAGGCCATATTTTGTAGACTGTCGGAATCTTCTAGTTATTTTAAGATAATTTGAATTTCTTCCCTGTCTGATAGACTCTCAAGTATAGTCTACCGACTTATGTTGTACATTAACTTTGTCCGCATCGATCGTTTCGCGTCGGACAGCATCAACATCAAATGCAGCCCTGCTGTGGAATATAGTTTCCATCTCTTCAAGACTTTTCCCTTTCGTTTCTTTGACAAAGAAGAAGACAATTATCGCCATGATAATATCGAGCACTGCGTAGAAAAGGAAAACGTAACTGCCCCAGGAATCCATCATGTAGCGCGTCACCAGGGAGAAAAGGAAGTTGAAAAGCCATTGTGTCGATACTGCGACCGAGGTTCCGACCGCCCGAATCCGTGTTGGGAAGATCTTAACATGCTAGTTAGTGGTGGAACTGGTGATAGACGGTGATAGACGAGCATGGGGTTACTTACCTCGGCGGTGTAGGGCCACGGCAATGGGCCCCAACTGAATTGGTAGATGGAGTTGGTCAAGAAAATCATAGCCACCATGCCAATGCCAGCCGGCGTGGCTTTTGCGTCGGGCGCTGGCGTGGTTTCCTTGACGACTGTGACAATGATGAAGCAACCAGCCATCAACAGAGCTGAAATCCAAAGGGTCGGCTTGCGACCCCACATTTCCGAGAAGAACAAGATGTAGATGCCAACAGTGATGAACTTCTCGGCGCCAAAAAGTCCAGTGATGAGAAGGGACTGGTTGGTGTTGTTGCCAACCAGCAGCTTGAAGAACTGCGGGCCGAAGTAAGCCAGCGCGGTCATACCAGTGCACTGCTGACCACAGAACATGAAAAAGGCGAGTAGCAATCTGTAGCGGTTTGCGGGCTCGAGAAGTTCGCGCTTATTAAAGCCCTCTGTTGCTCGTAGTTCTTCCTCCAGTCCGACTCGGATTTCGTTGAACTCTGCCTTGACTTCGGGTCCTACACAGTGATGATTAGCCCTGTTCCACGTCTCTGGGGTAGATATCCTTACCTTCACTGGCTCTCATCCATTTTAGACTGTCCCATGCTTCATCAAAACGGCCTTTTTTGGCCAACCACCGTACACTTTCGGGCATAGCACACAGACCCAGTCCGAGCACTCCAGCTGGCACCATCTGGAGACCAACGGGAATCTGCCACTGCTTTGAAGAGACGGGCAGTGTAATCTTCACCGCATAGTCAATCCAGTAGCTCAACATTACACCTAGGGCAAAGAGCCACTGCATCCCTGATCCGAGCTTGCCTCGAATTTCCTTGGGTGCCATTTCGGCGTTGTATGCTGGCACGACCGCAGTGCCTGCACCGAGACCGAGACCAGCGACAAACCTCCCAATATAGAAACAAGCGAGGGAGTGTGATGGTACCACCTGCAGAACCACGCCGAGGCAGAACACAATCATGGCTGCCTGTACTGTTTTCTTTCGCCCGTACCGTTCGGACACCGAGAAGATCGCTAGGGCGGATAGGAATGCGCCTACATTTTGCAAGCTTACCATCACAGCGCTGACGGTTGTCTGGTCCTTGTACCCAAAATCATTGATGTAAGACTTGAACTCGAGGATACCACCTATTCATCAAGTCTGTTAGTAAATGATCCCTAACCAACTGGGGCTTTCATTTTCACTTACCAACAATTCCAGTATCGTATCCGAACAGGAAACCAGCTGTACAGACAAAGTATCCAAAGAAATACGCTCGGAAGGCCCCGAGCCTGGTTCCTGGTAACCCCATGATGTGCGGACGTAGTACTTCACAGACTACGAGACACGGTGGGAAGAGAGGATGAGAAACCTTGAGGGGTAAAAAGAAAAAAGCACCAAGGCGTATCTCGAAGCCTTTAAATCTAAGCTCTGCAAGGGTTGATTATCCGATTCGTATTCCACGAGGTCACATACAGCACGCAACCTGTAGTGTCGCATACGCCATAGCACGCCATAGCCCCAAACATCCTACCTATCATTAAACAGGAAGACGAAAGGTCCAAGAGCCAAGAGGATGCCAGACAAATAAGAAACGCCATGTGGCATTTTGAAATTGAAATTTTACCGGATATCACTAAATGCGTACTTGATCTCCCAGACTGGCATTCATTTTCCGTTTTAGTGCTCATGTCCTTGCCGCTTTTGGGTCTCTGGGTAAATCTGAGCACGCGGGGCCCCGCGCTCTGACCTCGTTGATCGACACCCGTGGACGCCTCATATCAGATATCTTGAAGCTCCTTCAAGCTCACCTGGGCAGTGTCTCGTCTTCCGCTTTCCTAGTGTATAGGCGGTGTGCATGTCAGGCCGAAACTGCGCGTTTGAACCATCGGGTTTGTGGCCCACCCGATCCGGGGTTCATCCGGTAGTAACAAGCCCAAACCGAACCCAGGGCCCATCTGGGCTTAAATAATGAACAAAGTCGTAGGGGCCAACAGTAATGCTGAAGACATCTCTGTGACCTCAAAATGAGTAGGTTGAAGCTTCTCAACATGCACCGGGCAGTGGAACTAACAATTTTCAGCGCCGACTCCAGTACACTTCTTTTTACATGTCCCTGCGTATTGCATAATATCCACAGTGCATACGAGTTCTCCATCGGATGTGTAATCTCGGATCTTTTATTTTGCATTGGCAGTCTTCACATTAACCATACCCGGTTTTCCAAGGGTTTTACCTGCTGCGCTTGTACGCCGCCATTTTCAGAAGCATTTACCCCAATCGGCTTCAGAAGACCGTTTGCATTGGGAGTAAGATGAATGGCTGCACCGACCTCGTTCGCGAACTGAGATCGTTCGAACTGAGATTGTTCAAACAGCTGTTATCACTCGGTCAGCCGAACTGAATGCAAAGCTACGACCAAACAAACCACAAAATCCCTCTTACCTTGACTGCGTGACCCTGTTGACGAAGAGCGATAGCCGCCGCTAAGCCACCGATGCCGGCCCCGACAATGAGCACTCTCAGGCCCTTTGCAGGGGAGTTCACATCCATCCTGGTTTCAGTGTTCATCTCCGGACGTTGAGGGGGTTAGATGATGGTTGAAATGAAGAAAAAGGTGCAGTAGAAAAGAACACATTATCTTCCGTTATGGCACTCTGACCAAAGGGTGACAACGATCTACACTTGGCTCTATCATCGCGTAACCGATCCATCTGGCTGCATTACCCCAGGTTGCCGATGCAGTTCGGCTCCACATACCTGAATGTTGCAACCCGATTTTGTGTATAACTACATATTTTATATTTCTATCTACGGGGGTAATATTGAGCACTCACATTTTGTTAAAAATCCCAGTTGATTCTCATTAATACTGGCCTTTTTCATCAGTGCAACGCTAACCCTAACTCGGCACCAAGAATGCAGATCCCATACACGAAGGATCTGCACTCAGGCTCCTGCCAGAAGAAGCCTGGCTCCCTTGGCTATATGCAGTTTGATCATGACATTGCTATCCTCAGTATACAGATCATTATCTCACTGCATCAGCGCTTCGCATTTCAATTGAGCCTGCTTTCAGTCTGTTTTTGCTTCTTCAGGTTGTTGTTTCTCACCGAGTCTTGTTGTTTCTCACCGAGTCTTTTCTATTCTACCATAATGGGGGTATACGAAAAAGTAGCATAAATAGATGCTCCTTTCCATGTATGAAGAAGATAGACAAATCAATTATTACTTTTCACAGTATATTGGAATTTTCATATAGTGTTTTTCATACATTATCTTTGATCTCAACATACATGCTATACAGACTTTGTTTCTGTATTCAACACTTGCATCCGTGGATACGAGTAACTACATACACTTCAAGAAACTGCACTTCAGCTAAGAATACACTGGTGGCCCCGGATTAAGACAATTGAGTAGGATTCCAGGATTGATTGATGAATCAAGAGGTTTGGTGCTGGCCTGGTAGTTCATTCCATTGAATTTCATATTTTTGACTCTGTATGACTCTTCAGCTCCCATATATCATCTAGGCCGTCTAAAATAATATCTATCAAATATCTGGATCATTGTACCTCGGCTGGCTCCTATGAAGTTGTGTTGGCCATTTCACTCTGACCCCTAACTCATAGGCAATATTCAACACCAGACTCGGATTACGCGCAAATTCTCGGGCGATGATGACGACATCCTCAGCCGTCTTGCCATCCTGGATCATACCGACGCTCCCGGTAAGGAGTCCCGGAACTCCGTCCTTGATTTCCTGCGACAGATGTACTTGATAGCCTGGACGAAGTGGAGGCAACTGTTGATCAGGCACTAGGCCGCCCTAGCTCACATCTATCAGATCTACCCCAAGGGGTTGTAACAGCTGGCACAGTCGGACGGATTGTTCAGGGGTCCAGGACTCTCGATCGGGGATCCAGTCCGTGGTACTAATACGATAAAAGAGCAAGGTTGTGTGTGGGATAGCGGCACGAATGCCCTGTACAACTTCCAATGCGAATCGCGCACGATTTTCGAAGCTGCCACCGTACTCATCGGTGCGCTTGTTGGTGAGAGGTGAACAGAACTGGTGAATGAGATAGCCATGGGCGCCGTGTATCTCGATCACATCAAAGCCAGCCTCTACGGCAAGTTTTGCAGCATTGACAAAGTCACCAACTGACTTCTGAATCATTTCCTTTGTCATAGCGGTAGGGATCGGCCAAACCCCATCATTTTTGTAGGGGAGATTGGACGGGGAAATCAGGTCGTCTGGGAATCCATTTTCTTCTTTGTCGGCTGGTCGGTGTCCAAGCCATGGAGCAGTCACGCTAGCCTTTCGGCCGCAGTGCTGCAATTGAATGCCAGCCTTTTGCCCCTGAGAGTGGATGAAGTTGACCACGCGCCGGAATGAGGGTACCTGGCTGGCTGTCCACAGCCCTGCATCTTCCATTGTGTTTCGACCTTCGGGTGAGATTGCGGTAGCCTCACAAATTGTGAGTGAGGCTCCTCTGGATGCATAAGAGCCTAGTTGGACCAAATGCCAATCAGTTAATTGATCTGGCAGAGGCCAGAGGGAAGAGAAAAGAAGAGAAGAAGGTTGAATTCTCTATCTGTGAGAAACTGGCTAATGAACTCGCTAACAAACATGTGAAGCCTGACAAACCAGGCCTGCCTGTCATAACATTAATTCTCCAGTCTTGGGGCAGGAGTACTGGCACATGGGAGAGACCCAAATCCGGTTCTGAAACGTAGTTGAGCGGATAGTGATCGGTTCGAAGATTTGGGGAACGGGTACATTCTCATCATACATGGATAATAGAGACCCTGCTGGAGGCGACTGGACGGGTGTAAAGAAGCCATGGTCTCCCGGCATGGGCTCATTGATGTTTAGCCCTTTACTGCCATGTTAGAAACAAATAACAAATTAAATAATAAAGTGTTGACGCGAAGTAACCTTTCGATTTTCAGAGGCCAGGGTCGGCGACAGAGGGAATCGTATCAGTACCAGGTGAGTGCACAGCCATTATGTATTTGACCCTGAGATTTTCTACATAGATCATTGATTATTAAGATATTTGATTTCTAATCGATGAAGGGAGCCCTTAAGGAAGCTGGAGATAATTCTTCGCGAAAACAATGAACGCGATCTAACTTCTTTGGTCCAGATCGGAGTGACTCCGAAGTGACTAAAATAGGAATAGGTGGAATTTTCGACTACCAGATAAATTACTGGGTACAACTTGATAACTCAACAATGGTAGTCTATATGGGGTCTTTCAAGTTTCATTATATCTTGCCTTTTCAGGTTCACGGGTGGCTTCTCAAGGTTTTAGCCTCAGGGTGTTTAGAGAAACTTCATGAGTGTGATTGGGAGATATATAGAGATATATATTTCAGGGGTACTGTAACGTAATTTTCAATGCCATGACAAGGCGACTTTTCGATATCTTGAAATTGATGGTAAAATGTCTTATCAACACTCATACAGGAGAAATAAGACTGGATCAGGATGTGGTTGAGATATATGTGTAGAATTTGACGTTGGGATCTCTGGGTTCCTAATTTCCTAATTGGGCCCCAAAGCTCAATTCCCCTTTCGGAATAGCGCTATGTGGTACCCACCTAGGTAGGTAGCTACTATGCTTCCTCTTTCGGACTTGCTCCTATGGTGACTTGGTTATCCATAAAATATCTTCAAATTGTAACCCCTGCATTGTTGGCAATATGATTGATAATCTTAGGTTGATTTCACAATTCAAACATACCGGAGAGCATCAAAGGGGCACTCTGCTTGGTATAAGGACGTCCATCATTGGGCTTAATTCAGGTCCTTGGTAACATTATTTTTCCGAAGCTATGGCGGCCACCAAGGAGCAATCTATAGCAATGGCTACTCGTACACTGGTCGGCGATCTCGTCGCTGACTTCGTCACGGCTTGCCAGTCGTCCGTGAGGAACAAGGACAATTCCATCGTGTGGGATCATCTGGAGATGGAAGGTGGTGGTCAAGGGGTAAGAAAAACACCACAGAAGCGATGGAGCAAAAACTAGCCGAATGCTAATTGAATCCATGAACAGCATGCGCTCGCTCCCTCGGTCGGATCCATGGTCGAACGATACGCGCGCAGGGCTACCTCGGTGTTTGGTCACGGAGGCGAACCATCGCGCAAACTTTGCATAACTTCCGAGGCCATATCAAGGCCGGGAGATGCTGATGGTAATTGGCCAACCCGGCAGCGGCTGCACAACGTTTTTAAAGAGCCTTTGCCATATGCACGCTGAATATAAATGTACCACCGGTACTTTATTGTACGGCGGGATCCAAGCAAATTTCGAAGGGCCGGCAGCTCCAGTTGAAACCACATTCTGCGGTAAGAACTGCACTCCTATATCTTAATAACAATCAGTGGCTGACGACAGAGGGCGTCTGTAGCCGAGGAGGATATTCATTTCCCAAGCTTGACTGTGGAGGAAACTTTGAGGTATGCTAAGATGAAACACTTTACAGTATATCGTCTGTTTATTGCTCAAAGACTAATCCCAACTCTCCTAATAGATTTGCAGTCAACTCTCGGTTCAGCAACGTGATATCCTCTGCGGAAGCACACAAGACTGTGGTCAACCTTGCCCGTTTGTTCGGGATCAATCATGTTTTGGCTACCAGAGTAGGCAACGAACAGATTCGAGGAGTGAGTGGCGGAGAAAGGAGAAGATTGTCTCTAGCTGAAGCTCTAGTCACTTGCCCGAGTAAGTCTGATTCTATCCTAGTGGAGTGATATCCTGTGCAGCGCTTATACATTGATTGGGCTACTATAGTCTGATTTGCTATGACAACCCTACCGCTGGTCTTGACTCCTCAACGGCTCTCGAATTTGTGCAAATGCTGCGAGAATATGCCAACAAGTCCCACTGCACCATCGCTATGAGTCTCTACCAGGGAAGTGACGATATGGTTCCTCTATTTGACAAAGTGACTGTCATAAATTCGGGGCACTGTATCTACTACGGTGATGTGGTTGCAGCGAAGTCCTACTTTGAGGATGTAGGATTCTATTGTCCTCCAACAATGTCAATTACGGACTTCTTGAACTCGATGTCTGCGGAGCCTGAAGCACGCCTGTTACGCCAGGCAGCAGGTCGTTGGTCGATTCCACAGACACCCGAAGAATTTGCCACTGCATTCTGGAAAAGCGAGAAGGGGGTTCGGCGTGGAACACAGATCGAAGAAGCGAAGAATAGTGCTAGTGCCGCGGAAAAACCGCTAGGTCGGCGGAAGAAATCACGACAAACATACTCGGTTCCGATTCTCACACAGATTCTTCTCTGTGCCTACCGTCAGTATCGCATATTCATCACGGATTATAACGCCTGGATCGTTGAGGCTGCCTGCATGGCAGTTCAAAGTATCATCCTCGGTACAGTCTTTCGAAACCTGCCACATGAATCTTCATCGCTGTACCAGCTTGGATCGGTTGTTTTCTACGCGATCCTCGTGCCTGGACTCCAGTCAATGAGTGAGTTTGGCAATACCTTTGCACAGCGGCCATTGCTCTTGAAGCATAAGCGGTATCGTTTCTATCACCCGATGTCGTATGGATATGGCCAGATCCTGTCGGATGTTGTATGGAAAGTGGTGGTTATTGCGTACAACATCCCTATGTATTTCCTGGCAGGACTTCACCGCACCGCAGGGCATTTCTTCATTTTCTTTCTGGTTGCTTATATTTCCCACCTGTCGCTTTCGATGTTCTTCCGGTTCATCGCCGTCGTGTCACCGACCGTGGAACGTGCCGGTCTTCCCGTTGGCATCTTCTTGACGACGCTGGTCATCTACACGGGCTGGTACATCCCACCACCACAGATGCAAGTCTGGCTAAAGTGGTTGCGGTTTTTGAATGTGAGTACCAAACATGCCTGAAATCATGGTTTCGATGCTAACGCAGAAAATCTTGAATGAAAAGCCCATGTATTACGCCTTCGAAGCGCTCATGATCAACGAAGTTGGAACTACTGCCTACGAATGCACTTCATCCGACTTAGTTCCCGTGGCCAAACCTATACGGATGTGGCATACCAAGCCTGTGCCATCGCCGGCTCTGAGCCCGGAAGGACTGTTGTGGAAGGCGCTTCATATCTGAATGCTTACTACGACTTTGATAATTCTCACCTCTGGCGTAACGTTGGCATAAACGCGGGGTTCTTCGTCTTTTTCGCCATTTTGGTCGGGTAAGTAACAGAAATCTATAGAGAATTCAACCACCAACACAACTTTAGTCTTGCAATGGAGCTGTTCAGGCCCCCTGCTGGCCTCCTTGCCACAGTCTTTTATCGCCAGAAGGTCGCGCATACTGTACCTTCTTCGACCAGCAGCGCTGAGAACGACGTTGAGGCACAAGGATTTGCTAGGTCGACTAGGAAGGTATCAAGTCCTGAAGAGGCTCAGTCTCAGGACGGCCATTCCTTCGCTTGGAAGGACCTCCACTTGACACTCCGTAAGGATGGAGAGGAACGCACTTTGCTGCAACATATTGACGGTGTGTCCATCGCATATCTACAAATACCGTTTTTATCGCCGCTTTATTCTGATATGCGTTGAATTCAGGGTGTATTGAGTCTGGAACGCTGACTGCGCTGATGGGTGTCTCTGGTGCTGGAAAGGTCTGTGTATTTCTATCGAGCTCTATGTGGTAGAAGCCTGCTCATACAATCTCCAGACCACGCTGCTCAATGTGTTGGCCGGACGCATGGACATTGGTAAGTTGACAGGTACACTGTACCTCGATGGGTCGCCGCTGCCAAAGTCATTCCGCTGGAGAATGGGTTATGTCCAACAGCACGACGTTCATCTTCCTTCCCAGACAGTGCGCGAGGCTCTTCAAATGACGGCCCATCTCCGTCGCCCTCCCTCACTATCAACAGACGAGAAGGACGCCTACGTTGAAGAAGTCCTGAGACATGCTCGGAATGCAAGATATCTCAGATGCGTTGATCGGAGTGCCCGGCGCTGGCCTCAATCTCGAGCAGCGAAAGCGGGTTTCTATGGGTATCGAACTAGCCGCAAAGCCAGACATCCTGTTATTGGATGAGCCGACCTCCGGATTGGACGGACAATCTGCTATCTCTTTGGTCCAGTTACTGAAGAAACTTTCAAGATCGGGTCAGACGATTCTGTGCACGATTCATCAGCCTGCCGCAGCCGTGATCGAGGTTTTTGACAATCTGATTCTGCTGGCTAAAGGTGGTCGAGTGACCTACCAGGGGCCATTGGGTGAAAACTCTTCCACGGCACTGAAGTATTTCGGTCAGCACGTGGAAGCTTGCGATACAAAGCGAAACCCGGCAGAGTACCTGCTGGACGTCGTTGGGGCCGGTTCCCGGTCAAATGTTACCGCTGACTGGGCTCAAATCTGGTCTGAAAGCAGCGAGTGTCGTGTTCAAGATGCCAAGTTGCATGATCTTAAGAACGAGCGCCCAGCTGAGCAGTCTCGGCCCCAGCTTTATGCTACTCCCTTGACCCATCAATTTGCCGTCGTGCTTCGTCGCACCTGGTTGTGGTACTGGCGTGAGCCAGAGTATTTCTCTGCCAAGCTTTGGATGAATGTGGCTAACGGCTTGTTGAATGGCCTGACTTTTTTTGAAAATGCCCAATAGTCAACAGGGTGCGTTCGACCGTATGTATACGATCTTCCTGTCCTTCTTGATGGGCCCACCCTTGGCTTATCCATGGAGCCACGGTTTACCACTTTCCGCGATATCTTTGTGTACCGGGAGAAAGCCAGTCGATCCTACCACTGTATTGTGTTTGTGATGAGTTCCATTGTCATTGAACTGCCCTTCACCCTCATAACGGCGCTCATCTATTGGCTTCTGTGGTATTTCCCAGCTGGGCTGCAAACCGATCCCACGCATGCTGGCTACGCACTGCTTTGTTACTGGCTGTTTTCAATCTTCACTGTGAGCCTGGGATACCTCATTGCAGCGTGGATGCCAAACCTGAATGCCTCTCTCATGGCCAATGGTTTCTTTTTCATGTTTGTGAATACGTTTGTAGGCACCTTGACGGCGCGTGAAAAGACTCCGTCGGGCTGGAGTTGGTATTTCAACGTCTCCCCGCTGTATTACCTGGCGGAGGGACTCACTACCAACTCTCTATATGGGCATGACATCCGTTGCACATCTAGTGAAGTGACTGTTTTCCACGTTCCAGTCAACGAGACTTGCATTAGCTACGCTGGTTCTTTCTTGCAGTCCGCTACAGGTTATTTGGTGAACCCAGATGCCACTGGGGCTTGCGATTATTGTCGCTATAGCATTGGCCAGGAATACGTAAGTGGAGAACTCGACTTTGTTGAAGGAACCTCTGCTAATCACTGCATTTCTCCATAGTACCAACAATTTGGTTATGACAACAATCGTAAGTACCGTGATATTGGGATATTTATCGGGCTTATTGCATTCAATTTCACGGCTGTCATTGTGGGTACCTACGTGACGAAGATCTACAAGTGGAAGAGGAAGGCTGAGTAAGGATTTGGGAGAATTTTCATTCAGTATCGAGGCCATTCATTGAATTATTATTCTATATTTTTTATAGATCCTAATTATAATTATTACTCTTCTTCAATAATGTATCATTCGTCTACATCTGTCCTTTTATTGAATGCAAATCTTAATGAAGGTCATCCTGTAAATGTAGACTCCTGTGCTCTAAAGATAATAGGAAAACATAGGGTAGCCGTATCTACTAGCTACTACTCAGGTTCCATCCGGGGTGAGACAAAGACCCTTCTGGGATAAAAGCAGCAGGTAATGGAGAACAGGAAAAGTCCCAAAAGAGAATGGCCCATTAAGGACACTAGCTATTTTAAGCATCTCAGCTCGTTACTCGAAGGAGTCCACGGACGTTCTCCGATATCTCCGACCTCACACGTTCCTAATCCAACTTCAGTGTTGCAGCAAATAGGTGAGATAAATACTCCATATTCTAATAGACCGGCCTTCTCGTCTTCACCTTCACATTTGAACTGTTCCTACATCATTTTCCTACATCATTTTCGCAGAAACTATCATGCCTCGCGTGTTCTTTGTTACCGGAAGCTCAGCTGGTCTCGGGCAAGCTCTGGTAAAGGAAATCCTGGATAACGGCGACTATGTTATTGCAACTGCTCGCAAACCGGAAGTGTTGATTTTTGAGAAAGCTACTTCCACCAACTTCATCGCCGTTCAACTCGACCTGCTAGATTCGAAAAGCGTGCTGACCGCATACCTCACCGGTGTAGCCAAGTTTGGTCGCATTGACGTGGTCGTCAACAACGGGGGATATGGATTGAGCGGCCCCTTTGAAGATCTAACCGACGAGGATATCAAGCGACAAATGAACGTCAATTTCACCGGTGCGCTTGTTTCTACTCGCACTGCCATTAAGGTTATGAGAGAACAAAATCCTCCAGGAGGCATTATTCAGCAAATCACCAGCATCGGTGGTCGCATCGGGATGCCATGGATGTGCATGTACAGTGCCTCGAAGTTTGCCCTCGAGGGATTCACCGAAGCCGTTGCGCAAGAAATGGATCCGAAGCGGGGAATCAAGTTTACTTGTCTTGAACCCGGTGGTTTCAGGTAAGTCGTGCTGAAAACTTCCAATCTGCACGGCGTGTTCGGTTTATTAATGTACCTAGGACGGACTTCTTCCCCGATCGATGGTATACACTAATGCTACATCTTCGGCGTATGATCTGACCGCGGTTAAGGCTCATATCAAGGATATAGAGGAATCTCAACGCGGCGATCCTCCAAAGGGGGCAAAGGCACTATATCACTTGGCAACGTTGGAGGATCCCCCGAAAAGGGCGGTTCTTGGAAGTGATGCCTATGAATGGTTGAATGAACACATGATGGCCGAGCATGAGGATCTGCTTCGCAATAAGTCCCTGGCCCGTAGCACAGATGTCGATGATTGAGGATTTTGCTAGGATGAGATAAAGCGAGGTACCTATTGTCAAGCTTCGTCATACCTGTGGACATGAGTGGGAATAGGATGCTCTTCAAGGCCTCAACCATATTAGGTACCAATTCCAAAAGGGGATAATTTCACGATTACCCGATTAGGTATCAACTGTGCATAAGCCCAATGCCGATTTTGTAGATGATCGGCAGTGGCAGTCTTCCATTTATAAGTCGGAATATAAGTCATATAGCGAGGCCATGAACGCAGCAACGCAATTTCAGTCATCTCGTATATATATGTTGTACTTTATTTCGCCTTTACCTCGCCTTGGAGATACCCAGGTCGAACCTTCCAAGGCTTCGTCCACGGGGAACATTTCCCCGCTTACCCAGCGGACATTACCGCCCGGGCGCGGCCCCGGGGCAGGGGAGCAGATCTCGGACATGTGGCCCACCGCATCCCGATGCCTTGAGATAACCCCTCGGTCACCTGTTGACAACACGGAACGCTGTTGAACGACTCCGTTTTTGTTGGGGGCGACGATACTGGAGATCTAGTAGATACTAGCATGGAGGAGAAAATCGGGAAGAAGAGAGGTGTCATATGAAATCTATGGAGAGCAGGCTGTATATGAAGCCTATGCTAACAAAGAAACAAAGGAATGACAAACTAGCAAACTGACAAAGCAAAGGCTCAGTCTGCACAAAGAGATAAAGACATCCCATGTATGTCAACAGTTTTAAACACAAAGCGTATCCTACGATTATTCCCACTGCGACCGATGATGATGCAACTCTCGAGCGCAAGTGGCGCGAATGGGTGGAACATGAGTCCTTCAAAAGGTGGTAAAAGAATGCCTACTATTTAGACTGGCCACATTTTCAAGAAGAAGAGCTGATGGGGGCCCACAGACTTGCTCATCACATCTTCATTCACGACACCCAAGCATCTGTTTTGCGATCCACAAATCCACTTATATCACATATGGAGCTCGATCTCCCCACGCCGTTCTCACGCAAACTTTGGGATGCGAAGACCGCCGCGCAACGGAGATCTATTTATCTCCAAGAGGTTCCAAAAAGGTTATTACCCGTACCATCCCTGGCCGCCAGCTTGCAAAATATCCCAAATCTCAGCCACTTTCCTCGTCATGGAGATTTCCGAATAGCCGCACTAGCAAGTGTCCACGGCATATCAACGATGATAGCACACGGCAAACAAGCATGTCACGAACCATCTGGAGAGTGGAGCGCGCTGGTCATGAAGATCTGGCAGCAAGAACTACTGCAAGTTCTAGAGCAATTCGAGATTGTCGCAGTTGAGCCTGTACAGCGCCTGATACCGGCCGTACCGCTTATCTGCCAAACCGTCTCACTTTCGTTATACCTGCCACTGGGTATCCTTGAGACCTTCTCAGGGAAAGACGGTGAAAAACGGTCATTTGATGTATACCAGTCATTTATTCAACGAATCAGTGCTGGAAATCTGCGACAAGCGAGCTGGCATGCTGGCCAGGTGCTGGGCATCGCAAGATCTATGCCTCTCGGGTCACTCACTGACTTTTGTGCTACTTGCCTCTACTTTTCTGCGCTTGCATTATGGTCCCTGGGCGCCATTTTGTCATCGAATAGTCCCGCTTGAGATGCCGGATATGATAATGATGAAACAGTCTTTCAATGGATGGCGACAGTGACTGCACTGCACTACGTCGATTTACACTATCTGGGCAGGGAACCCCGGCTATCTCGTCTCCTAATGGACATGTACGTTGAATGATCGAGCGGCGGCCATGCGTCTCTTTCACCAACTGCTACACTCGAGATCTCGTGGAGGTGCCTCCGATCAGCAAACAAGGGCTTTAGATAATGCGTTCTCCGTGTTGGAAAAAGCTAACTCCGCAAACACTGGAGGCCAGCGGAAGAGGAGACGTCCCGGTAGTTAACTTTCATCAGTATTCGTTCAGGTCTTGGATTTCACGTGAAAATGGACTATCTCGACCCTTGATAGTACTAGCACCTGAGACCCGGACTGAAAGGTACCCGGACTCTGAGCGCCCTCATAAAAGCGGCAATGACCTATACTAGGTACATATGTACATACGGAGTACTTTATGAATTCACCCAAGCTTCTCCGCATTTTTGCCAAGAACTTCCCGCGTTTCGGTCTGTCGTCTCGACCCGAATATCTATACGACATCTGGACATCCGGAAGAAACAGACTTTGTTTCTCGCGTGTGACGGGGAACGTGCGTATTGCGCACGTACATCGAAGTTCTTTGTCGATCTATACGCTATTAAGGTCGAGAGATTAAAGATGACTTGTTTAGGTGTAGTAACACGAAAAAGATGGACTCCCTACTCTAACTGGGATAACTGTCAACCTGCGATATGGCCCTCCCTAGGCCCTAAACAGGAACCTTGGTTTTTGTGGTGGTCTAGTGGAATAAAGCCGTATTTTATTTCCACAATAACTACTACAACTATGACTTAAAAAACGTTGACTATAAGAGTATCCGACTAATTGTATCCATTAAGCTGACCTTGGAACACAGCAAGTTTAGCTATCAGCTCCCTCGTCATTGTAAAGATGCTATTACAGGAAGTCTTCGGCATACTCCTCATACTCCTGCATAAAGTCCTCCATGTTGAACTTGTTCTGCAACTTCTTGTCCGATAAAATCATTTTGCCTGCTTCGATATATCCTTGTCGAAATGTCGCGAACAGTGCCGGGCTCTTCAAGTAATGCGGAATAAAACTTTGATTATCGCCCGTCACCATGGCTCCTTTGAAAGCCTGATAAACAACATCCGGATTCTGGGCCAAGTCAACCGCCTCGCATTGTCCAAAATCCAAGAGATACAGCTGAACGGCGCGGTACTGAAGGTCTGGCGCGTGGTCTGTTCCTTGCGCAGCTGTGGCCGATGTTCCAAGCACAAACTCAACATCGTCCCCGTTGGTGGCGGCGCCCCAGTGCAAGGTTGCGTAGGCTTTACCCATCGCGTTTGCGAGGTGGAGAGTGTCGATGCCAACCCGCTCCATCGGTGCGAGGTACAGAGGGAAGTTTCGCAGCGGGAGGTCGTGGACAATGTTACCATTAGCCTTTCCGAGGTAAACACGGGCGAGGCAGTGTTTGTTACCAGGTTGATTGAGGATGGCTTCGATTTCAGTGCTATCGCGATGTTCGGGAACGCAAAACTGAGAGATCAAGGCCCTTCGCACGACTTTCGGTAATGGAAGAATCCGTTCCATCATCACAAGGTCGCCACGCATGCGATAACCCTGGGGGGTTTTTGTTAAGATTTCATCCCAGAAAGTGTTGTTCTGATTCCTGGAGATAAACTCGAAAGGTTTCGGCACTCGAACTTCCCTATGGATAGACTGGTAATGTTCGAATGCAGCTGAAACATCACAGTGGATCTTATACTCTTGATAGAGGTTTGACGTTAGCTTTTCATTTCCTGGAGTCTCTTTTTTTAAGAGCCAGAGGCTTTCCGACCTGCTCGAAGACAGCTCCCTGTAGACCAACTCCGATTTGGTTGAGTTGTTGCAACTCGGGTCGAGAACGTGCAACCCGAAAGAGGTGGCTGAAGGAAGAGGCCGTCAAGATGACAGACTTCAAGCTCAGAGATTGATTGAGAATCGCTAAGTCTGTCAGACGGGCGAGGTCCGTTGCTAAGAGTTGCCGGTCGATAGACAAGGCTTCTGAGTTAGCCGGTTCATTGCTGATTTCACATTCATGTTGAGCCATGCCTCTGATAGAGATGTTTGTTGAATGATGGAAGTGTGGAAGTGTCGACCCAGGCAGCAACGTTGAACCGTTGGAACATTCACCACGTGCCACGTGCGAGTCTCCTCGAAAAAAATTATACAGAATATCCAGGGCTGGCATGGACTGTTTATGTGTTAACAGTTATTGATATGTCTAGGAGGATATTCCTTGCTTAGGTACAAGTTAAAGCAAGTCATCTAGCATGTCGGGTACAAAGGGTATAAAGGTACAAAGTCCTGGACTCACATTGAATTCACAATCCTCACTAGAACAGATATTCTTTGTCTAATATCTATTAGGGTGTCTCTTTGTAGATGTGGACATGGTAGTGAAACACCAATACCTTCCAAGGTTGCGTTTGTTCTCCAATATGAATATAAAAACACTTTTCAGACTCGACTTCTCACTTTCTCTTCATCTCTCTTTTCTTACCTATCTTCTCCTCTATCCTCAAATCAAACATCTTTATTGGCTTCCTCGTCGAGAAATGTACATAAAGAAAATATAGAAATATATCCCCACCCTCCCTGTTCATCGGCTAACTGATGTCGTCAACTGTAGACGACCACTGCCATGAAGGTCCCGCTTGCTCCTACGGAGCACCCCAACCAGGTTCTGCGGAAGCTCGGCGCCCCTTGCGACCCAGAACTTCCCCTGAGCTTTGTTTTTGGTCTCGTCGGCCTGCAGCGGGGCTGGAAACCTGGCTCTAAGACTTGGAAGAAAAATTGGAATGCTTGCATGAATTGCGAGTATGACCGATTGATTGGCTGCCGTGTCACCAACCTCACGACTTGGCAACAACTATGTGCCAAACTGGGAATTAAGGATTCCTTCAAATCAATTAACCAGTGCAAGAAGGTAGGTCACCAGTGTGAACTGGTTTTTCTATCACTCATCAGCTAATGTAGGCCCTGGCTCGTGTCCACGTGAACATCGTCGACGTTCTGGAATCGTGGAACTCCGATACCATCCCGATTCGATTTCAGAACAATGAGGCCCTTGCTACATACACCAAGGCAAATCAGAAGTTCTTTGGTCGACACATCGCCAAACAAGATAAGGTCCTCCGGGTTCTGCTTCGTAAGCTGCTCTAAAGAGTCATTCTCTCTGGGTGTGCGGTGATATGTCTCTTCTAAGGCAGATGATCCCTTGGGATGCACGGGACGCATGAAATACAGCATGCAACATGGACTACAACAATATGGAAATACACAGCAACGGAATAGGCAAGTTTTGCTTAAACTCTAAGCAACATGTGACTCTGGAGGCATTACGAAAAACAATCATGATGTGCACAGTGTTAGGACGGAGATTCACTCGTAAGAAAGCTTGAGATAACCGAGAATTTGAAACATTGAAGGTGTTAGCAGTACATGTAAACCTACGACTTCGATATAATTTCATCTCAAGTATAAATGTGTCTACGTGATATAGAAGAATTCTAAGTTCAAGTCCCTTGATGTCGCAGCTTCGCTTTTTCTCTCATTTTCTTGAAATCATAGTCGCTCTTTTCTCACAGGGCTTCTTCTTTCTCTCACTTGATCTTTTTCTCAGTCACCTTCATCTAACTACTCTTCATCCACACTTCTCATCTCTCTCTCAAATCAACATCTCTCACTTTCTTCATCTCCTTTATTCACAAATGTATGGATGGCTTCCCTTCCTACTGATTAGCCTAGCTAACCTGGGTTCTCAACTTTAGCCAATCACCGACTTTCCACCATGTTCGTCTCGCATCCTCCTCCAGACGATCCTCCGGCTGATCCCCCAATCTCTCCTCAGCTGCACCCCAATAATCATCTGCGAAAGCTTGGCGCTCCATGCAGCGCGGAACTTCCTATTACCGCTGCCTTTGGATCCATCGCCCAGCAGCGAGGCTGGAAGCAGGGTTCCAAGACCTGGAAAAGGAACTGGAAGGCCTGCATGAACGACGAATATGACCGTCTGATTGGCTACCGCGCAGCCAACTTGGCAACGTGGCAGGAGCTTTGTGCCAAGGTTGGACTGAACAACACATTCAAGTCTATTAACCAGTGCAAGATGGTAAGGTCCCGTCCTAGCCAATACAATATCACTCTCTTACTGGTGTAGGCTCTGGCGCTGGTGCACATCAACCTTGTCGACCTTCTTGATTGTTGGGACTCGGACTACACCCCTACCCGATTCAAGAGCAAGAAGGCTCTTGCTGCTTACACCGAGGAGAACCACAAGTTCTTTGGTCGTGACATCGCCAAACAGGACAAGGTCCTCCGAGTGCTCCTCCGAAAGCTTCTCTAGGGGTCTCTTTCAAGTCATGGAGTCCCTCATAGTGTATTAGGTGCATCTGGTGCAGTTGAAAGGACACTATCTTGAGATACACAGAGAGCGACAGAAATAAAGTCATCATTTTCATCACTGTATAATTTACTGGTAACCGTAATATGTAGAGGCTTTGTGTCTACATGGTCTCTATTGACTATTGTGGCATCTTGCTCCACGTCTGCGACTTAAATGTATCGGTTGAACTCTTTACCACCATTCGTCAACGTTTCCTTTTACCAACCTTGTGCTCCTAGTCCTACTTCCACGGGTTCATGGCGTCTTCCGAGATGTGTTCAAGAATAATAGCTCCACCGCTCGAACAGCCGGCAATTTCAGAGTCGAATATGCTGTCGTTACAGAGGGCACAGGCCTAACCATTGCAGCCTGACGACCATCAGGAAGGAGAATTCCCCTGGGCCGGTGTATCAGACCCGCGCTGAAATATTAAATACCATGAAGGACGATTTATCATGCACATTGTACTTGCAAGGTGGGTGTCCGAAGCAACAGCATGGCTGTTATCGGTAGTCGAGCAAAGGGTTTTGGGCTCCAGGCCTGCGAGTTGTTGACACCAGTGGATTGCCGGTCCTTTAGCAGAAAGGATTCCCGTTGTTACCAACATGTACGTATGAAACACCGAGTATGATGCATTTCCGATGATGAGATAGGTTAGAATTGGGGAATCATTATCTTTCTAATGTCACCATATATCTTCTAAATACATTTGATTCAAGGTATCAAACATGTTATAGTCGCTGGGTAGGCAATTGGCCGAGAACGCAAAGCCGAGGTTGCTGATAAACACTTCATCGGGGCTAGGGGCTGACCCAAATCCAACCAAGCTGTTGTTATCGTGTTGGTGAATGTTGGTTGAAGCAGGGGCATCGAACCAATCGATATTCGGAAGTGGTGCCGAAAGGGTATTTTGAACATGCAGGTCTTTCGGGTCGAGTGGACCATTGAGTGGCTCAGTCGGGGCCAAGGGCCCTAGATAGCCATCCATGCCTGCCGGTTGATAGGTACTTGTGCAAAGGCCATCGCATTCCAGTGAGGGGGCGGGTGGCATATGATTAATATCACAGTTCAGTCGTTGACAATACAACTTCTCCAGATTCCGTCCGATGCGTTTTGCGATATTCCATGACGTCGAGAGTTCCCGCAGAACCTGAAGGCAGAGTCCTACAGCCGCCTGTGATGATGGACCTCGGGAACCCTGGTTACCTGTCTCAGATTTGGGATCGACGCAACATTTCTCAATGATGATCGATGCCGCTGATAACATGCAATGTGTCGCTGTTATAGGGCTCAGCCTAAAGCTGCCAAATGTCTGTCTATATTTCTGGGCGACGACGCACATTCCTCGGGCGGAGTTGGCGCATATTGCCATGACTTTCTGTTTACAAGCACGCTCCGATTCTTTGTCGCTGCTGTTCTGTTGTGACTGTAGGTCTGCGGGATTGCTAGCATCTTGATTGGCAGAGTCGTTGCTCAGAAAGGGTACGCAAAGTAAAATGTACACAGTATGGTATACCATGCATAAAGTGTAGGTGTGAGGAAATCGGGAGGGACCAGATGGACGGTCAACTTTGAGCTCTGGGGCAAGATCGTAGTACCAGGTCTTGAGTTCAAGCACACAGGAGTCAAAAAATGTGGAACGTTGGTGGGGTTCGAGGAGTGGCTTTGGAGACCAGCTTGGGTAATATATGTCAGTGAGGCAGGTGAATGTGAGAAATGACACGATAGACTCACAAGGTAAGCAGGACTTTCTCGAATATACGACACAGGTCAATCATTGCCCTATGCAACTGTACCACGTCTCTTTGAGAAGCAGACCTTAATTGTCCATTGCCATTTGCTGAGGGCAGATAAACATCTGAGGCACATAAAGGAAATGGTTTGTTGACGACACCTTGGGAGTCCTGTGCGACAAGTGAATGTGAGTTTGGTGCAAGGAGAATATTTGTGATACATCATACCAGTAACGTGCACACCCTGCCTGTGTAGCTTGCTGACAGTTTGTCGTGGCAATACAGTGCCCAGTAGATCTGCCTTCGCAGCTCGATTTCGATGGGTGGAAGAGCAACTGCTCCGGAAAGGACTGAGGGATCCATGTTGAAACCCATATCCAAGGCCAGGCGATTGGCCATGCCCTGATGAAGCCACCCAGCAGCATCAGATCCCATTGCCTGTCAGATGTTAGTTTGGTCGACTCTTCAGGTAAAAGCCTGTGATATTAGACCTACAATATAAACCATGCCCATGATTGACAAAGACTGGATTGTTGTGATCTTGGGCCATCTGAGATCGTTTTGAATCAATTTCTCCGCCCTCTCGAGGAATATCTTGCCGGCTGTGTTCGCATCATTGGGGTCCGATCTCACTTCTATGCGATCGCAGTACCGTGACCCTAAAGCCAGGATACAATTTAGAAGAAGGGGGCTAAAGTATCGTCCGCCATGCCTCATGGAATCTCGAAACAGTTTCTCGTTCACCATCTGAAGCCATGGCTGTTCCCACTCAAAAAACAGGTCGATCAAATGAGATCGAAGCCCGTCTTCTGGTACCAAGCTTTCTTCTAACGAGTCTGTACTCCCACCCAGCGGTGTTTCACCAGTCTGGGTGGCAGGACCATCGGACTGATATGCCTCTTCATTTGGCGAATCTAAGGATTGTTAGCAACTCTCTATACTGAAGCAAAAAGGCCATTGCAGCTCACCTTTTGATGGAGATCGAAACTGCAATCGCATACTTGTCGGCCCAAAATATCGCACTTCGCCATCCTGGTCGAAATTTAATGACTCGTCAAGCGTCAGTGCACCGTCAAACGTAGTACACAAGTCATCAACATTCGAGCAAGCCGGAGGCTCAGTGTTAGCCTCGCCATTTTTCGTCATTAGCTGGATGGCGGCGTCAGGATCAATGCCGTGGGTGTGCAGCACACGCTCCAAGAGTTCAATACGCTTGCGCAGCATGATCACATCAGGACTTGGGCGCTGGCTGCCGCCCGTCCTCTGCTGTAGAGTACTCGCATTGAACGCCACGGTCAATGCAGCGAGAGCAAGACGGCCGATTGCCATCACACTATAGGTTTCAATATTAGCACAGACTTCAATAAATTGTGGGGCGCTATCATCTTACCTTGGCTCGTCGTTGCCGACATGTCTCACAGGCTCGGGACGTATACTTTCTACCCGGTCGCTTGCGCCTAGCAAGTTCATCTGTCGGTGCTGCAGGCATAGCGCAGTGATACGGAAAAGGCTCGAATCAGTTTCGTCCAGCAAGCTCCAGTACTATGTCCTTAGGATTGGAAGCCTTGAGCTGTTTGGAAATTCATGGATGTTTCCAACCATGGAAGGTTGCCATTCTTAACATTACAAAGCAATGGCTTTCGCGCCTTACTACCTCAGGCATTAAGGCAACAACTCTTGATACTCAGGCGACAACTTCTGTTCATAACTGCTTCAGGTAACTAATAGTTTTATTATATAGTTAGTTTTAACCAGTCATAAGAATAGTTGGATCCAGCCTTCTCAAGTATTTGGTAGGCATTTTGGAGGTATTTTTAAATGACTTCTCAGATACTGCTTTTAGATGTGTTCTGTTTTATAGACATCAATCTCCCCTTCGCCCAAATGAACGATATAGAGGGTTTCTATAGGTATAACTAGGGATATCCAAGCCGACTCAAAGCGTGGAGGTTTATATTATTCGATCGAACAGAGTTTCTGTTTTTTTTTTTTTTTTCTTTTTGGAAAAAGAAAAGGCATTCCAGATGCAGATATATATTGTGAGAATACCACCACTCACTCGACAGAATACCCCACAAGTCCCAAACGCCCCTTCTTTTCGTTTAAAGTATGTAATATACTGTGCACGGTACGTAATTATCTCTCGTCATAGACAAGCATGACCCTATAGGAGACAGATCAGTGCAGACAACATGGGACCGGAAATGGCAGAAAAGTAAAGTTTACTCGGGGAGTATCTTTACTATTAACACCAAGGTTGTGAAATGGCCATGAATAACATGAATAACATGCATATCAGTACCTACAATATAAAGTAGTCTTGATATTGAAGGAAGATCATCTCCAGAATGAATCAGCTGACTACCCCGCAGATCCGGAAAAAGATGAAGGCGGAGCAACGTTGAATGCCGAACATTCCGGGCCTATTCTGGGGTTTCAGGACGTTTTTGGTATATCCATTTGTCAGGTTAGAATTGGAGTAGTATTCCTATTCTCTAATGATATTATGTTATATTACTGGATCCCTCAATCAGCTTGATACATGTATGGATCACAGTAAGGGACTATGAGATCAGCGATTTCTCTTTTCCTTTTTCAGACATCTGTGAAACAAATGTCCGGTAAAACAAATGAAATATACGGAGTAGGAAGCATTCCATGCCCAGTCCTAATATATTATACTATAATATCACAAATATGCAAGTGCAAGTGCAGTTGGGGAGAGAATTCAAGTTCTCATTGTATGGGGAATTAGGAACTACATCCGGTGGCGTCCAATGAAGTTGGGGGGAATATTTTCTTTTTTTCCTCTTTTTCCTTTTTTTGGTCTTTTCGATTTTCCTGTTTTTGGTAGAAAGTAGTATGGAGTATGTGTGGAGGATGGGCTGTTCGGCATGAAGGGATCTGAAACTAAACTCTCTATATCATACATAGTACATGGGTTGGATGCTTATAGACAAAAGTACCATATCCAGAGGTACGTATCTAGTTTGTGTTTATACCTCCAAATCTGTTTTAATATCCTTTATTTGGATGTCATGACGTTGATTTACGAACATGGGATGTATACATCAATACAATATAGGATCTCTCTATAGGATCCCTCCCCAGAAACGATCAACATACAAAATCTCGATCCTAGATAATATATTGTAAGTGTAATAAATATAGAATAAGGAATACGTGAACAGGGAAAAAAAAGGAAAAAAGAAAAGTAAAGGGAAAAAAAAAGAGAGAGAGGTGGGAAGTACGTGGTGCAGGAAACGCACACCTCACCAATCACCGCCCTCGACTCCTTCGATTTCCCCCCCCATCACGACTCTTCCACTTAGAACATTCTCACCTTCCCGTTTCTACTCATTTCTATGACCCCCAGGTCTCAATTTTGATCAAGTTCCCTTCCCTTTCTCGGGTCAGCCTCCTCTGGGGTTGACGTTGTAGAGCGCGTCGCTGTCGCGCTATTCCCCGCATAGGCACGACTTCCGTTATCCTCCGTCTAACGTTTCGTGTTTCAGCGTGTTGTCTCGACACCTCTGAACACACATATTTAACGGTGAATTGGTCGACTGTCATCACTCAGAGCTCTTGAATTGATCTGTTCCCGAGTCTTACAACTTCGGATATGGACAGTTGATGCTACGGATGAATCAATAACCTCGATTAAGGGCACCCGCGCTGCCCAGCAGTCGGTTCTGCTTGGCTGGAACAATAGTCTTGATTTATTCAATTTGTCTTGATCCCCATCGCACTGTCGCATTCCTACCCTTCGAACGAATCCCGCTCAGTCGCCCGAGCGAGTCAGTATGGCCAGCAATGATTCCCCCAAACCACAATTCCTCGCGCCTCCTGCCGTGACAGCGCTGCGGCAGGAGGCTCGGAATATCGATCCGAAGATGACTCGAACATTGAGCGATAATATGCGAGAGGAACGTGAGGATTTGAAGGAAGCGGCCGAACAGACATTGAACATCATCGTGGATATGGACCTGGAGGGCTGCATCAAATGGGTCAGCCCATCGTGGAAGCAGGTGGTCGGTTCATCCCCTGAGTCAGTTGAGGGCCATATGATATCAGAAATCTTGTTGGGCAACAAGGATGTGTTTCGCGACGCAATTGAATCGATGAGGCAGGATGATTCGCGGAGTCGCTTCATTCGCTTCGCCCTGCAGATGGGACCGGAGTCTGTTCTGAAGTACGCGCCTGAACCACCCCCGACGGCTACAGGGAAGCAAGCTCTCGGTGCAAAGGCGGAGGACACTGCTGAGAAACCGCAGGAGGAAGAGCATCATCATAATGTGCTCAACATGGAGGGACAGGGAATCATGGTCTATGACCGGACAGACGATGAAGCTGGCCACGTGCGTACCTCATCAATGTTTTTGTCGCCTATCGCTGTTTATACCGCTGACACCTTCTGAATACAGACCATGTGGATGTTACGACCAGTTACCGAGCCAAGAGAAGTGACAATCGATCTGCCGCCTCTGCTGGTGGAGTCTCTGGGTGTTGGGGCGGAGGTGTTGGCAAATTATTTGACCGAATTGGCTGAGGCTGCAGCGACAGAACCCGATCCTTCCAAGCATCCCGCCCCGACCCCTGTCCTCTGTCGCATCTGTGAACGCCAGATTACGCCATGGTGGTTCGAGAAACACTCAGATCTGTGTCTGCAGGAACATCGGGCCGAGATGGATGTTCAAATGGCACAGGAAAACCTCAATGAGCATCGTCATGCCATTGTCAAGGTCCTCGATGCTTTAGAGGCCCGACAAGGCAGACCTCTAATCGGGAGTGATGGAAATCCAGCGCCCCTCCCTCAAGCGGAGTACAAGGGATTAGCCATCGGCCCCTCATCTACCAGCTCCGCTCCGTCGTCCGGCCCTGTTTCAAGCAGTAATTCAGCGCCCGGCACGCCGCCTCGGTCGCGCGAACATTCTGCGTCTGGTGCTATTCCAAACCGACCACGGTCGTTCACAGTGCGGAGACCACTGGCTCGCATCGTGGAGCTCGTTCTTGACCTGTGCGACACTTCACTGGAGATTAGTATGCCGATGATTAAGGAATCTTCCCGGACAGACGCAGAGGACTTCCGGACGTTGTCACCTCAATCTGAATCGCGGATCTCCCAGGTCCTTCAGTGGCAGTCCCCCAGCTCCAACACCTTGGAACAAGAAGAAGGTCTGGCCGCTTTGTCGGCAGACACCGAACAAGTTGCCAAGGCGAAGGTTGATGCAGTTGTACGCCATCGCAAGATTGTCGAATACGGCGAACGAATTCGCATAGAATACACAGTGCTAGTCGAGGAATGCATCGGGGCAGCGCTAAGTAAAGCGGAGCGCATAGCTGCTGGTCAGCTCAGTGATTCTTCGTGCTCATCCGATGAAGAAGTGGCGCCCGAGAGCACTGTCGAGGGCACCGTCGCTCTCAGCGATAACAATAGTATTGCCGAGGAAGAGTCCGTCTCCCAAAACACGAGCCATGAATTGCAACAAAGGCCGTATCCAGCGGCACCCTCTCCGCGGCGACCGACGTCTGCCCTGACTCTGTCAATGCGTAATTCACCAGATCGCTCATTGCTGTCACAATCGGAGCGCAGACCATCCTCGGCCGCGGTATCCACGGGATCTAACAGCCCATTAGAATGCCCCACCCCGCGATCTCATAAAAGTGCTGCAGGATTTCTGGGTACATCACAGCCTTCTCGACTTGGCCTTTCTCTAGCGGAGATTGACGCGGGAGACAGTAGCGATAGCAGTCTGCCGTCCTCTGTCTTCCCTGGAGCCATAAGAACAGATTCGCCCTCATCCGAGAGGAGCTTCGATCGAAAGCGTCGGAGCCTGGTACTGCCTGGACTTTCGAGTTCTCCTCGTCGACAGCCTTCTCCTGCTCGAGTTTCAGGGCCGCATTCCCCGTTGCGCATGCCGAAGCCCCGTATGTCTAGCGGTGGTGAAAGCATGCCGTCCCCAATGGCGTCTCCATCTGCATACGCAAATGAATTAGCTCTCCATCACTGCCGCCACCATCGCCGGCAGTCCTCGGCAACTTCTTCGGATGTTACGAAGCCACCGCCATCCCCACGCCTACCTTCGATGAGCCAGCAACAGCCTCGGCCTGCTCCATTGTCTATCCGCGATTTTGAAATCATCAAGCCAATCAGCAAGGGTGCGTTCGGCAGTGTCTCACTTGGTGAAAAAGAAGGCCACTGGCGAGTACTATGCCATGAAAGTTCTGAAGAAGGCCGACATGATCGCCAAGAATCAGGTCACCAACGTAAAGGCCGAACGTGCCATCATGATGTGGCAAGGGGAGAGTGACTTCGTTGCCAAGCTTTATTGGACATTTTCTAGTAAGGATTATCTTTATTTGGTGATGGAATATCTTAACGGAGGTGACTGTTCATCACTGGTCAAAGTTCTTGGGGGTCTCCCCGAGGACTGGGCTAAGAAGTACATCGGTGAGGTGGTGCTTGGAGTTGAACATCTCCACAGCCGGGGCATTGTGCATCGCGATCTGAAGCCCGATAACCTCCTTATCGACCAAACAGGTCATTTGAAGCTCACCGACTTTGGACTTTCGCGTATGGGGTTGGTCGGTCGTCAGAAGCGGGTGCTGAAGAACCCCGATGAGTCTGCTCCTGATCTACTAAAGCAGAACTCAATTCCCCGTGCGATATCGATTGCATCCTCTCGATCGGCCTCGTTCGACTTCCAGGCAAGCTCGTCACCCGGCTCTACCCCGCTAATTACCCCGGATGTGTCCGCCAATGCCATTCAGCCATCCTACTTTAGCCTCAACCAGAGTGGATTGAGTCGGCAAAGCTCTCGTCGAGCGTCGGGATACCGCAGTGATAGCATGGGCAGTGATGGTCTGAATGGAATGTTCAGGACATTCTCGCTTAATGACAATGCTCACGAGCCTTCTGCCTCATCGCCGAGTATGTTTTCAACTAGCATGGTTGAAGAAGAGGGCCAAAGTGAGGCTGGCGAGTCTCCTCGCCTTCAGCCCCTGCAGCCAACATTCAGCAATCCAATCGCGCAAAATACCCCTCCCCAGCAGAGTATGATGCCTCCAGTGATGGCTCTTTTTGATCCTGAAGATCACGATCGCCGATTTGTCGGTACCCCTGACTACCTAGCCCCGGAAACCATCAACGGCGTTGGGCAAGATGAGATCAGTGACTGGTGGTCATTAGGATGCATCATGTTTGAGTTCATCTTTGGGTACCCACCTTTCAATGCGGATACCCCAGATCAAGTCTTTGAAAACATTCTGCATCGCAGGATCAATTGGCCTGACGAGCCAGAGGAGTTGACTTCAGCAGAGTCGTTGGATCTCATGAACAAGCTCATGACTCTCAACCCTCGTGACAGGATTGGAGCCAATGTAGACGAGAAGTTTCCAAGTGGCGGCGCTGAGATCTGTAGTCATCCTTGGTTGTCTGACATTAACTGGGATACACTACTAGAAGATAAGGCGCAATTCGTCCCCAACATCGAGAACCCGGAGGACACAGAGTACTTTGATGCCCGTGGCGCTACTCTACAATCTTTTGCAGAGGAGTTAGAAGATGAGAACTCGCCACAACCGGCAGCTTCGGCTGGCCCTGATCGGCCTCATGATGCACTGTTCAAGGTCCGATCCCAAGTTAATTCTTCGAAACGACCGTTGATGCCATTGCACATTCCTCCTCATGTCCGGGATGCTCGGGATTCACGCAGTCGGAGACTAAGCGAACCGGCCATGGCCGACGATTTTGGCAGTTTTAACTTTAAGAATCTTCCAATGCTGGAGAAGGCCAACAAAGATGTGATCCAGAAGATGCGCCAGGAGGCTCTCCAGGCGCAGCACCGACAACCCAGTTCGTCGTCAGCCGCTCAGACGTCCGGCAGTTCATCTCAGCCGTCATTGGAAGGGAGCCCACTGCCCATGTCACTCCAGCGGACTTTGTCACAGAACAAGGGCAATAATCGACCTTCTTCCCCATCAGGCCTGAGTCAAACAAACTCATCTCCCAGCAGACCGTCGCAGCCATCTTCTCCCCTCCTAGTTCAGTTCAGCACTGGGACTAACCAAGAACGGCGCAAAACGTCGGGCTCCTCATCAGCCTCCCACCAATCGAGCGGGACCTTTCAACCTTCCTCGGCTGACCAGGGCCGCATGCCAAATCTCAGATTGGGTTCAGTGGCATCCTCTCCTGTTAAAGCCAGCCGAATTCCCTCCCATTCTCCCGACAAGACGGGCAACAATCAACGCCATGGAAGCGTGCCAGCGAGCCGTACCCGGTCGCACACTATTGGCTCTCAGGATGGAGATGCTTCCTCGTTCCCGAAAGAACCCTTCGTGCCCCATCACCATAAGCGCCGGAGTCAACTTTTCGATATCTCGCCTTCATCTTCCGACAACGAGGATCCACGCACAAAAGCACTTTTGAAGGTCCAACGTCGTCGACAAAGCTCTCGACGGTTGTCGCAAATCAATGTCCTGAGAAGGACCCTTTTTCCGGCCATTGGATGTGCTCATTTGTGAGGATCATCCTGTTTCGCGGCTGGTCATGGAACGCCTGTTTGAAAAACTTCGCTGCCGGACCATTACCGTTACAAATGGCGCGGAAGCCGTGAGATACGCTCTCAGCGAGGTCAAGTTCGACATCATTATGACTGAATATCGACTTCCCCAAGTCAACGGTGTTGATTTCGCTCGAATGGTGCGGGAGACGCGCAGTGCCAACAGGCATACTCCGATAATCGCTGTTACGGGGTACTTGAAAGACCTCCCGGAGAATCACAACTTCGATGCCCTGATCCAGAAGCCTCCGACCCTACCCAAGCTCACTGAGGCGCTTTCCCAGTGGTGTATGTGGAAACCTCCTCCAACGGACTACTGTCCCTCCCAACCTGTTCCTGTTCCGGGTTCTGGTGTTCGGTCGACCTCTGTAACAAACGAGGACAGCCCCAGTTCCGCATCCTCTGGGTTTGTCCTCAATCCCCCCAGCTCTTACCGAGGATCTAGCCGCGATGATTCGCTCAGCAGCAGTGTATTCGGAGATATGGAGTCTTTTAAGCCCGAGGAGGTTCCAGTGATCATAAATCGAAATTCCGATGATTGGGATCCAGGCCGCGGTGGATTGGGGATATCCGAAGAGGCAGAACCCTCTGGGAGCCCAAAGCCCAACGCTGTGCCTGTGCCTCACCTTCTTCATGCTGCCTCAGCACCCGCGGCCATGGATGCAGGCGGTGGACTCACACCCCGGAGGCAACGGTCAAGTGAGGCCATTCGTGCCAAAAGGGAATCCCTTGAGAAGAAGCGGTATGAGGGCGCTGAGTCTGGTGACGATGAAGACGAAGAGCTTGGCCATTCCCAAACACGCCGTAGCCCGCCCTCTCGAAATCGCCGTCCCGGATCTAAACTGGGGATTGAGATGATGCGGACCAACAGTCGGGGCAGCGTTGTCAGTGGCAGTGAAGAACTTTTGAAGAAGGAGAGGGAGGCTCTCCGGAACCAAGCCACGGACTCTGGCGAGATCGGAGACAGCGATGGCTCCTTGGGTTCCCCGGCCAGTACGAGCCTGGAAGATCGTTTCGAGGCCCTCAGCATCCCCGAGGAATCGGAAGGCGAAGAACCCGCCAGTCCTCGCACGTCCCCTCCAAGGTTGAGAGCATCTGCCTCTCAGCCTCACCGGCCATCTCTGGCGCATCAGGATACCTCGATCTACTCCGGACCTTCCCAGTGTACTACATCGCAGACCAGCCCGGCAGTGTTGAGTCAGGGCCAAATCACACCCCCCTGGGACTTGCCCCAGAGTGGTATCTCAGATCCCACTGCCCCGCCAATCACGCCTGAAGTCAAGATCTCCGGCAGCGGGGTGATGCGAGACGCTGGTTCGGGCGAGGACGCCGACTGTAGCCCCACCCCCGATGCTGAAGCTACGCCGCGACCTCTTCATCCTTCCCCCGACCTTGATCCGGAACAGACGCCTCGTCCACCGGAGCGACATCGCTCGGACTTGAGCTTTACATTCAAAAGATAGATGCTATGTTCCTGACTTTCGCAAAAGCTTCCTGAGATCTTCCGATATTTTTCTCTTCTACATATTGTTGCACACCTACTTTTGTCTTGCCTGTACACTTTCTTGTGTTTATCTACTCCTTCTGGGGATACATTGTCATATCCACTCTCTCACGTCTTTTATGTCTGTATGTTCTCTTTTTCTTGGAGCAAGGTGTTCCGGTCTTTCTTTTTACCCTTTTTTTTAACCTTTTTTTCCTTTTTCCCCCAGCGACATTAGTGATTGAAATTCCAACATCAGCTTGATGCTGTTTTCCTTTTTCTTTTTTTATATCCATCGATGTTTATCTTGGTACTAGTACTAGTACTCCGTAAGAGGGAAGGGTACTTCCAGGGCTCCCTCCACTTTCGGGCATCCCCGATGATTCCGGGGAGCTGTGATTGGACACAGCCCTAATTACTGGCGAAGATCCCACTCCTAAACCAGATATAATGACAGGCTGTCAAAAATCCCAGATTTACAGTTTTCTTTTCAGGGTGATAATCGCAACCGTGCGTACAAATAATAGCTCGAGTAAAAGGACCTTGGAAGATATCCATTGCATATTCACTGAATGGCTCAACAATATGTTGTATACACTTTAATAATAGGTCCGGACATGTCGAATTTGGTTTATCATGGCCAACGTCATGGTTATATCACATGACGATCCAACTTGTAAAAGGAAGTAGACAGTAGACATTGTTATTTTATATTCGTACAGTATTATGACCCAAAATGGTTACTGGCACCGGAGTATCTCCGGTGGAGGCGTGGGCGTTTTGGGCGTGAGTTGGCTTACTATAAGCATAAAGCCATTTTAATGTTAGTACCTAGGTATAACCTTATTCTGTCAAGTTAATATTATTCATACCCCTTTTATGCTTTTATGTACGGAATACGTACTCCGTACTCCGTCCAAAAATCCTTTGCCACCTGGTGGATCAAAAACTTTTACAATGGGCCAGACCTGAAGATAATTGGCTTAGGTAGATAGTATGCACGTATTGCTGTAAGAAATCCTTAATCTGGAAGTTCCAAGAGATAAAACATTGTGTGTACATGGAGGATATCATAGAGTGTATGCTATATGCGATATACTTATTGTATACTAGTAGCCTATGTTGGTATATAATCCAACATTGCCTATTCTCTCCACCATATTTAACAGATCTAACCATATTAATTCAATTAAGTTCACATCAAATTAACATGAAACCAAAATGCCATGCCATAAATAGAATAATAAATAGAATAATAAATACCCCCTAATAAATACATATGTACACCCTAATAAACCCAGGGCAGATCGTAAAACCCAGCTAATTAGACGAAAGGTCCAGACTCTCGGCACTATCATGGGTCTCCACTTGATGTCTCTTCTCTCTTCTCATCTCCTCTTCTTCTCTTCTTCTCTGTCTCTACCTCATTTTCTTTCTTTTTTACTTTTTTCTTTCTAGTTACATTAAACATAATATACACATTCCCTGTCTAATCCTTGACCGAATTCCCCTCTTTATACTTGGCCCGGTGCCATTATGTCGTCCCCCGTGGAACGAAATGCTCATATCGAAAAGGATAAGCGCAAGGACTCCGACATCTCTCCCACCTCCGAAGATGGAACCTGTGTGACCGAGCCGGACACTGATCGCACGGCGAATCACTTGAAGGTTGACACTACACGTTATGCTCATGATGATGACGAGGATCCGCCGCTGCGGACACCCTCCGCCCGTCGGGAGCAGGCTACTCGTATGGATGATGATCTGTTGCTCTTGCAAGCCGAGCGTATGACCTCGCATTCGACCGGTGCCCCAGATGACGAACACGACCGCAATTCTATCAATCGCGCCCGTTCGCGTCGCTCGGAAATGGTGGATGAGTTCGATGAAGCTACAAACCCTCTGCACGAAAAGGCCGCGATTTACAAACCCCCGGAGAAACCAAACACCCAGATTGCCGTCTTTGTGAAGAAGCTGCACCAGTCGAGTTTCCTCGTGCGCTACTTGACCTACATTTGCCCCATTGTCCTCCTCCTCCTGATCCCGTTGCTGGTCGGCGCTCTCAAATACCCCAATGCCAGTGTTGGTGGTGTAGAACTGATGTGGTTTTCAATTTGGTTGGAAATTGTCTGGTTGACTCTCTGGGCAGGACGGGTGAGTCCAATCGGTGACCCCATTTCCCGTGAAGGAGCATTACTGATTTCTTCTTAGCTGGTCGCAAAGTGCCTGCCTCCAATTGTTGGCCTTTTGGCGAGTGTATTCACCAATAACGCGAAGAAGTGGCGCGACATGGCCAAACAGCTCGAGCTTCATGCGGCACTCTTTTTCTGGTGGCTTGGCGTGGAGATCTCCTTTCTACCAACGATGAAAAACCATCATGTGGATGGTAATACGGCGACTAGGGGTTGGGAAGGTACTCTCAACAAAATCATCATTGTCGTCTTCGTGTGGACTATCCTGAATTTTATCGAAAAGATTCTCATCCAGCTGATTGCTATCAGTTTCCATACGCGGACCTACGCGGACCGCATTGAGATCAACAAATTCCAGATCGGCAGTTTGACCAAGCTGTATGATTGGTCGCGGTCCACTCTCGGTGAGAAAGATGACGCATTTGAAGAGAAAAACGAGGAATCGACCCCTTCAGGGGTCAAAACCCCGTTGCACTACGCTGGCATGGCCCAGCGGAAGGCTAAGGGTGCCCTCAACAAAGTCGGAAACCGGGTCGGCGATGTCGCCGGCGCAGTAATGGCTGATGTCACTGGCCGCACGGCTACTCGCAGCACCGATGCCTATCAGGTCATTTTGGCGCTGCTGCGAACTACCGGAGGCAGTCAGGTCTTGGCGCGTCGTCTCTATCGTACCTTTGTGAGGGATGGATTTGAGACAGTTTTTGGTGGTGACCTGAAAGCCGCATTTGATGACGGCGAGGAAGCCGAAGCTGCCTTCGCCATGTTCGATCGCGACATGAACGGTGATATCTCCATGGAGGAGCTGGAGGCCGTTTGCGTTGACATTGGCCGTGAGCGCAAGTCCATCACCGCCTCTCTCAAGGACCTGGATTCGGTCGTGTCGAAATTGGACAATGTGTTCATGTTCTTCGTGTTTGTGATTGTGCTGATTGTGTTCTTGACGCTGATCTCCACCTCGGCTGCCGGTGTGCTCACCTCCGCGGGCTCTGCTATTCTGGCCCTGTCTTGGTTGTTCTCCGCTACTGCTCAGGAGTTCCTTCAGTCGGTTATCTTCGTCTTTGTCAAGCACCCTTTCGATGTTGGTGACCGTGTGACCATCTACGGCAATTCCGGTGATTCCGGTCTTGGTGATGATTACTTTGTGAAGGAGATTACTCTTCTTTACACCGAATTCAAGAAGATGCAAGGCCATGTTGTGCAGGCGCCAAACAGCTACCTCAACACGCTTTTCGTCCTCAACCAACGCCGTTCGGGCGCGCTTGCGGAGGCAGTTCCAATCATTATCAAGTACGGCACCACTATCGACCAACTCGACTCCCTGCGACAGCGCCTTTTGGAGTTTGTGCGTAGCGAGAAACGCGACTTCCAGAACAACATCCTGACCGAGATGCGTGCCGTCACCGAGAACTTCTCGCTCACACTCAACATCGTCTTCTTTTACAAGTCCAACTGGCAGAACGAGGGTCTACGTTTGCAGCGTCGCAATAAGTTCATCTGTATGCTCATGATTGCTCTCCAGGAGATCGGCATCGAGGGCCCACGCATGAACCTCCAAGGTGCCAAGTTCGACATTCCATTCCACGTCAACTATGGCAATACACGCTCTACCGAGGGCCCAGCTCCCACCGACGCCGAGGAGGTCCCGATCTCCAACGAGTCCCACGACCTCCCGGAGAATACCGGAAGCGGCAGCGGCAGCGCTATCCGTCACCCATCGATTCTCCGCAAGGGTATGCACACTGCCAGCGCCCGTGCCCGCGGCGCGTCTGTCTCACAACGCAAGCACGTCGACTTCTCCTTGGGCATGTCCAACATGGCATCCAACGATATTATGGGAGATGTGTTCGAGGATCGGGGTGTGGTCGTGGATGATATCGTCCGTAGCGCCAACCGCGATGCCGCGGAGCGTCGCATCCAGGAAGAGAACGAGGACGACGAGGAACGCCGGAGCCGCACATCTTCGCGGCATCGTCGCCCCTCTAATCTGAGCGCTCCCTCCAATAATGACGCCGGTCGCGGGTCGACCGACGCTCACAGCTTCCGTAGTGGTCGATCATCGCTCAGTCGCAACCGGTTCTTCCACCACCGTAGCAGCGTGGGTCACGATCGTGACGACTTGATGGAGCAGGGCCGCTTTGATGAGCCTACTCTGCCCCCGCCGGCCACGGTTCCTGCTGCCAAGGAGCACCCGAATTGATTTGATATGTATTTTTTTTCCTTTCAATCTCGTCTATTGATGTCATATTCATCCACTGAACATACATTGTCATGTTTTCCTTTTCCCCTTTCATATATTGTGACAGACCGTGTGTCAGCATAACTATAACCTGCCCTTCTACCATACATATATTCCCATAACGGCTTTAAAGCTCTTGGTTTTTCCCCCCTATCTTCTGGCGTCTTATTGATCATATATAGCAGGTCGAGTCTTGGTCACTCGGCCAATCAAAAAACGTTCATTTTCTATCTGTATTTACACTGTTACATCTATCTTCCTTTCAATGAACATTCATCTCCATGTCGGATTGTTAAGACCTGCGTTTCCACTACCCTATAAAGCACTAGCAGGGGCCACGGGGATTCTTGATCGTTCATGCCACTCTTGGACAGCCATTCTAGCCCGCGAGGATGCATCGGCAGGATCTAACTGCTAGCCTAGACTCCATCGCTGCGCTAAACAAGAATGAACATGTCAGCGCTGATATATGAAAGCCTAACGCCACGGATGTCGTGAAACCCTACCTATACATGGAAAGGTCCTTTGCACAGTTTATGGTCGAAGATTGATAAGTTCGGCATGTTTACTCCGGACTATCGTCCAATATAACTCTAGTTACGGCGCCGGGAAGAAAAGGAAATATATAAAGCAAAGGCACCCGAAATGATATCCATCAGAGTGTTACCAGGTACCATGGATACTTTACATATAACTTCGGCAAAACACCGTCTAATATTTAGCCTGCTTCTATAACTTCTCGTGCCCATTGGCCTAAGTGGGAAGTTATATTCCAGAATATCATTGCTGCCTATAAGACAGGATTATTCTTTCATACTGTTTCAGGCGATTTACCAAACTAACCCAATTAGCTCTGAGGTCTCCTTCTGCGTCAAACCGAAAATGTTGCGATATGCGGTCTATCGGTCTATCCAGGAGTAGTAAGACACTACTCATCCTCGTGTTGCTGCCAAATGATCTACAAAGTGGTTCCGTTCAAGTAGAGGGGATAGATCTAACAGATTTGTAATGTACTGTGCGATCTCGCGTGTCATTCCACACCGTTCTTCATGTCTGGAACCCTGAGATTCAGCTTTGACTGTAGTTCCACCACTGACCACGTTTCAGATGCATGTCTCGTAGCTATACACTTGAAACACTGGGGCTATGGAAAAGGTCGCTAATAGCGGTGCTCAATCAGCCGGTTTAAATATCATGTCGTCACCAGGGAAGCGTCAGCTTGTGGTCCTGGCACGATCCTGGTATTAGACGAACCAACTAACAAGTTTGTCGGAATATCCGACTATTCCACCTGGGAATGGATGATGTTGACTCATGCCATGTTCTACTGTGGACTGGGGAACAGAAACCATAACGCAAGTCATAATTGAGGGTTTGCGCCTCAGACCGTCATCTCTATTGATATCGATTTGACCCTATCGCCTTCATGGTGTCCAATCATAGGTATAGGGGGTTAAGATCCAATGATTTGGTCGTAGATATTGATCTTTAATCAATTGGAAATTTTGCATTGAGACAAGTTTGATGGAATTGCATTGTAACATTTGAAGTCTGCCCAGGTGACCTGAGTTGTTTCCCCCGTCAAAGAGATCTTGTCCCCAACTTCTTCTCTTCTCCCCACAACTTCCCATCCTTCTCATTTTTTATCCTAACCGTTGCCAGTACAATCCGTCATGCGAGGCGAGGTATGTATGCTCTACTATCCTGCTGGACTGCTATCGTGTCGAGCTTTCTATACACTTCGCTTCCGACAGCTATACTGGCTCTCGTCCGATGAAGCCAAACCGAGAGAAGAAACACCAATATTGACCTGACTCTACCAGATATGTCATATACACATTGGCCAGGCCGGCACGCAGCTTGGTAATGCTGCCTGGGAACTGTGCGTCTCTTAATTGTCTAGTATCGCCGATATGACTGCTGATCAAGATGCAACACAGGTACCTACTTGAACATGGTCTGAAGCCTGATGGATTCATCGATCCTGATGTCACCGACGAGGCCGCAAGAAGCGGATCTTACGAGACTTTCTTTACTGAAACCTCCGGCGGCAAATATGTTCCCCGTTCCATCTTCGTCGATCTTGACCCATCGGTATGTGACAGACCACAAACTTATCAAAAGGCCCACCAGCTGAATGAACCGTGCTAGCCCATCGATGAAATTCGCACTGGCACCTACCGTGATCTTTTCCGTCCCCAACAGCTAATCAGTGGGAACGAAGATGCTGCAAACAACTGTACGAACAAGTAACCCTGTCGGTGAAAGCTGGTAACTGAGAAGCTAACATGCGGCAGATGCTCGGGGCCATTACACCGTTGGGAGAGAGATTTATGGAGCCGTAATCGACAGCATTCGTCATGTGGCCGGTACGAACCTGCTAAGCCAGGCCTCAATCCTGATCGCTTTCAGCTAATGTCTCCATAGAGAATTGCCACTCCCTACAAGGCTTCTTGATTTTCCACTCCTTTGGCGGTGGTACAGGGTCTGGTTTCGGTTCGCTCTTGTTGGATCATCTGACCAGCATGTATGGGCGCAAGTCCAAGCTGGAATTCTCCATCTACCCTTCTCCGCGTACATCGACCGCCGTGGTAGAGCCCTACAATGCCGTCCTCTCAACCCACAGCACCATTGAGAACTCCGACTGCACGTTCCTAGTTGACAACGAGGCCGTGTACAATATCTGCCGACGCAACCTGGATATTCCACGTCCTGGGTATGAGCATCTCAATCGTCTTATTGCTCAGGTAGTGAGCTCGATCACATCCAGCTTGCGGTTCGATGGTGCACTCAACGTCGATCTGGCTGAGTTCCAGACCAACCTTGTCCCGTACCCGCGTATTCACTATCCATTGATTTCGTATGGTCCGGTGATCAGTAGTCAGCGCAGCTCTCACGAGAGTTTCACGGTCCAGGATCTCACCTTCCAGTGTTCGTGGATTCTATTCTAATTAGGTGTGTTTTTCTACTAACTCGGTCATAGGCTTTGAACCCAATAATCAAATGGTGAACTGCGATCCACGAAAGGGAAAATACATGGCTGTGGCTTTACTCTACAAGGGTGATGTTGTACCTCATGACTGCAACAAGGCTGTCCATGCCCTCAAGACTAGGGGAACCTTCAGTTTGGTTGAGTGGTGTCCTACCGGATTCAAGTTAGGTATCAACTACCAAAAGCCTGTGCGCCGTCCTGACGATGAACTTGCGTGTGTGGATCGTTCGGTTAGCATGCTGTCTAACACCACCGCAATTGCTGAGGCGTGGAGTCGCCTGGATCACAATTTCGACCTTATGTACTCCAAGCGTGCATTCGTCCACTGGTATGTTGGTGAAGGGATGGAAGAAGGCGAATTCTCTGAAGCCCGTGAGGATCTCGCGGCATTGGAGAAAGATTACGAGGAAGTGGCTGAGGACAGCGGCCCGGAAGGGGTTGAGTACTGACCCTGCACTTGTCTTGTTGTTCCTTCCAGCGCACATTGAGGTGATTCTTGATCTCTTCGACAATCTGCGGCACTGGCTTTCTGTGCGACTTTTCCTCCTCCATTCATGTTCTTTCAGGGACCTGTCCACTGGACTGATTAAGGGTCTTGTTTGACGAGTCGAGGGAAGGTCTGGAAAAGGTATCCAAGAACAGATAATAAAAAAAAGGATAAAATACCTAAATCAACGAGTATTATTTGACTTTTCGCCTTATCGTACAACCAACTTTTTGAACACTCTAGTGATAAACGCCATCAAATGATCCATGCAAAATTGTTACTAGTGATACAAGCTGAAGATTCCCTTCAACTGTCAGTTGCAAGATTGTGCTCTCGAAGGACTTTCAATGCGTGCTCATAGGTCCACATTGTCACCGCACTTGCCGGTGCTGCCTTGAGTAGACTGACTGTCAAGCCACGATACAAGCCACGCACGCCCTGAGTGCGGACAATCATGGCAATACTTTTGAGGACCCCCTTGTACTCCGGGATATTGCGATGAACGTAGCGAGTCCTTGTTGGACCCTGTACCTGCAAGCGCTTACGCACGAGGTCTAGCGGGAAAACACCAGTCTTAGCTAGTACGCTTGCCACGACACCGGCTGCGGCGTCCCTGTACCCATCGGCAGAGCATCCCAGGTCATGGCTGGTCTAAGTGCCTCATATGTTGTGAAAAAGAGTCCCATGTATGGCACAATTTGTGCCACAGCGGCAGAACATCCCCGGAAGAATCCTGGTAAGCCCTCATGTCGAGCTATCTCCACAATTGAGGCGCGCAGCGAGCCATACACACGGTCCGGGCCTTGTGCCGCGAATCGCGTGCGGAGAAGGTCAAGCGGGTATGTTACCCCCGTGGCACATCCGCCTGCCACTGCACCTGAGAGAAAAGATTCGACGGGTTGCGGGAGTCGATAGGAGCCAAGTTGAGCGAGGGCTTGGGTTGTTCCCCGATACGCGGTGAATTGCGTCGCGCCATAGCAGACATACATCATTTCGGCAGGAATATTGCCCTTCCAAAGGCCCTGTGGGAAGATATTCGCGTTAGACTGGGGGCACTAACATTGGGAAATAAGGTAATCTTTTGAACGTACGGTGATCCCCTCTTGCGTCATAATCGTTCGCATAGTGGACAATGTCCCCTTATAAACAGGCCCATTGACACTTTGATGGGACGCAGGGTCCGACAAGGAATGGATTTGCAATTGCAGCCTGATCTTGACAACGTCCAGTGGCGCAATACAAAACCGTGAGATCAGCCCTGCAATCCCGCCGGCCAATACGACCTGTCGCTTGGTGCCTTCATCTTTGAGATGCTCGCCCCCGGCCGACATGAGTTGAGAGTGCTTTCTCTTACAGACTAAATATGTCTGTATGGTGGGTTGGGCTAGGTTAAGAAAATTGAAGCATGAAGATCCATGTTGATTCTTCAGTCTGCCTTGGAATGATAAAAAAAACAAAAACAACGTCAAATGGGCAATTTACGTAAGTTCCGGGCTGGGCGGCCGGGGAATGTCATTGGGAATGATATTGCAGCCTAAGGTGTTAATGACATCCTGAGGCATTAATATATGCCTCAGGCTCTATAGCTACCTCAGGCATGAGAAATCACAAGCCGAGGTAAACTTGTAGCTCCCTTCCATTTGTCCCGCCTGCTCGATGTAGATTTTGTCCTCCCTCTCTGCCCTTGGTCTGATCGTCTCTTCTTCTTAACCTGTTTACATGCCCTTCATGCATCGTCTCCGAACTTCACCTACCCTGCGACAATTGCCACGAGCTTTGTCATACTCTGCCCCGCGCCGTAACTTGATAGCTACCCCGAGTAGGTTCAACAGCTCTGTAGAGCCAGACTCTCACGACAGATTGGAAGATGTTGCCCCAGGAGTCGACCATCTACTGCATGTACCACAAGAATCCAGCAGCTCTAAGGACGACGTGCAAAATGCCAGCTCTGACGTGGTTAGGAGAAAAGCCCGTGCGGATGGCGTCTTAAAAGTGGGCAAAAAAGAGTCGGTCTGGGCTGGAAAAGAGGAATTGTACTTGCATATCGACAAATCTACCACAATCAAACTGCCATATACTTATCTGCGCGATTCATGCCAGTGTGCAGTCTGCAAGGATCAACACTCGAAACAGCGCTCGTTCCGCACAAGTGACATTCCCAAGGACATTACCCCAAGCTGGATTAACTGGGATGGAAAAAGGCTTTCAGTTAGGTGGGCCAACGACATTGGCGGCTCTGAGACTGTGCATGAATCAACCTGGGACCGTGACTTTCTAAAGAAGCCCATTTTCAACACTCATCGTCAGCATTGGAACGCGAACTGCAACCCGATCATGTGGGGACGGGCTTATATGGGGATGAGTCAACATTGGGTGTCCTACCCTGACTATATCGCCGATGATTCCAAATTTGCCACAGCGATGAAGCAGTTGCAGCGTCTGGGCCTTATTTTCGTGAAGGATGTTCCAAACTCACGATCGATGGTTGAAGCTATCGCAACACGCATGGGACCACTACGAAACACCTTCTACGGATCGACGTTTGACGTGCGCACAGTTCCAGAGGCGACAAATGTCGCATATACAAACCAGTTCCTTGGGTTTCACATGGACTTGATGTATATGAATGAGCCACCCGGATACCAGCTGCTCCACTGTCTGGAGAACTCGTGTTCTGGAGGCGAGTCGTTGTTCGCGGACACATTTTCGGCTGCGAAAGTCATGAAGGACCGATACCCAGAAGAGTATAAAGTGCTCCGCGACCAGCGGCTGGGATATGAATATAGACACAAGGACCACATCTACTATAACGAACGACCCGTCTTTCAGCATGATTCTGACACAGACGAGCTGCGTCATGTCAATTACTCGCCCCCTTTTCAGTCTCCCCTCCCACCACCCGATGGGAACGGGCATGATGCGGAGCCCGTGAACAAGCTACGAGACGCCCTTGCTAAGTTCACTTCTATTATTGATAATCAGAAGCACATCTTTGAGCTCAAGCTCAACCCTGGTGATTGTGTCATTTTTGATAACAGACGCATCGTTCATGCCCGCCGCCAATTCAATGCCAGCGTAGGTTCTCGCTGGTTAGCAGGCGCGTACGTCGATACGGATGCTCTGCTATCCCGCTTTGCCGTCTGTAAGAATCAGCATCCATATGTTTGGACCAAAAAGGCCCAGAAAGCGTTGGTGGCGAACAAGACAGACGACAACTAGGACGGAAGCGAAACATAAGCAGCAAGAGGACAAGAGAGCGGCTAAAGAGGGACGCGGAGAGATAGAGGGACAACCAGCGATTGACCAGCTCCACGAGAACAATGCGGAAGAAAGTACCGTTCAAAAGACGAAGATCGATTAACACTATCTGAACCGTGCTCAAGAGTCGGCATCACCTTCCCTTTCTATGTACGACTGCGATGTATCTTTTCGTTTGGGTTGTTCAAGTTGTCGACCCAGGATCAATGCCTACATATGTAGAATCAGACGTAAATATAACGTGTTCATATTCTTTAGACCTGAGCGTAGATTTCTTGCAGTAAATAAACATAAGACATTGAGGCACAAGGTAGGCTGAACCACCAATGTAAGCTTCTGAAGAGGAAATATTGGGTCTGGCATGGTCAAGAGAGATGATCTTTGACAATGGTTTGGTTTGACTCGACACTGCTTATTTCAATTTATAGCAAGGGCTTGTCCCGCACCAAAGCGAAGGATACGATATGATCAGACATGCATAAGCCGTATCAAGACAAAAAAGCGTTTATCATTACGTTAGACTTTTAGCATCTAGCTCCAGAGATACGGGGGGTCATGGGTATCGTGCGACGACCAACTAACCACTCAAGCAGCCGCGGTGGGCTTGCTTACCGAGTGATCTTTAAGGAAATCGGGGTCGCTGTTGATTTCCTCGCGGACCTGTACCATTGAGTTAACAATCGAACCAAATAACCGGAGTGGGACAAAACACGTACAATATCCAAGCCACCCACCAATTCTCCATTCACCCACAATTGGGGAAATGTTGGCCACTCAGCGTACTCTTTCAGACCCTGGCGCACATCCTCATCGGCCAAGATATTGAAGAAGCCGTATTTGACACTGCGCTCACGTAGGATGCCAACCAGCTGCCGACTGAATCCGCACTGTGGGCTGCTCGGCGTTCCTTTCATGAACAGCATGACAGATGCGGCCTTGACCAGTTGTTCGAGGCGGGCAAATAGTGCCTCCCGGGATTGCTCGGGTGTCAGGGCGGGGGCAGATGCGACGGGGGTTGCGTTAGCCGCATCGGCAGAAGGAGACTCAGAAGCGGTAACCGGAGCCTGAGTAGCAGTCAAGGGACCATCCTCACGAGGAACGGCAGACAGCGGCGGTGGGATATTGGCTTTCGCACCGTCTACCGGACCGACGGCACCCGCAACATTTCCGCGGCCAGCGTGGCGCTCGACAGCGTCACGAACCTTGACGGCATCACTTCCACTGATCGACTCTAGAATTTGGCCGCTACGTAGGCACACGACGAAGGGCACAGCAGAAACGTCATACTCCTCCGAGATATCAGGTAGCTCCTCGGCGTTGATGCTGACAAACGAGATGGTGGGCGGGGCAGTGGCGGGGTACTGCGAAGCGAGGGCTGAAAGCACTGCGCCCATCTGCGCGCACGGGGCAGCCCATGGGGTGTGGAAGTATAGGACGACCAGTGCAGAAGGTGATAGGGAAGAGAGATGCGATGAGAAGTCGGCCTCAGATGTGATTTCTGTGAGTGTCGACATGGTGGTGTGTGTGACAGGAGGATGAAATGGCTGGAACTAATGGCAAAGTCCAGAATCGGCGATGAGAGGTATTATTATTTGAAGGTGAGGCGCAACAAGTACCAAGACGAGTTCAAAGTCGAGAAGCGAAGAAGACGTGACAGAGGAATGGCGTGACGGATACCTAAAATAAGCCCCCCTGCACGGCGATCCCAGATTTCCAATCTTCCGGTTATCAGATCGTTTGGCGTCTCTGGCGTCTCTGGCGTGCCGTTTGCTTTATGTAAGCCGGAAAAGTCTGCGATACCGGGTAAGCTATTCTCCATCTAGCACGTGACTTTAATAATTTATATCATGTGATCTTATCGCGCGGTATCATGGTGAATTTCCATGCCGGGAGTTCAGCGATGACACTGCAAATCCGAAGACAACATGGGAAAAGACAGGAAGAGAAAGCTCAGCCCAGACGACCCAACTGGTCAACCCACTCCTCAGGGATTTGGTGTGGCTGATACCTTGTCCCGTCTACAGAGCGATAACCCGAGCAGCGAAGGTTCGAATGGGAGTCATGCGTCAAAGAAGCGCAAAAGAGTCGATGGCGAGAAAGTTAAATACCCGGATCTCACATACGCCGATGGGAAATTACTGTCACCTATCCGGATCGCTGATCTCCAGGGGTTGCTCCTCTATTGCTTCGCCGACGGCATCGCACCCCAATGGATCTCCATGAAGCATTCTGGGCATGTGCGCAAGGTGGTTGTACTGATGGTGCCTGGCCTAGAGATGGGCATGTTCGATGGGACAATCTCTGTGCAGCGAGAATCAGCGACCGGGGAGCAAGAGACACAAGAGCCCAAGATGAATGCGCCGGGAGACACCGAGGAGGTACCCAAAGACGAGCACGCTGCTGATTACGAGCGATGGAAACAGGGCCTCCCATTGCCGGACCGGTCGCATCGCTTCAATCCTCGATCTATCACACGTGAAACCCTCCCCGCGCCACTTCAGCCCCTGGCCGACATGTTTCCTCATATCTGGCCTGTGAAGGCGCCGGGCGACAACAAATACAATAAGGTCCATTCGCCACTGCAAGCGATTCTTATGTCCGCGCCACCAAAGACCAAGAATGATGACTCCCGTACCAAGGGCGCCCGACCCGCAAAGGTAGAGAAAGGCTTCGTTCCGAAACGAACACCAATCACAGCGTTTGTCACTTCACGCGAGGATCTACTGGAAAACGATTTTATCTTGCATCCTGTTTTCTTCACTTCCGATGATGAAAAATCTTCCCAGTTGGAGGCTCGACGGCGAGGCGGGCACTCGGTGGAAGATGGATGGGTAGATACCCAAGTGCCAACTCTGGAGTCTGCTCAACCACCCGATGCTGAAATCGAAAGTGGTAGTGTCACTGTTGGTCGAGATGTTTTTGCGCTGGACTGTGAGATGTGTATTACTGAGGGGGGTCAGTCCGAACTCACACGCATCAGCATGGTCGGCTGGGACGGCGAGGTGGTCCTTGATGAACTAGTCAAACCAGCACGGCCAGTGATCAACTATCTCACACGTTACTCTGGGATTACCCCCGAAATGCTCGAGCCGGTCACCACGACCCTCCATGATATTCAGCAACGGCTGTTGGCTCTTCTCACGCCGCGTGCCATACTCGTGGGACACTCCCTTAATTCCGACCTCACAGCACTCAAGCTTGTCCACCCGTTCATTGTCGATACCAGCATCATTTACCCACACCCACGTGGTCCGCCCCTTAAATGTAGCCTGAAATGGCTCACCCAGAAATACCAAAACAAGCAGATACAAAGTGGAATGGCCGGGCATGACTCCATTGAGGATGCCCGTGCTGTTCTTGAACTTGTGAAGTTGAAGTGCGAGAAAGGTGAGCGATGGGGCACGAGTGATGTTTCCAACGAGAGCATATTCCGTCGACTCTCGCGCTCTACTCGACCGAGTCATCTCCCTCGTCCTGGTGAGGAACGAACAGGAGCAGTGGTTGACTGGGGCAACCCGGAACGTGGGTTTGGCGCCCAAGCTACTGTCTCGATTGGATGCCGGGATGACGATGCAGTCGTCAGGGGTGTTTCCGCGGTGATCAATGGCGACGAGTCCAATCCCTCCATTCCAGCAGGTGGTGTTGACTTTGCCTGGGCTCGCATTCGTGATCTCGAATATCTTCGTGGTTGGTGCAGCCGCCTGCCTGACCCAAACAACGCCAACGAGTCCACAGCCCTTTTCCCTCCTCCTGAAGAAACCACACCGACCACAACCTCTGGCAGTGGGGACTCGACAGATCTTCCGCAACCTGACGTTTTGGCTGACACTGTCTCCCGAACTGTCTCCAATATCTCACGCATATATGACTCTCTCCCTCCATGCACCCTTTTCATAGTTTATTCCGGGACAGGCGATCCACGTGAAGTGAGCCGTTTGCAGTCCATCCACAAGAAGCACCGCGAGGAGTTCCGATCTGGCAAGCCATGGGATCAGCTGACCTATAAATGGACCGATGTTGAGGAACAGGCTCTAAAGAAGGCTTGTGAGCGTGCTCGTGACGGTTGCGGATTTATGTGTATCAAATGATGAGGCTAAAGCTAGACATGCTCATATTTCCCATGTCTTATGGGCCTTCCATCCCCGTTGTATCATGATCCTCACCTGCTGTTAAGATGAAATCGTGCTTGCTTTATCACAATTGAAATAGCAAGAAGCTACGCGGTATAAAATTCAAGAAAAGAAAATCAAAAGAAAAGTTCCTTTGGGCGGTGGAAAATGGGATATTTAAAACCAGCTCTAGAAAGAGGAATTGATAGAATTCAAACTTGATTCCTACCTAGGTATACCATACGCAAAATTGTCAACGTAATTCGAGGTGTACGTATGTAGCTTTGTAGGTCTTAACACTTTATTCGTATATGAGACGTTAAGTTCCCCCCGTTTTTACTGACCGTATTTATATATATTGTCTTGAATATCACCTCGGTAGGCGTGAATAGACCCCACCTGAATTCGGTGGGGCGGAAATGAGAGATTTCTCCAACCGACACCAACCTCTCGCACTGGCAATGAATCCCTTCACGCGGCCAAGTGCACCCTGGCACCTAGTTGGCCTTGCATCCGAATTCCCGAGCATCGATGATGATTCTCGGATTGTGCCGAGATGCAAAGCTTTCAATATCCCCAAGACAAACGACACTATAGAGCCAGTCGAAGATATTGACCTACCAGGAGAACTGAAGGACCAAGTGCTAGTGTTCAAATACAAGGGCAAATATCATGCCATTGATCATGTGAGTTAGAAACTCCATTTAATCAGAAGGACTGAGCTCATCCTCGCTAGCAATGCCCCCACTCGTCGTTCCCACTTTCACGGGGCAACCTCTTTGATATTGAAGACTTTGGTATCGTGCTGAGCGCAGGTCTGACATGTCCCAAGCACGGTTGGTCGTTTGATATATTCTCTGGGCGCGCTGATCGCGGCAACTACACACTCAAGGTGTGGGAGGTGCAGCTGCGCGACTCATCGGCACCTGGGGGTACAGACCAAGAGGTTTGGGTGAGGCGGAAACAAAGAATTGGTTAACACTGGCCATTTTCCCCTGGTGAATTATCATAAGAAGTGCATGCAGGCTGAGTTGACCAGCGTATGGTCAATAGCTTGGCACCGATATTTCTTCTCACCGAAAAAGATCTCAGGAGTCCAGGACTACATGGTTCTCCCTCGAGTGATTGAATGTAAACGAGATATCCAACTTACTCCTCGCGTCTTGATCCAACTGTCTAAGCCGGAATATTCATATGGGTAGTGTCGATCCCTGATTTGGGCTCAGGATTGAATGAGACCAATATATCAACATTGTACCTCGGTAGATCTCCGACAGCTTTACTCTTTCGTGAATTATAAGGGGCATGAAGTCTCTGTATGGAGGACGGTCGAAGATATCAAAGCCGGAGAGAGAGGGGGGAAATAGCATTTCTGTGGTTGTTTGTATCTGATGAGATGTCTGCAAGGTTGAAGCCATTGATAGTGAATGTCGCACCATTTCTTTCATTATTGAGATCCATTGAGTAGCATTCTTCTCGAGATGCCAATTTTAGTTCGACATTGCGAACAAATCTGCCTCGTTGGTGTGCCGTACAACTGGTCTGTACGTGATGCACCTGATGGTCCATATCAATTTCTTTTCTTTTCTTTTCTTCTTTGTTCCCCATTTCGATTTATATTATTTGTTTTCCTCCCTATATTGTACTTTTGATATTCTACAGGTTCCTATTGCACGTGGAGAATGGAGCCAACATTCCAACTGCCGACCTGGCAACCCCATCGCCACTAACGGGGTTGATTAAGTATGTGGGATTACCCTTCTGAGCGCTGTTTAGACATTGTACATGTACTTATGTACGTTGTACAAACAAACTACTCGACTCGCAACAAAGTATCCCCCACATTTTGTCAGTCGGGTCTCTATTTCACCATGCTCCTGTCAGCTATTGCCTGTGCAATTTTTTGGCTATGTGCAGTGGATGCGAAGAATCAAGATGGCTCAGCTTCACGATATGATTTTGTTATTGTTGGTGGAGGTACTAGCGGATTGGTTGTTGCTAATCGACTTTCAGAGATGAAAGGTTTCACCGTGGCAGTGATCGAAGCTGGAGATTCAGTCCTCAAAAATGCTAACGTCACTGCCGTGACGGGTTATGGCCAAGCATTTGGGACGGAAATCGACTGGGCCTACCAAACCGAAGATCAAACATATGCAGGGGGGTCGAAGCAGATTATCCGTGCTGGAAAAGCCATCGGTGGTACAAGCACTATAAATGGTAATTGTCCTAATCCTGGATGTCCAGTGGAATCAATCTGTGGGGATCTATTTGGTGTATGTTGAGCTTGCTAACTCGGACTTCACATAGGGATGTCGTACACTCGAGCGCAAAAAGTTCAAATTGATGCCTGGGAACAAGTCGGAAACGAGGGTTGGAATTGGGACAACCTTTTCACGTACTATAAGAAATCAGAAGAGTTCCAGGTGCCCACACCAGAACAAGTTGCTCGTGGCGCCGATTATTACATCGCCTATCATGGGGAACATGGCCCGCTCAAAGTCGGTTGGCCCCAAGCAATGACAAACAGCAGCGTGCTACCCCAGCTCGATGAGACCTTTCAGCAACTAGGTCTCCCCTACAACAGGGATTGCAATGGTGGTAGCATGGTGGGACTCACGGTCCATCCTAATACCGTCGACAGCGAGGCCAATCTTCGGCATGATGCAGCCAGGGCTTACTATTGGCCCTACCAACATCGTCCTAATCTCAAAATTATATCAAACACTTCTGCGAATAAGATCATCTGGGAAAGTGATTCCCGCAATGAGGCCGTTGCTGTTGCAGTGGAAGTTATCGGGGTCAACGGAGTTGAGACGATCTACGCGTCGAAGGAGGTAATTCTGTCGGCTGGGTCCCTCAGATCACCTATGCTTTTGGAGCTGTCTGGCATTGGGAATCCTGGTATTCTCCGCCAGTTTGACATCCCCGTCCAAGTCAACATTTCCACGGTCGGTGAGAACTTGCAGGATCAGACCAACAATGGCTTCTCTTATGAAGGGAACGAGTTCTGGCTTGGTTCGCCGACATTTTCCGCTCTACCATCAGCCGATGATATATTCGGTGAGAATGCTCCCACCATTGCGTCTGATGTTAACTCAAGCCTCGCGGATTACGCAAAAAGAGTGTCGGAACATTCCAACGGTGCAGTCGAAGAAGCCAATGTTCTAGCTGCTTTTCAACTCCAGCACGATCACATATTCAAATCACAAGTTCCGTACGCGGAGATTGTGCTTCTGCCCATCGGAAACTCGTTTTCCAGTGAATACTGGCCTCTTCTTCCTTTCTCAAGAGGAAGTGTCCACATAAACTCCACAGACGGCTCCCAACCACCTTCTATCAATCCCAATTACTTTATGTTCGGACAGGACCTGAAAGCCCATGCTGATGTGGCTCGGTATATCCGCAAGACATTCAGTACCCCACCTCTGATAACCATTGTGGGAGAAGAATTGGCACCAGGACGAAAGCATGTTCCAGAAAATGCATCGGACTCTATATGGGAAGGTTGGGTTAAGTCAAAATGTTTGTCATGTCTCCTTTACAAGTTCGAGCTCGAGAATATTGACTGAGCCCCTTCAGATAGGTCAAACTTCCACCCGGTTGGCACTGCCAGCATGTTGCCTCGGGATAAAGGTGGTGTTGTCGACGCTGAGCTTAGGGTTTACGGTACTAAAAATGTTCGAGTGGTTGATGCTTCTGTCTTGCCCTTCCAACTTACTGGCCACCTTACCAGCACTATTTATGCCGTGGCCGAGAGAGCGTCTGACCTGATCAAGAAACGATATATATTTTAGGTGAATTATTCAGCAATCCCTTGGTTTTGCTTTTTGGTGTTGATGGCTTTACCGATACCATCCTGGGTTTACACATTAGTGAATATTATATTTCGTTAGCGTTATGTCGTCATAATTTATACATATGGGTCTAGAAAATGGGAGTTTTCCGCTATGCAGAAGAGAACCCTCGCCTCGCCAGTGAAGTTACCCCTAGCCCAGCCGGGGACGCGCGAAGGGGCCTGCGGAGCTGCGCGTTATTCTTCGGGTAGTTGTGGGGTATACAGTGCAGTGCAAGTGTTTCACGGGTTCGTTTTCGCATACAGGAAAGGTGTGTAGGGCGCCGATGAGGAGGTCGGTGTGTTGTTGGTGGTTGAGGGCTTCGGTATGGGGCGGGGTGAACGCGAGCCAAGAGTTGAATTTTGGTATAGAAAATTCAAGGTTGAGACTTCGGCTTGCTGGGAGGTGCGAGAGCGAGGCGTTGTGGTTTTCCTCATTGATGTTTAGTTGGGGTCGGGCAGACTAGCGCGGGTCGAGGAAGCTGTGGAAGATTGTTGGGTCGAGCCTGTCCGTGAGGCGGTACAGTTCGTGCCTGATGCTCAACCTGGGCATGCGAAGGATGGATATATCGATTTGGTCGTGCATAAGGGGTATAATCACTTTGCCTACTTGAACCCCGTGTGTGACTTGACGCCACCCTGGAATCTGACCTCGGGGAGGTAGGAGGTTGTGGATGCTCTGTTGGCGGTTGATCTTATTTTCTGGCCGTGGAGTATGCCCCCAGCGACATCTCTATAGAATCAGCTTGGATGAGCGTGTAATGTAAGTGGGAATGTTCCTTTCCTGAGAGTGATGCCACTCAGGCTGTTATAACGTACACACATATATCCATGTGTCCTGTCATCGGGCTGATACGTGAAAACTGCTGGACCTAGGAAGAGATGGGCCGCGTTGCGATAGACGGAGGCGTCCCTGCCGCGATGGGTACCATGGAATAGGAGGCAGCACTCTTAGTTTAAAGCCCCATCGACTTGGGGGAGAGACGTCAGCTAGATACGCGTCCGCTCAGCATGCGGTCGGTCACCTTTATTCGAGGTGATTCACGTTGTAACTTTCAATGTCTACGCATTGCTGCCCAGGAAGGTAACTCTGGCACCAGAGAGTAGTCTTAGGGATGGACCAACTTCTGGAGAATCGGTTTGACGTTTCCGACTGTGAACTGTAGATGCAGCAGCCAGGCTTGCCGGGTAACAGTCGCTTTTGCAGGTCACCAATAGTGGACATTCAGTTATGGCGACTGACCCTCAGCTAGTTGCCGATGAAATTCTCGCTGCCTGGGACTGCAGCCTGTAGCTCATACTCTGTAACAACCATATTATATACTTGTGTTGGCAGGAGGCTTGTTGTAGAAACCGCGTGGCATAGGCAGCTAAGGAAAAAATAAGAAATATGTCCACAGGACTTTAGGGACGCAGAAGCAGTCAATACTATCTTGATTAGTATCAAGTGAACAGAGGCGTAGCATTCCCTAAAAGTCACGGAAGTGGACCACATATAATGTATCCGATTAGGTGACACCTATGCTCGCATGCTTAAGCATGACACTGCGAGTGACCATTGTAAGAAGTTATGAAAGTCTCTCACACTACGCAGAATGAACTGTATCCTAACCAGGAACCACAGGCTGCCGCAATTCTCTTAGATCAAGACCCATTAACAAGAAGCAGCCGCGAGATGTGTGCAAAGCTCTCGGTGAATGGGCGGTCGACCCATATATTTCCTCGAAATACCTGAAGGAAGCCTCCCAGCTAGATGACGCAAACGTAGGAATCCTTTATGGGCTGCTCCAGTGATATGATACCAGCGAAAAGGAGGGCGATGCGGGTCCATAATTCAACCTGATCACTGGGTCTTTTACTTTCGTGGATACATATATATGGTAATGATGAAATTTCTTCGTGCTGAGACTCAGGAGTCTCGTGAACGTATACTACAACGGTGTATCCCCTTTGTGACGAAATGAACGAGAGCGACCGCCAAGGATAATCAAATGCAAGCTCGACAGCAAACCTGACGGCCGCTTAACCCCGATAATAAACGCTCTTGACACACTTTCTGTTCTCAAAGAAACTGCTTAGTTGGTGATATCGCAGTTGAGGAAAGCCGCTTAGGAATAGCGTTAGTAATGCACTCTTTTCGTGGAAATAGTGGAGAAACTTACACTTGGAGAAGAAAGCATAGCTCTCAGCATTCTCAAGAGCGGACGAAGAGCTCAAACCATGAACTGCTTCATAGCCATACGTCTCAGGGCCGAAGATGCCTTTGGTATGGGCCATCTCATGCAAGCTAGAGGTGGCCTGATCCAGAACACTGCAGCTGTTCGACCAGGCAGAGAACTTGGTGAAGTACGCAGGGCAGGTCCGGATTCTTCCGTAGGTTCCGTCCGTCTCGCCGTAGGCAGTCATGGTGAAAGAGTGGGTGTCAACGCAGTTGATGCCCTCCGGAGTGCAGTAGTAGCTTACGACACCTTGCTTTCCGTTCGTGGCCTCCGTGGCGATCTTCTCCAAGACGCCCGCGACGCGGTTGCGGGATTGAGCGTTGTTGGTCTTGAAGAAGCTCTGGAAGAGGCTGTACGAGTATTCGGATTCGCTCTGAATGAGGTTGGCGCCTGCATGGGCCATCTTTGCAGCCTGGGCGAGTGCGTTGTTGATCGCTTGCACTCCCTCATCATTGCAGTTTTCAAGGGTAGCGCGCGTGTCGAGAGGGCTGGCGACAGCACCCGCGATAAGAGGGAGAGCGACAAGGGCCTGGAAGAAATGCATTTTGATGGTAATGGAAATAGAAATTTAACGAGGGTGAAAGATTGGATAAGGAGTAACGATTGACAGCCACCGGGGCGTACTTTGAACGAGAGTATGGGAGATAGAAAGAAAAGAAGAAACGGTTAATTAAGGAGAAGGCTTTCGACTGAGCGACTTTCGTCGATCTTTTATACCAGCTCAAGGTGACCTGATGGTTTTGTCCCTGACAGACACAGCCCTAGCCGTTTCATTAGGTTCCATTGATCTTTCTCTCGATTTTCGCTCCGTGTTTCACCATGGTCGTGCCGATCGTGCGAATAGATCCGTCAGAAGGCAGAAACCATGTCAGACCCACCGGCCCCGTAATCCAGTGGTGCCGTGCCTTCAACGGAGTAGTCGGAACTCACGTTGTTGACAGAACCTTCAAATGGCTGGGGACTTGTTTCGCTTTGCATCCTGTAGTCATAGTCCACTTCAACCGTGTTACATCCACTGTGCTGTAACCCTCGCGATAACAGCCAAGTCTCGCTTGATTCAAGAACCTTGCTCCTACCATGCCATGGATGAGGCCTTCACGGCATGGGAGCTCTGCGTTAGAATGGTGCATTCCTCCAGGGCTGCCGAGGTAGTCTCCTAGATCACTGCTTAACTAAGAGGAAAAAGATCCATCTCGAGGTTCATGGGTGGATAAGGCGGATTTACAAATCTGAGACAAGGAACTAGGTCGTCTCCGCAGAATGAGGGATTCCGACCAGATAAGAAAAGTTTTCAACCCCCTAAGATCTGCTTATGGAAGTTGTTTAGAGGCCACATTCTAGATTGGCAGTTTATCTAAAACCATAATTGGCTACTCCGTACGGAGTACGGAGTACGGAGTGGAAATATACGGAGTAAAGAGAACTCCAGAGTACTTGGGGTGTGCCAGTTCGAAACAGTTAATTTAGAGTTCCGTAGCGGATTGGCCCCTGGCGATCAGAAGTTTGAGACCATTTCCACTCGCTTTCCCGCGGGATACTCTCCATTAAGTGACCTATCGATTCTGACGCGTGGATGGGGGATACGTAGAACACTAGGGCATAGGAGAGAGACATGCCTATACCTAGTTTCTAAATTTGTCGGATTACTACAACATACATACATTGTGCTCATACAAAACAATTCTGTACTCCCGGAAAACCTTGCTCCACTATTTCTTCCAAAGAAATAATGGTATTATTGTAGTGTCCAGCTTAAAGAGGGTATGGTATCTAAACGTTGTCACCGCAAGAAAAGACGCCTGAAATTTCGCCCTCACGGTAAGCGCTCTTGATACCTAGGGTTGTTGCATACATGGTACCTCCCACTATTATTAAACCGCTTGAGATGATTTGAACCAATCTACTGAAAACATTGGGTAAATAACCATTTTATTATTAGCTGACGCGAAAGCCGCCGTGGAAATTCCCAAATATCTGCCGTTAGAATCATATCAATAACTGGTGAACTTCCACAATACTCGTGTGCCGGGCCTCCGACACAAAAGGTTATCGGAGTCAATTCCTCTGGTTCGATTGTGTTTGTGGTGACCAAGACAAAGAGTACCATCGAAAAGATAGACGAGATTACCACCACACCCGGAGTTGACGTCCTGTTGGTCGGTCCAAACGACTTAGCTAGTGAGCTAAGTGTTGCAGGAAATTTTGAAAGTGAATAATACAGCTCTGGCGTCACAAAGGTTCCAAAGGTTGCAAGCCGGAATCAAAAAGTTTTTTGGGTTTACAGGAGCCTATCACAATCCTATTATTCACAACTGGGTGATTAACGAGCTCGGTGCTCGATTCATTATAGAACAACAAGATTCACAATTACAGCCAACGGTGCAAGGGAATGCGCTCTTTACTTAGAGCAAATTCATAAATAAAGACTCATGCGAGTAGAGATGTTTGTTCTCACTTCGTTCTCTCTTAATTCTCTACGTGCTGGGTGCTGGATTTGTCACGCAACCAAAGGGGAATTCTCTCCTTCTCTATCCGTCCGTTTTTTTTCTTAGCAATTCCAGCTACATTATTTCTAGCGATTTCTATTGTAGTGAGATTCCATGAGTTTAGGAGCCTCTCTTTTGATAGGCAACTCCGACGGCAAAGTATACCTAATGATCTGGAATTCTCCATAGCTATAGTTACGCGATCTCTCTATTCTTGCCTCCATTAGACTAGCCCATTTTGGACGAGGTAGTGACTCTCCTTTATCTATCAAGAGAGACGGTTGCTTTGTATGCTCGCAAAAATATCGAAGGCCCCAGTTCCCTACTTTTGTCGGAAGATCCGAGTACGATTCCTCATCACTGCTCTCGTTCCCATTCCATTCCCATTCCCTACCTATTCATCTGCTCAATTCCCTCCTCCATCTTGGAGTTGCCCCTAGTTCACCCAATTCTCGGTTTTCCGTCCCTTTTCTAGCTCTATGCTATTACGTCTTTCTCCAATATAGTAAACCCTAGTTCCCTGTTGACAGTTTTGGTCTATACAATCCCATCCAAGGATAAGCAAAACCATTTCCCCGAAACTCCTGCAATTTGCTACTACCTAAGTCCCGTCTCGATTATGAACGCCCTACCGTTCTCTACAGTACCTCGTGATATTGTGTCGAAGTCCTCGAAGGGTAACTCCGACGAGGCATAGCGATATCCGCTTCCTCCCCGTCCACAGGTGAAATGTAGCGGAAGAACGGACACTACAGCCTGCGTCAATATTAGGACGATGCAGACAGCGCTTCGAATATTCGTGGACCCAATACAATGATTTTGAGACATGCTTGGCTCTTATGAAGATTCTAAGCATGCTGTGGTTTTTTCTAAGCACCATCAACTTGACCGACTGACGCAAAGTACGACCCTGCATCCTCCCCTGCCAACCGAAGCATGCACACACGTGCCGCCAGCACGTTGTGCCACATTGATAAACCACCTAACGGTCAATGCAAAATAGTTGTAATGACTACCATTCGTGGTTCCAGCTACTCTGTACCTAGGTAGGTACATTTAGATGAACATTTTTGTGCCCAACCATTGCCCTTAGTGGAGCAGATGCGGGGCGGCCCCTGCAACCTTAATCTTAATTTGGTGACACAAATCGTTACCAAACGTCTTCGGTGGGATCTATACCACATACTTGGAGGTCGCACATGGAATGAGTTCAACAGACTAGCCGACCGAGGCCAGATACTTTGATTTCGCAGAATCCTTAGAAGAGAGAGATCCACCAGCAGATACATAGGCACCAAAGCAGAAAGGACAGCACGAATTAGTGTTTCAACGAATCACACTCTTTCCGTGAGTAACCATCTCTTTCTCGACTTCCAGTGCAGCGTCGTGCTCTATCGCGATGTCTCGGCGTGCCTCATCCAGCAAAATCATGTCCGTCTCTCCTACGCGACTCTTGAAAACTCGATCCATCTCCTCCAGTGTCGCACCCTTGGTTTCTGGAAGGAAGAAATAAATCCAGACAATACTAGCAGCAAGGAAGACGGCAAAGAAGATATAGGTGCCCCACCTCCAAGTCTGGAACATGGGTGGAACGAAGAAGGCCACAGCGAAGTTGTTGAGCTAAAATCGTGTTAGTACTGCTTGTAAACTCCGGCGCATGCACTTACCCAATTGCTTGAAGCGCCAAAAGATGCGCCCTTGGAGCGGATAGACAGGGGGAAAATCTCCGCTACAAGTGTCCATGATACTGGGCCCCATGTAGCACCAAATGCGCCGACATAGATCCAAATGAAAGCCACTGCAGCCCAACCAGCGTTTGAATGATTTTCGAAGTCGTTTCCAAACTTAGCGACAATGATGCCAACCAGGACCATGGAAATCCACATGACGGCCGAGCCAGTATAAAGCATGGGCTTTCGACCAACCCTGTCAATGAGAGGCATGGCTGGGAGAGTACATACGAAGAACACCACTCCAGTAACACCAGTAGCCAGTAGTGCCTGAGTCCCCCCAGTCAGGCCCAAACTCTGGAACACGGTGCTGGCGTAGTAGATGATAGCATCGATACCACTCCATTGCTGGAAGAACATGATAAGCCATGCAATTGCAACCCGCTTAAAGTTATCCCAGGTCCGGAATATTTGATAGTACTGAGCGAATTCGCGAACCAGGACACTTCCTTGCTCCTTGGCAGCAAGGTTTGGGAACGATTTTGCAAAGGACCGCTTCTCGAAGAGTCTCTCTGCCTCGATCTCCTTAAGTTCAGCCTGGATCAGCTCATGGTCCTCGGGTAAGTTGCGCAGGTAGGACAGGGTAGCAAGTGCCTCTTGAACTCTACCTCTTTTCACAAGCCAGCGGGGAGAGAATGGCAGCCACCAGATTCCACATGCAAGGAGCACGGCTGGAATGCCTTGGATAATAGAGGGGAGTCGCCAGGCCATGTCAGTTTGTGTTTCTCCAATGCCGCCGATGTTGTTACTTCCATATCCTATCCAGAATGATAACATGATGCCGAAAATTGTAGCAAATTGGTAGAATGAGACCAAGAACCCGCGAAGCTCGGGCGTTGATAATTCGGCGTTATAAAGGGGGCTTTGGGCACATAACGATTAGTTGGTGGGACCAAACCAAAGAAGAAAGATCAAAACTTACCCCACACCACTGAAGGTACCAACCCCAAGACCAGTGAAAAGTCTGCCAGCGTATAGCAAACCGGGCTTATGGTAGCTAGCTCCACAATAGAGATAGCTTCCGAGGACAACCCAACAACAGGCCGAGAACATCGTATACTTCCGGGAGAAAATCTCACCCAGAATTCCTGCTGACAGAGATCCAAAAATACCGCCCAGTTGCAAGATTGACGTGAGCCAGCCGGTCGCGCTAGAAGATTCTACGACGGTAGGGAAATTGTCTGTAAAGCGAGTCATAACAAGGGACTGGCCCAAGACTCCTTGTTGGTATCCATACTCAAATCCGCCAACTCTATGCTTAGTGTCAGGACTTGCGGTACGAAATTCAAGGGGAGTGCCACGAAAGTGCCACGAGAAGATCAATGTATCCGAAACTCACGATGCAAAGAGAGCAATGACCATTAGCTTAGGGTTATGCAATAGCGACGTCCAGCGATTCTTCATCGCCGCCTTGGCCCGAGAGTCCCTGTCTGACTCATCTGCCATTTCCGCCATATTGAAAATTGAAAATAAAATAAACAACCTGCAATTGTAGTCGTGGTTATCCCGATCGAAACCGAAGATGTCACAATATGACGACAAGCTCTCAAGTGAGTATGGTGGGTATAGCTCAATGTATTTATCTAAAATACTGCTGTATTATCAGACCATAGGAACAATAAGCCGTGGCTACAGTAACCCCCCCCCCCCCTTTGGACATGCCTGTTTTGGAAGTTGGTGCCACTTGGGAATACTGCGGGGTTTGCGGGGAAACCCCAGACGGCCACTTTGCGGGGTTTCATCCCCACGCTAAGTTCAGCTAAGGTAAGGCGGGCCAGTTCGAGCGGTGTTAGGCACTTCAGATTGCGGTGAATTTCACCCTGAACTAATTTGTTAATGCTAACCACCCTTGGCCCGCTTCTGGAGGCAGCCCTAAGCGCTACAAAACTATGGAAAATCCAGCAAGGTTCAGAAGGTAGACGAAGAATATTTTTGATTAATTCTATCCCATGGGGGTGGGCGCAGTCTAGTAGACTGGAATTAGGACTTTGGCTTAACTATGGGAGGAAAAAGTGGGGCCATGAGTAGACTAGAATACTTTTTACGAGTAGACTGGAATTCCTTCTCGTACGAGGATCGGTCTGAAAATTTGTAGAGATCTATTCTATATCTTAAAGAGTATAGTGTTCGAATTTTAGAGTCATTAACCTAGAAATAAAGGTGTGGTAGCCGATTAAAATTTTGAATTATTTTTAATAGGGTGCGACCGTATAATATATTAGGATATATTCACTACTATATATTAAATATATATTCTACCAATTCTACTATTTCGTATAATCTAACCACTTTAAATTAATAGGTAAATTTCGTATAAATTTATTTTGAATATACTAACTTTGTATAAATTTATCGTGAACCTATTCCTAGCTTCTCTAGGATTCTCCTTTTTCTATCTAAAGTCTTTATTTTATAGCCTCTACTTCGTATAAATTTATTATAAACCTATTCTTAGAGAAGCTTAGATTCTTCTTTTTCTATCTATAGTCTTTGTTTTAAAGCCTCTACTTCGTATAAATTTATTATAAATATAGCCTTAGCCCCTCTAGGATTCTTCTTTTTCTATCTATAGTCTTTGTTTTGAAGCCTCTACTTCGTATAAATTCATTATAAACCTATTCTTGGAGAAGCTAGGCTTCTTCTTTTTCTATCTAAAGTCTTTGTTTGTAGCCTCCACTTCGTACAAATTCATTATAAATATGGCCTTGGCCCCTCTAGGATTCTTCTTTTTCTATCTACAGTCTTTGTTTTGAAGCCTCCACTTTGTACAAATTTATTATAAACCTATTCCTAGAGAAGCTAGGCTTCTTCTTTTTCTATCTGAAGTCTTTATTTGCAGCCTCTACTTCGTATAAATTTATTATAAATATAGCCTTAGCCCCTCTAGGATTCTTCTTTTTCTATCTAAAGTCTTTCTTTTATAGCCTCCACTTCGTACAAATTCATCATTAATATAGCCTTGGCTTCTCTAGGATTCTTCTTTTTCCATCTATAGTCTTTATTTTGAAGCCTCCACTTCGTACAAATTTATCACTAACCTATTCTTAGCCCCTCTAGGATTCTTCTTTTTCTATCTAAAGTCTTTGTTTTGAAGCCTCTACTTTATACAAATTTATTATAAACCTATTCCTAGAGAAGCTAGGCTTCTTCTTTTTCTATCTGAAGTCTTTGTTTATAGCCTCTACTTCGTATAAATTCATTATGAATATAGCCTTAGCCCCTCTAGGATTCTTCTTTTTCTATCTACAGTCTTTGTTTTAAAGCCTCTACTTCGTATAAATTCATTATGAACCTATTCCTAGAGAAGCTAGGCTTCTTCTTTTTCTATCTATAGTCTTTGTTTTAAAGCCTCCACTTCGTATAAATTTATTATAAATATAGCCTTAGCCCCTCTAGGATTCTTCTTTTTCTATCTGTAGTCTTTATTTCGAAGCCTCCACTTCGTATAATTTATTATAAAACTATTCTTAGATTTTATTAACTAAGTGTATATTTAATCTCGCGCTTTATACGTCTACTCCTACTAGAATAGAAGTAAAGTAACTTTAGAGCTCTTCTCCCCCACTTATTATATAATTTCTTCTCTCTTATTATAGCTTCTATAGCTAGTGCTAGGCCTTCTAGAGGCCCGCCCCCCCCTTTAGGCGCACTTATCCGTATATCTAATAACCCTTTATAGGTTTTACTTTAGTCTTCTATATTACTTAATATCGTACGAAAGGCTACTACCGCCGAAGGTAGCGCCGAGTACTTTATAGTACGACTTATAGCCGCTAGTAATAGCGCCCTTCGCGAGCTTTACCGTACCCTAGAGTAGCGGGAGGTCTAGTCTTAGCTATCGTACGAGTTCTTAGTTAAGATAAAAAAGGACCGAACCCTAGTGATCTCGGCTAACTAGGTATATTCTCGTTTTCTTTTTATATCTTACCTATTCCTATTACTAACCCTCTCTTTAGATAGGTCTATAGTACGCGTCTATTATATATAAATAGACTTTTAATCGCGTCTTATAGAGTTCGTTTCCTAGTTATCTACTATAAATCCCGCTAAAGCTATCTATTTAGTAAATAAGTCGTACGATTACCTAGTACCTAGGAAGGCTGTTATATAAACTATAAGTGGAAGGAGTAGGCTACGTAGTATTATATATAAAATAGAGCGGAACCGCGATATATTCTATAGGTAAGCGCCCCTTTACTACCTCTAACCTGGGTAGAAGAGCTAATAGACTCGGACGAAGCTAATAATAATAGCGGTAGTAGTAGTAGTGGTAGTGGTAGTGGTGATAGTAGGGGCGGTAGCGCTATAGCTATAGTAGCGTAGGCTAGGGATCGTACGAGTGGTATATTTATACTAGTCTTAGATAGCGTAAAGGTGCTAGAATACGGAGTAAGAGTGAGATGGTTAATGGAGGGAATCTAGGGCTTTATACTTAGTTTATTTATATTTATCTTTACTTATTATTATATGAATAACTTCACTCTCTGCTTACCACGCTCTATTATAACTCTTTAGGATAAATGTACCTAGCTATTAACTCTTAGATTTATAACAATTTTAACTTCTTTAGCTATCCTATATATACTTTGTATGATTTACCTAGTAGTATTCTATCCTTAATTAGCTTTATTAACCTTTACCCCTATATTAGTTATCTACTAGCTTCACTTTTTCTCTTATATCGTTTACTTTATATACCCCTATCTATCTACTACTATATAGCCTTTTACCTATATACTATATTAGCTTCTCTCTTATTTGTACGATCTTAACTTACTTCGCCTAGCTTAGGAACTTTCATCCTATACTAGGTTAGTTATCTACTAGATTCACTTTTCACCTTTATCTCTCACTTTACCCCCTCCCCTTTTTATCTACCACTACCTAGCTTTATCTACTATCACCCTACCTTTTACCTATAGCCTATATCTATATCTATCTTATATATACGGTATCACCTTACTTCACTTTATTTATTAACCTTTATCCCCTACGTTAGTCACGTACTTAATTTAATACTAGGTCTTAGCTCTTACTTCACCCCCTCCCCTTTTTATCTACCACTACCTAGCTTCATCTACTATCACCCTACCTTTTACCTATAGCCTATATCTATATCTATCTTATACATATAGTATTACCTTACTTCTCTTTATTTATCAACCTTTATCCCCTATATTAATCATGTACCTAATTTAATAGTAGGTCTTATCTTACCACTTAGCTTCTTCTAACACCACTCCTTACATTTACTTTATATCCCTGGTCTATCTTTCTATAACTGTACGATATATAGGCTAGTTACTAACTTACCTTTAATAGTGCTTTAGTAAAAAACCTTAATATTAAAACTGCACGATAAACTAAGATAGACTTAGGCTTTAGGGTTTTTAGGGTTAGGCTT